TGATAATGTCCATCCCAATTCAAAAGTATGGATTTTCGAGCATTTTCTCAAGGTTTAGGGTAAAAAGTGCTACCGTTTCTTTATTTCGTGGTTATCTTGCGATTTTTTAATTATAATGCGTATTTGTCTTTTCCTTCGCAATGGAAAGATTATGTTGGAAAATGTTGTTGAATCAGAAAGAACAATATTTCATCTCAAGCATGGATGCAAAAACATTACTGTTATCATTATTATTAACTCTTTATTTACAATGTTGGCATAAAAAAGGTATAAAATAACTATAAATGTATAAGATAAAATATTTACAGGCATAATTAATCAACTACAAATCACAAACACGGAATGGATAAAAATTTCATATAAAATTTAAATGTGGAACAAAACGTCGGCAGAGCCTACATTAGCACTCATTTCCCTTCTAAGCTTTGATTTCGGTCTTAGATTCAATCAAGTTTGTCGAGTGTCTAATTGAGACTGGGAGTGTACACCATAACTGTGGATCCCTTTACTGATCTCACTGTGTGATCTTACTCTTGCAAGTTAAAATCACGGTCATTTTTAAGGTTATAGTGGTTGGTTTGTGGGCAGAATATTTCTTTCATAAAAGGAGGATTTAAGCTATGCTTTATTCTGAACATTTCTATCATTTCTGTCTGTAAGTTCTGCTGATGAACAGATACACTGTTATCATATCTTAGGAGATCTTCAAAGCTAGATTTCTGATCTCTATACGTTATCCTAAGGGCTCGCTCGTGCAGTTTATTGTTTTTAGAATTTAGTTTCCTACTATGGAATATCAATGGCAAAGGACAGTATTGAAATTGGCTGTTGATGAATGATGTCATCAGTATCCTTAATTTATTTTGGTCCATATAGTGTGCATTACGTGAAAGAGCAGATAGCTTGTTGCTGACCATTTGACATGGATTATTTACATGTTGCTCAAATAAAAGTTTACTGTCCAAGGTAACTTATAGCAATTTTTCTGCAGTACCATTAGTAATAGTAGAACTGCCAATTTTGACCGAAACAGAGTCATAACTCACATTTCCAAATGTTAGCTAATAGATGACATTTGTCTTCATTGAGCTTCATATAATTGTCAGAGAACCATTTGATTGCATGGGCGGAGTCTAGTTCTAACCTAGTAACACAGGCCTTATTTTAAGGAAATTTTATCACTGCACAATCAGGGTGGTTTTATAAAAAGATTACCTCTAGAGGTAGGCTGTGCAAAGTGCGTGTCAGAGGCACACATGCAATAACCGGGGACCTGGGGCGCTGGCAGCCCCCCAGTGGGTCCAGGGCAGAGCCCTGGCAGGGGTCCAGGGGCCAGAGCCCCCGGCAGCTCATTAGATTTTGCCATCTCTGAGGCCTTAAAATGGCTTAAGATCCTGAAAATTCTCTTTCTGTACGACGATATAAAAGCACAAGAAAAACACATCAAGCCAACCCCCTAGCAGAATATCCCTGAGTAACAACCCACTAGCAGAAAATGACACTCAGCAAAGTGCTCTCACGTGCCGCTAAATTTGATTGAATGTTTTTAATACCATCATGACTCTTCTTTTTCCCCTCCGCATTAGGGAATACTGCCTCAATCAAGTCCATATTAAGTATTTTGGAGCAGTGAAATGTTAGAAGAAAGGGAGAGAAAAGACGCAGAAAAGGATACGAGAAAACGTTTTTAAAACATAGTAACTGTGAACTATTATACAGCAGAAACTGTTGATTTATTTGCTTCGCTTTTCATACTATTACCGTTGTGTTCTGTTTGTTTATTTTTTGTTACTTTCTGTCGTATGAATTCTTTATGTTGCTGTTTCAACTAATTTATCACTGCAGAATTTTTCATTTATCATGGCACATTTTGGATTTATCATTGCACAAATTGGTTATCACTGAGCCTCAAAATAAGGCCTGTAAGTAACAACATTATTTTATCAACATCACATGCAAATAAAGTTGTATCGTCGGCATAATTGCATGCATCTGTTTTATCTAAGGAAAGAAGCAAATCATTGATATAGATATTGAAGAGAAGGGGTCCAAGGACTGATCCTTGAGGCACTCCTAAAGTAAAGCCGAATCTCCAATAGAAAAACCTTTTCGCGTATCGTATCAGAATACGCGTATAAAGATCCATTTGAATTTCGGTGCAATTTCCATTACAAAATTTTAGACACGTGATATGAATAATGGATGGCGGCTGAATTTAGCGGAAGAACTATTCTTTTATCATTGTTAAAAAGAATCGTTTTACCAAGAAGAGAAGGTTCTGGGTAAGAAAACTATAATCAGATCGAAAATCTAAAAGAGAGTTTTATCTTCTTGCGCAAGATATGCTTTTGTACGACCAAGAGTACTTCTTTAGATACTTCAGGATAACTCTACATCGGTTTTAAGTTCCATTTGAAAAGGGAATTGTTCTCGTGAAATGCTTTGTGTTACTCTGAGATATCTGGCAACACGTTTCTTCGACAGAACTTTAGCCGCCATCTTGATTTCATTATCAATGCCCAGAAATACAAAAGTTAATTGTTGGTTGTTTCATGGCTTGATACGGCGTAGTACGTGAAAAAGTAGGATCCAACTCAACTTTGTTTGTGTGCATATGCACGTTTCTGAGATACGCGTACTTCAAAAATTCCCTAGAAACACGCATGCGCGGCTGTACGATCGTGTCGATCCGTGTAGAACTTTGCTCATTGGAAATCCGGCTTGAGTTGCTTGCAGGAGCTAAAAGACCCATTGACCTTGACCTTCTGTCGTCTGTTATGCAAGTAACTTTAAATTAGAGACAAGGCATCATGACTGAAGCCGTAGGCATGCAATTTAGCTATAAGGAGATCGTGTTTCAGGCAGTCAAAAGCCTTAGAAAGATGCATCATGACAGCACCAACTTTTCCACCTACGTCAATACAAAGTTTAGTTTTTTCCAAAAAACGTACCAAGGCTTCCTGAGTGTTATTTCCTTTGCGAAATCCACATAATATATAATAGTATGGACAAATACGGTTCTATGTGTTCTTTCACTTGTTTGACTAAATGCCTCTCGAAAACTTTGAAACAGTTGGAAAAACACTAATTGGACTGTAGTTTTTCTTAACTGAACTTTCTTTTTGTTTATGAAGTGATGACACGTCCGCGCACTTTATCTGATCAGGAAAAGTAGAGCTTCTAATGCCATATATTAATTGCCATATATTGAATACTTCCTCTACAAGTTTGGAACATATATCATAATTATTCTTAAGAATCTTTGGCGGTTTATTCTTGAAGGTTGTGGCCTCTTTGGGATTGAGCTTTTTAATTTCAGTTTCCATTTCCTCTAATGAAACAGGGTTGAAAGTGAATGAATCTACATTCCTAAAATGGCCCTATTTCTAAGTTCTTCTGGGATGAGTTGAGTATCTCTTTACTGACTTTTCGATAGGATCTGATAGTGCCTGAAATATTATCATTATTGTCTTTTATAACAAGGGACTCAGTTACCGCTACAAAAGCAGTGGCTTTGTGGCTAGGCGGGACATCGGGAAATTGAGTGAGTTTGTAAAACCCCGGAAAATATTTAATATGAGCAAAATCCATAGTGAGAAAAACCCTCACTTACATGTAGACTCAAGTTCACAGTTCAGAATCAGAGGAGGTCAACATGTACAAACAGACAAACGTGTACAAACAGGCCTCTGCGAAAGAGATGCCTGGGATATGGACAGGGCCGCCGACAGGGAGACAAGAAGAAACAAACTGCCCCAGAGCCTGGCGGTCTAGGGGGCCTTTTAAAGCAAGGCATTCCAATTTATGAACTGAATTTTAATGACACGCAAAAAGTAGACCTAAAAAAGTGTAAAATGCGGTAAACGACTGCAAAAAACATTCTGAAATGTCTTTCAAGCTAATGGCTGCAGAAAGTTTCTGCTCGCAGTGCATTAAAATGGATGCTCTTTCGCGTTTACGTTAAGTGTGTTTTACAGCATTGGATTTGTTCCACATTTTTGCAGTCTTAAAGAGGCTATGGTTAGAGAAAAGGGGATACACCCCCAACAAATGTAGCAGACGAACCCTTATAGATGATAAAAACTGGCATCTTTGTAATTTTTCGTTGGTCCATGGTTTACAGGTACGTACCTTTGGCGACCTGTGGTGTGTGATTTGAGATGGAGAGCGGCCCCGAAATGATCATTTTCTGCCGGCCCCTTTCTAGAAGCCACAATGCCCTCGTCACAAAGCAACCATTTAGAAGCTCCGCAACTTCAATATCATTAGATATAGTCCCATCATCTTCGACTAAAACTATCTTGTTATTGCTCTGACATTTGTCAGGTTGGTGGACGATACACACTAAGCAAAGCCTTTTTTCAAATTGACTTCCAAAGAGGTACATTCTAACCTGACAAAACAAAGCTAGGTTTCGAAGGAACAACAACATGTAGACCTTAAAAGTTAGTTCGAGAGTTGAGCAAAACGTTTCTGTAGAAAATGCGGAAAAATTATGTGAACAGCCAGAGGTGGAGACAATACCACAAAGGGGGACTGGTTGGGCCTTCGATCATGGAACAGTTTGACTCAATTGATTAAAATATGAAAACTTATCTTATCAGTATCAAATTTCTTTGACTTAAAACTCGCAGCTTTATTCTGAAAATAATATCTTTTTTCAATATTTAGTACTTTCAGATGTTCTGTGTTTAAATTTTTATTCGTCAACAACTTAGGATTGAAATGAGTGTCTATAGGCTGGTTTTCATCTAACCGTACGTAACTGCGTCTAAACTGCCGGCGACAGTGACCTAGGAAAACTTTTTGCTGAAAACAAATATTGTGAATTCCTGATTGAGTACAGAACTACAGAATACGAAAATTCAAGTGCTTTTTAGATAGTTGAAATTGTTAGAAATCGTTGGAAGTCTCAAGTCACATATATCCATTGCAAATGAGTGGCTAGCGAGACTCCTTTGTTTTGTAAATGAAGCAAACGCATTGGTGCATGAACATGCATTTGTGAGTGACAAGTTTGGAAACGGTTACGCTGGACAGGTCAGAGATACGGCTGCCAAGATGAAGATCCCAACGTTCACTTTCTCGTTGGTGCTTTTTGCCATCCAAGTTGCTCTGCTTATCATCTACGCTACATCAGTTGATTATGAGGCATACTCCTCGGGAGCTATCACTGGCTATTATCCAGGTAGGGACCTCCTTGCATTGACACGCCCTTATCCATTATCATTCTGCAGGTAAATGTGTAACAATTCTTGTTTTGGTTCAGTACAAATTTACGGTGCAAAGTTAACTGGAATGCATAAAACTCCCACGTACGTGCTAATAAAATGGTACTCTGAAGTTAAGAGTTTCTTTTAAGTGTTATGACAAACCCCATTATTTGTAGCATTGAAATATTTTTCGCGATTTTTCGTATGATGCTAACAGATCTTTACTGGAGTGTAAGAGTGGCAATCTTCACAGATCTTTACTAGAGTGATTATTCCGTAAGCAATTCCACAGCATTTTGTTGTGGTTGGCGGGATTTAATCGTTTAGCGATTTCGAAAATACTCTTAGTTCGATTCGGGCAGTTTAAATGCATTGTTAAACTGCCGGACTCGAATCAAATCATGTTTGTTTGGGGAACAACTAGTTGGATCCCTAACATCTTTGCCATAACTGTTTATGATGCGTAATTGATGTCCTCTCAGTCATGGGGCAACAGGCACGAAGCCAAGGGGGGGGGGGCATTGCCCGAATTGAAAGATTACAGACGCTACAAAAAGTTCATTAAATTGCAAATATTCTTCATCCGGGGCAAAATGATAAATCTGTATCAAACTTTGTATCAATTGCAAGATGTTGAATTTTTGAAGGTTCTTTAATATCGTTACTTAAGTTCTTGCCTAACAACCAGCGAGCTCCTTCGCTTCGCTCAGTTGACAACCAACCTTAACTCGACATTGCCGGCCAGGGGCGTCGCTAAAGGAGGGTGCTTGCTCCCATACTTTTTCCATCGGCACATAACTTTTATCTCACCCTCTAGTATAATTATAAACTTTTTGAAACAGTTGTAACGTGCTAAAATTCCTGTAGCAGCTAAACTTTCAAACTATGCACTGAAAATACAAATTGAAATTTAAGAATTCTGAATAATAAGTTAAAAAGACATAGAAGCAGCATATAAAGTTACTTACTTTACGACCACACCCAAAAAAGAGTGAGACACGCTTTTTTTATCGGCAAAAGGCAATATTTTTTTTGGCTTCGCCCCTGTTGCCCGCCCAACTTTTCAGTGTTGGCTTCGTGCCTGTGGGGCAGATCCAAATCTGCAGAACACATTCGGGATTTTGTGCCCGTGGAACGCTTTCTGGACGGGGGAACGTTTTGGAATGCCTTGCCTTTCTAATCTCATAAGATTATTATAATCAATGAATTAGACGTTGCTTTGTTATAGAAACTTAATTTCAAATGCTGAGAAGAGTTTGATTTGAGCGGGCTTTGCAATGGTCTCAGAGGCTTTAATGGCGGAAAAAAGAAGAACATATTTATTTTCGAATAGCAAGCTTGTATCACAATTTATTGATTTTACAAGAATGCTCTAGATTTATTCAAAAATTTTAATCGCCAAAAGTGACATGAATGTTAAACGTTAAACGTCCAAATGTATTGAACGACTTTCTTTGCGGTTGTGCTGGTTTGCTAATGATAAGCAGCGAAGTGTTATTTACAAACTGGAATAGAAAATCTCCGCTATAACCCTGACCCAATTGCAGAATAAGCCCACAGCTCAAAATAGAGATCTTTAATCTCCCAAAACAACAAGCTACTGTGGCCTAATGCCGTCTTTTTTTTCAAAGAACAGTATGCAAACCATAGATTCAAACCAATACAATACATGGCCAGTGCCGCGTAACTGTGGCGTAACAGCGACAGGCGAAATACTCTGCTAAGTTATTGTTATTCTATTTCGGCCAGCTAAGAAAATATTCAGGATACTATGAACATTTGGCTTCTAATGTGGATTTCCTTTTCAAGTATCAGTTTTATTCACAACTCTCTTCTTATCCAGCAACTAAGGTTGCTCAGTGACTTTCCAGGGTGAAAATACTGAATTTTTAGCCTACAACATTTTTTATTTTACTTTTTATATACATATTTATCTTTTCTCAAAGAAAGGGGAATTTGGTACTTTTTAACAGATACTCGCCTTATTGATAAGACAAAGATTTAGATGCAATGTCCACAGCACCAATTCTCTGACACTAATCGATTTGGCAAATTTGGCTTTATATCCCAAGAAAATAACGCGTAGTTAAGCAATTTGACAAATGTAATCATCGTTTACCATATCAATACACCCTTGCACATAGTGCCGTTGATACAGCGTTGGAAAAGTCTTTACACAAACGAGGAATATTTTTGCTATTTAGGGGTGCTTCGTCGGCAAATTTTCAAACCTTTTGGAAAATACACGATGTTTCCTCTTCTTTTCTTGGTCAGCAATGGGACCTTAGCACCCCATCGAGCACAATAGCTTGCGACGGCCCTGCTTGCACTTACCCTACCCCAACTTTTAACAAACTATTAAGCATGGACCTTTTTGTTCGCATTGATCACAGAGCGTCAAAACCGCTGCGCCATTTTGATTGCTCTTCTAGAAATGTCTAAGTTTTCAAGAAACGCCTTATTGACACTGGAATGTTCATTTACATTGGTTTTGCTCATTCGGCGAATACCTATGGCCTTTTTTGACATCCCGTTGAAGTAAAGTCATCCGCCTGAAAGTCTCTTAGTTGTCTTCAAAATTCTTTTAGTTATGTTGATCTCAAGTAATTTAAAGGAAAGAAATTTTGTTTGACCGTTTAATCAGATCTCATCTTTCTACGAAATAGAATATTAATCGAATGGAGTAATGAGATTTGATCGGTGTCTTTAAATTTTGGATGCCTTTTGTGAAATTATTAGTATACAACCTTAACAATAGTTTTAGAATAGTTTTCAACCTCATCTCTTACTCTATCTTCCTTTATTGAAGGGTGGCAATTTATAGAGGGGGGAGGGGCGACTGCTGATGGCAGGGAGACTTCACTTTTTTGTCTGCGTTGTTGATATAAAAAGTGAAAAAAGAAAACATACTTGAAAGCGACTTGAATGTTTTTAACTTCTATTTTTAAGAAAATTCTATTTGATTGGAAGATGTACCGGTGCAGGCACGTTTATGTACTTACTCTTAGGTCTCGAACAAGCGTCCCCCGCTTATTTTTTATCGAAGAAATTTCCGATCCCCCCGTTCTTATTTAGACTCCTCCCCGCGTATTAAATTTTAAATTTTTGTAGGAGCGCCCTTCAAAAAGGGTGAACAACTGAGGTTAAGTTTACCCAGATAAGGAATGAGCACCTTCCATTCTCAACAGTTTCTAGATTAGCAGCGTATTCTAGCAGATCTTTGATAGTAAGCTTTAGTAAGAAGTGTGCTTCATTGGGCTGAATTAGCACCCACTTGTCTAGTTTTTGTATGCGTCAAAATTTCCTTTAAGATATCTGAGTAGTGCAGCCCGTGCTATATTGCGGTCGGATCCATTATACCAAATTTCCATCCCCCGCTTATTTCGACCCACCCCCCGCTTATTGAATTTTAAGAAATTTTCCACCCCCCTCCCATTATTAGGACCCTCGCTTATTTGGGACCTAAGAGTATATGTGTCGTGCTGGCATTTATCATTTCATTTACTCGAGCCCGTTTGTGAAGGAAGCATAGCATAGCATAGCCTTTTAAAGGATATCAAAACAATCTTTTACCTTTATTAGAAAAATAAAAGAAGATCAAAGAAATTTAATCGGGGCATGAGGAGATTTAATCGGAGAATGAACGAGATTTTCACCCACTTTAAAGCACTTTCAGAGAATATAATAGGATTTCTGCCGAAGGTGTATGAGATTCCCACTTAGACCTCAGAGCAAAGTACGGAATGGGAGACTAAATGTGTTAGAGGCGTTTCATAACAATGAATGCTAGAGCGAGAGGCAAACCTGTTAGAAAAGGAAGGGGGGAGACTTGTATTATTTTGTCATTCTAAAGTACTTTGTGCACCTAGATATGTTTATTAAGCTATTTGTGCAGACTAGACCATTGATCTAAAAGTTTTTTCTAAATATTTTAAAAGCAAAAAGGTTTTCTCCTAATTTAATCTCAAAGTTTCAGTGTTTATTTGATTTTCCGACTGTTTTCTTTACTTTTCAGTAATTCTCTGCCCAATTTCAGATGGTATCAGATTATACCGTCTTCCAGTTTTTTGCTTTCTTTCTAACAGGCTGCTACATGTAGGATCCTGGCATCTAAGCAACCATTACAAACCACAAATCACACTTAGGAGCTTTAATTACAATTGAATTCATTTGAATTTAAATACTCGAAGCTCACAAAGGGCATATGAATCCCCCTTTATTATTTGTTCGTAAGGAGCATGCCGGGAACAGCTTTCTGGTTTGGTCGATCTATCATATGCAGACTAAACCAGTCAGCTAAAAATTGAATTTAAGGCTCTTTTCGAAGAATTTTAATGCTTTTGAGGAGTTTTTGAGCATTATCCAAAGAATATAACGTCTGGCTTGTTATCTTGTCTAGGTATTTCCTGGCAATAAAAGCCTTCCATTTTGTTCCTAGGCAACCAACTAACTCAATTATGAGTTATTGCAATCTGTTCTGTTGGTAAACTACGTCACAAACTGTTAGATGAAAATTCTGTGCAAAATTTTATGAAAATAATACATAAGATGAAGAGCGCCAAGAAGTCCCGTTGCTTCAGCTCGCACAATCACGGACTCATCATTGATCATGTTATAAATTTCGGAAGGGGTGCTTAGGGGGCTGGAAACCGTAGAACTGCCGGAAACTTCCCCAAAAACTCTCAGCCCGTGCAATATTTATCTTAATATCGCATAACCGCGTGAAAAGTAGCTAAAACCGAAAATTTCTATTTATTTATGCTATTTTCAACAAAATTTTAATGCAATAGCACTTTCATTGTACATAAGTTAAATGTGTAGATTTTTCCTCCTTGCATGCAAGTTGTAGAGTTTAGGATGTGAAGCCCAAAGAATATAAATGGAATAGAGTACAAATGGAACGCAATGGGGCTGACACGTGGTTAGCTCCTTCGCTAATTCAATTCCATTCAATTTTGTTAGATGTAAAAAAAATAGAGTTACTGTTGCCTAAAAAAGTAACTTGTTGTTTAATCTGACTGTTCTTTAAAGGTGACGTGTCCAGCTAAAGCAAGCAACTCTGCGTGGATTTTCAGAAAAATGTGATTTTTCATTTCATCGCCCCAGCCATTACGATGATTTTGTTTTATCCACACTGCTGTGAGGTTAGCTTTTCACGTGAGCAGTTTTGCATCGCAAGAATACTGACCAATCGCAAGCCGTTATTTCGATGTTACTTGACAGGTTGGGTGTCCGCACTGCAGCCCTTTTATATGGACACATTACCTTTAATATCTTCTCTTGGTACAAAGGCACAAAATTTGAGAGCGTCAATCCGGCTTTAAAGGGAGGTTGCGCCTGATTGGTCACCACACGCGTGCCCAGGCATCGCGTAGAAGGGGGCCCCCACTTTTTGCCAAAAATGCAAAAAATTTACCAATTATCATCAGTCAAGCCACTTTTTATTCGGTTTTTGCCCCCTCTCACTTTCTTAGAACCCCCACTTTTATCAACGCTCCGCGGTACCTGGGCCTAGATACGTTGGCAGCAACAAGGCGAAACAGATTAAATGCCAACAAGATACTGTTGTTGTAAAAATTCGAGCTAAGTTGGCGTCGATATTCACATTGGTATTGATAGGCAATCAATAACAGTGAAAAATAATGTGTCTTCTCGATAGTATGCTGATAAGAAGCTAAGCTCTACGTAAATATACATATGAATATAAAAATTAATAACATATCAATGTAAAGTTGCTCTAGTGTAAATTAAAACCAAAAGATACGAATGAGTTTTCTATAGAGCTTCCATGGTTGGAATGTATCTAGGCACGCGCGTGTTAACCAATCAGGTATCAGGGGATCTTTTAAGAAATTTTCACTTGTTTGACACAAAGGGCATTTTTCTTAACGGCAAAAACAAAAGCAAAGGGACGAGTATGCATAGTATGTAAGGCTTCAAGATCTTGCACATCAGTCCTTACTTCCATGTAGCGAAAAGTTACATACAAAACAACGAGCCTTCAGATCTTATCATGTTTGCAGGACAATGAGGCAATTTTAGGCATGTTTTCAGGCCAATGAATTTTCTCGCAAATTTCATTACCTCGCTTTGGTGTATTGTAAGAATAAAACAGAGTAAGAGATTTACATTTACGATGAGACGAAAGAAGTAGCACATAAATCGACAAATTCATCAAAAGACAATGACAAGCAATGGTAATGGTTTCTAAAACAATTTCAACAAAAGGGCACTTGCTAGTGGGGAATCATGGGCCAACTAGTGGGGAAATTTAAGGGCCTGGTGGGGGAAATTCCCTACTATATTGTATGTTAAGAGATCCTTTTTCTGGTATACAGGGTATTCTATATCGGGATAGTGCACCTAAGAAAATTAGATTTTCTTATATTAGGTACTTGGGTAGTTATTCAAATACCAAAACAATATACTTTGGTTACAAATTCTAAGTACGGTAAGCTAAGAACAGCGCTATCCAATAAGATTGCAAATAAAAGAAGCCGATGGCTTATCGTGTCCGATGGCTTATCGTGTCCGATGGCTTATCGTGTCCGATGGCTTATCGTGTCCGATGGCTTACCGTGTCCGATGGCTTACCGTGTCCGGTGGCTTACCGTGCAGGATATGCACTAAACATTGCTGGGGTATAGTGCCCTTGTTCAGAATGATGTCAACTTTGACAATGTATAAAAATGTTGTAGTCGTAAGGTAGAATAAATTAACCTTGTTAATTCTTAGAATTCCAAGATGTGCATGTGATGATCTTCATTGGCTTCGGATTTTTGATGACTTTCCTTAAGAAGTATGGCTTTGGCTCAGTTGGGTACAACATGATCATTGCCGCCACAACCATACAATGGAGTATGGTTATAACCGCTTGGCTCGCACAGGCCGCTGATGGCACGTCAGGGAAAATCAAATTGGGCGTTAAAAAGTCAGTTTCCTTTTGTCTTCACACGAATAACTCAATAATTAACGCATCAATGGTGATTTTTTCATCTCAATAAACGATAGTTCAGATGATTTTGGTATAGAAATTGTTAATAAACTTTCAATTTTTCTTTATATAACGATTACTATGAAAAAGGACTATAGTTGACAAAAGATCCAATGATCCCATGAGAAAATGTTTTCCTGGCTAGCCGGGATCTCCCGTGAACAGCACCAAAACCAAGGCCAGGAAACATTATTCCATAAGAACAGATTTGCAGTCAAATCGGGAAATTGCTTTCCCTCGCACATCCTCACTTCCTATTTGAAATGGCGTTCTTTTTAACCCGGAAATTAGGAATTTATGTACATATTCAATTTCAAAGATTTTTTCTAGGCCAGTAGCCGAGATTCACGCCTTACCAGGAAAAAGCCAGGCAAGCTTTCCCCATTTGAACAGGTTTACAGGCTCTTTGCGCAAACGACATGCTTAGCGGCAGCTGTCTTGAGAAATTGACTGTGTTCTGTAATTTCATGCAATACGATATTGCGCCGGTTTTGGAATTATAATCGCAAAGCATGCCGGTTGCGCAAAAGCCTTTAAATAAACTTCGTTCTATTTTCAGTCTGATAACGGCCGACTTCAATGCTGGTGCTGTATTGATCACATTTGGAGCAGTTCTTGGAAAAACAAGTCGCTTGCAGCTCATTTTGATTGCTGTCATTGAAACAGTGATATACGCTGTGAACGAGATGGTTCTCATGCACTATCTCAAAGTCACCGATGTTGGGGGCTCTATGGTGATTCACATGTTTGGAGCTTATTTTGGTTTGGCTGTGGCATTTGCCCTTAAAAGGGATGACTTGGAAGACGAGGCCAGTGCAAAAGAGGGCTCAACTGTTACTTCAGATCTTTTCTCCATGGTTGGTAAGTCATCAAGAATTTTTAAAGAGATCCTTTAGCTGATTTTACGATTAAATTCTTTGCTATTTTGCCGTGTAACACGTGTCAAGGTTCAGTCTTTAACAAGGTGGCCACAAGGTGACTAAAAAGGTTTCGCTCATTACTGAACACTGCCCTTACTTTCATTTAAATACCATAATCTTAACAGAACGAAATATAAAAAAGGAACCATAAGCACCAGCAGAATTTTAATTTAGTCCCACCAAAGAGAAAAATTTTAAGGAATCTGAATTACTTCCCCATTATTTTCCTACGGATATTAAAGGTCCAGTGAAACGATCCGAAGTGAGGAACGTCTTCGGTAGTATTTCCATTCTTGGCGACTCGAGGGTCTTTTCTTGGTCCTATTAAGTAATAGCATTCCAACTACCCTTAATTTATTGATTCTAGCTTCCTTGCAGTTTTCTTCTTGGTCTTGAATCCAAGAAAAATTGTTGAGAGTTTTATGAAACGCATTTTAATTAACCTGTAATTGAAAATTCTGACAATTTTGGCACTGGATGGTTGCTCGCTTGCGTTAGACGTCCTTTCCTCTTTTTTCAGGTACAATTTTCTTGTGGCTTTATTGGCCAAGTTTCAATGGCGCGATGCTTGGACCTGGAAATCAACAATCTCGAGCTTTTGTGAACACTTATATCTCATTGGCCTCTTGCTGCGTAGCTACCTTCGTCGTCTCTCCTTTGGTAAACGAGAAACAGAAACTGAACATGGTATGCTTCCAATTTTTTAGCATTTTTTTATTACAAGTCTACTTCGTAACCTCTACCAGTCTTGGATATTTTAATTTCCAAACAAATCTTTGCTACTGCAAAATACTGGGTAACATTTCGTCTGACACTCCTCAGAGTTTAAAGTTCGGATAATGTCCAGATGTAGGCAGACAATTTATACCCAGACGCGGATCGAAAGTAACCTGAGTAGAAGAATGGCGCGCTGGATTGGTTTCGTGTTTTTTGCCGATCGGCGGCCATTAACCCCTAACTTAGTTAAGGCGATAGAGAGTTGATAGAGGTGTTAAGTAAGCTCGTAATTTTGTAGCAGATGCACTAGATATATATTGAAGTACAATAGCCTTTTTGAATGCTTATTTGATACTCCTAATCGAGTCAAGCATCTAATGTTCTTATTATTATAAAGTCATCCAAGTAAAGTGTGGAAGTTTTTTTTTTCTAATCACCTCCACCTCCATCTTTCAGGCCTCTTTTATCATTCTAACTAGGGAGGCAACCCCCAGTGATCTTCCATTGTTTATAACAATAGGATAATATCCACCTCTTTATATAAACGAAGGCTTTCCCTCCAGTTGATCTCCTTTTCAAAAAGGCTATGCCCAACCCAACTTGAATTGAAGAACATGTTTCGAAAACTCTACTTTTGCATAGATTCGTCTGCAACTTTCACAGCAGTCCCTGTTCCACAGGTTCACATCCAAAATGCAACCCTCGCTGGTGGAGTGGCTGTTGGTGCTGCCGCAAACTTGAACTTGCAGCCGTGGGGCGCAATGCTTGTTGGAATTATTGCCGGCCTTTTGAGCACTCTTGGCTTTCAGTACATCACGGTAAGAATACGATAACTGGCATTTATTCCTCTCTAACTTAAGGAGTGAGAAAGGAGCAATTTAAGAAGTCCCATTACATAAAAATTCTAATACTTGTTTGTACTTCAAAGTTAATACTTTTCCTTTACTTTCACAAGGCTAAAATATCTCATTCGAGGACAACTTATCGGTCCATATTACCATAATGCTTTTAAGATGACCAAAATATGACAAAATACAACAGAATTTTATATTGATTTTGCAGCCATTTTTGCACGACAAAATCAAACTGCATGATACGTGCGGTGTTCACAATCTTCACGGCTTGCCAGCAATATTCGCCGGAATTGTTGCCTCAGTTGCATCTGCGGTCGCAGATCTCGATGATTATGGCACCGAGTAAGTCCCTCTGTGCACAGTTATGCTCTCAATTATTCCCTTTACTTAAGCTTCTAGGAAGTTGATTCACAAAGTAAGAAATGAAGATCTAATCGATTGACATGACAAATACCAACCAGGCCACTCTATCTGGAAGCACAACTGCAAGTATATGGGTGGAAAGTCTATCTTTAGGAGTTTATTTTGAAACTTATTTCAGGAGGTCAATTTATTTTGCAATGCATAAGAAGATTTTCCTTATTGGTTTATTGGAATATTGCACTTAGCGGTACCTATAGATTACAATAGCTATTGTCAACGTGCCGAAGACAAGGTCCAATCTTCGCTTGATGCATACCCTGTGGTGAGGTATCTATCTACTTTGGTAAAGATGAAGAAATGCCAAGTGTGCTGAATATCATCTCGTCTCTTTCAGCTTGTACAGTATCTGGCCAGCTCGAATCCCAAAAGTGGGTACTGCTGAATTCAGCAAAGTAAACATGACGTCATACAGAAGTGCATTGACCCTGGATGGGAAAGGAAGATCCAAATCCGAGCAAGGAGGTTATCAGTTCCTCGCAGTCGTTGTCACATTAGGATTGGCAATCGTCGGTGGATATATCACAGGTTAGTTGCTTAATCAAATGAAAGGGTGTCAGTTGACGGGAGCCTCACACGGGTAATTTGCTTTCGGTGTGATCACTTTAGTTTCATGTGATATTGGCATTCGTTGTTGACAGCCTCCTGTTAGCGGAAGCTGTTCTGTAAATCAGTACGAGGCACAATCATGTGATCAGTGTCAGAACCAACAATAGCAATGCAGTACGAAAATCATGACTGAGCGTATTTGGGTATACCCTTTTCTTTTATCACGACTCAATGCCTTCAAAAACACCCCTGTTTGGGTTTACAGAAGCCGCCCTCAGTGAATCTGAATTTGTGAATATCATGTTTAAATATATGGACATCCTGCTTAAGACATAATCGCAATAAGCTCAATAAATAATGTTCATTTTCAAAAAGTGAGAAGCAGTGTAGGCTTTCAGATGTGAAAAATGAGTTTTCTTCGTTTTGGTCGTGTTCCTCTTTCCGTCTCTGAGCATTCACTGCAAACTTTAAGTAGCATGACTGGTGGTAAGATATTTCCGTGGCAAAAATATCATGCATTTCTCCACTTACAGCCAATTGCAACCGAACTGCAGCAGGTTAAAAACGATGGTTTACCTCTTTTAAGTCATTCTGTTTTGGCTCGAACAATCTCCTGTGCAGCGTCCCAAGCCGCCCTAGTTATATGCATCTGCGTCTGAGTCTCTCTTCTCGTTGCGCGCAAAATATAGCTTCTTTTGTACAAGAAACTGGCCTACAGAACGCCGAGAAACTCCTGTGATTAGATATTCTATATCGTCGTCAGCCTCTGGGCCGTCAGAAAGATCAGATTACAAACCAAAGTTTCTTTGAACTATCTTTTTAGCAAAGAATGTTCGACAATTTAAAGTGCCACTGAACTACTTTCGTGACAATTTTGACAATGTGTGTTTTCTAAAGCGATATGTAATTATTTCCTGCATATAGTTTCTATAACAATGTTATTTTAAGCTCTATAATGTGGCATTGCGTGACGCTTTATGCATCATCATCACTATCATCATCATTAATCAATATCATCATTATAACAGTCCCCAAACCGAGGAATATTTTCAGGATTAAATATCCTCTTAGCCTGCGCCACAGACCACTCATTCATGAATGAGTGGTCTGTGACGCATGCTTATATCCTCTAAGCTCAACATCACAAAAGCGACATTATAGAGCTGTTACAACAATAAGATTGATAATAACAGAAGCGGTACGGCTGCGAGGTTTTAAAGCAAAGAAAGACCTGTTAAAAATCAACAGAAACAAGGACATATGACAACAATGCAATGCGAAGAAAACGCGTCTCAATGCGAAAAAATGCACAACCAAAGGGGAATTTGAGGAATGTGGGACGTAATTTATCTTATATATAAGAGCACGCCTAACACATAGTTATTAAACAAGAGAATCGTGAACAGGGAGGTAACGAAAAAGAAATTAAGAGGCGGGAAAGGAAGAAATTGCGTTGCTGGGACACCAAACGGTACCAGCTTTGTGAATAATAGATACACGCCAAAGGTACCGGGTACCTTTTTTGGGTGCAGTTTGGAATGCTTTCCTTACAGATATATAAACACGAGGTGGAAGAGGTCTGGCGTTGTCATACCCCAGCAAGCCGTACATTCAACGAATCAGTCATCCATGCGCAACAGCTCTTAAAAATCTACAGAAAAGAAATAAATCCACTTAGAATGAGTTTCAATGTAAATTTTATTTAGTGTACCTTTTCAATATGACGTTTTTTTGGTAAAAATTCCAGATAATCAATATTTGCAACTGTCTAATTTGAATCTGACATTACAATTGACCATTATAATTTTTGTACGTGTAACCCTAAAAATAATGTAGGGCTTCTTTCGTGCGCTAGATAATATGTCAGAGTACTCTATCCGTGGAAACTATATGCAAAAGTGTTACTCATTGCATGTGTTTTCATTTTTTCAATCTTCTAAGACCTTTTACTGTCAGCTTTTTTGATTTTGAAATATTTACAGTTTCCGGCTTTGAAACCCGATTCATTTTATCCATTTTAAAAAATTTATACAGGTTATAAATTTCATATCAAGATATGTTTTTCAAACCAACCTGTTTAAACGAAAACGCTAACCTAAGAACAAAAAAATTCATATACCTATTTTACAGTATAATATAATACAAAAAATATGAAAAAGAACGATGACATTATGTCCTTTTCAGCTTCGGCAGCTATAGAATATGTAAGTGTTGATATTGAGTCAATTGTATACAATAAACATTACAGAGAGTTATTAAGGGAATTTTTATATTGTTAAGTTTTTGGCAAGGGGCATCTATATATCAATTTGAATTGGCAAATGTTCGTGTTATCAGGGGTTTGTATTTTAGGGAGTTTGCTGTGTTTCAATTATGGAAAATATAGGCCTAACCTGTAGTTTTAGTCTTTCATAGTCTCATCACATTAAAAGAATCGTTTACAGCTCCTTTTCAATTTCTTTGCTCGTCTTTGGACAAAACATCTTGTCACAGCGTCTCTCAAACACAATTTCATATCAAAACGTGCCAATTTATTCTCGGACAGTAGGCCTACGCCAGCGTTATCCGTCACTCGCCAATCAAAACTCCAAATGATTAGCATTAAATCGTTAAATCGATGCATTTACCATTCGTCTTCTGGCATCCTCATCTCGAATCTAGCCTCTAGTGATTCCAATAGAATTCCATCAATGTCCGCTTCGAGATCGGCCAGTTCTTCCTCACCTGACGACGAAGGTAACGGCTCGTCCTGGTAGGGCTCCGAACTGGTCGACACGTCACCAATCCTTCTACAATTTCTTCATCAGTGAGGGAAGGCTCCTCGTCACTCATCATTACAAAAGATGTCTCTAGATTATCCGTTTTATACACAGGGGCGTAACTTGGCCAAAAGGTTTGGGGAGGGTGGGTGAAAAGGGCTTCTGCCCTGCAAAAATGAGTGGTGCCCTCCAGACCTCGTAGCAAAGGTTTGTCTATAGGTTACTACAGGGGGCAAATCACTCTTGAAAATGATGTACGAGATTAATAATCACAAGTGATTAATTTGTGATTAAATCAATTTTGTGTGTGATTAATTTGTTTTTTTTATTGATAAAAGTGATTAATTTTTTACTAATTTTTGATTCTTTAGAGACTAAATCATAGATTCAAAAGTGCTCTTAAATAATGTCATGCACGATAAATCTCGTCAACGATTTTGCAACATACTGTATGAAGTTGAAAAATTAGCAGTTCAGCACAGGAGTGGATCCAGAAAAAATTTTGACCGTTGCAGATTTGCAACGAAAAAGGTACAAAAGTTTAATAACATCAACAACGGAAAAAAAAAACATTGAACAGCTGTTTATCACCTTGCAAAAGACATTAAGGCAAATCCATGTTTTTTTGTTCTGTGGACTGCTATTTTTGTCATAAGAATTTGAATATGCTTCAAGAAAGCTATTGTTTCTGTATAGTACCATTAGTAATATGGATGCAAAAAGCCTTGGATTAAAAATAGTGAAAAGTTGTTGATCACTTTGAATGAGACAAAAAGGGAAATGCATGCTTTCTGTTCTGTGGGCTGCTACTTTTGTCATAAGAATTTGAATATGCTTCAAAAAGCTATCTTTCCTGAACAATAGCATTAGCAACATGGATCCATATAGCCTGGAATGAAAAAACGTTGAACAGTTGTTGAACACCTTGCAAAAGCCATTAAGACAAATGCATGTTTTCTGTTCTGTGGGCAGCTACATTTGTCATAAGAATTTGAATATGAATCAAAAAGCTATCTTTCCTGAACAATAGCCTTAGCAACATAGAGTTGCAACTGTGATATCCGGAACTGTCTGGATCCGCCCCTGTAGCAATGAATGAAAAATGACTGCTATCAGGCGTGGTTTTCGGTCAGATCAAATGACTGCTATCAGTGGCATTTGGGCAACAAAAACAGCAATGGTTATTTCAGTGACCCCGGCATCATAACGAGGCCTTCATTTTTTCACCATTGCAGGGTACTTTAAAAGGTTGTTCTTCTCTAGCGTGTGTTTGCAGATTTTCCAACGTATTCACGAAAAGATTGGAAAAGTGTAAAAGGGAAATTCTAAATATTGAATTTTTCAATAACATATCCGGATAAAAGTGGGCAAAGATTCTAATATTTGTTTTAAGTAACTTTTGTGATTAATGTTATACTATGTGATTAATTTGAGTTTTCCTTTAATGTGATTAATTTGTGATTAAAGTGAGATTATTCTTGAGAGCGTATGTGATTTTAAGCAGTGATTTGCCCCTCGGGTTAGGGAGGGGGGATGGTATGCTAAAACTCTAGTGATGGACGTTGTGGAAGAAAAGAAACGGTAACCTTTCGTTTCAGATTGCACATAGTTGTGAATGACAGAGCAATGTTGCTTTGATTGGGAGAATTTTATTTCCTGAACAGAAATGTGCAGTTTCTTATCTCGAGAAGGCCATGTTTACACTTCCAAAATGAAAACATTGCAATGATACAGAAAGTGATTTACTGAATTAATGCAAATAAAAGAAAAATAATAAAAAATATACGTGAATGAGTTAGCAATTAGATCAAACAAAATCGGCATCTTAAACGTTTATTCTCTTTTTATTTCATACACTGCTAAAAAGTTATAGAAAAAACGATAAAACAGTCTTATGTGACCAAAGTGAGGGCCTTCAGCCCTCTACTCCCCCCAGTGGCGCCGTACCTGTCATGAAAATAATTCACAACTTAAATTATTTTGTGTTGACTCAACCTTGCCCTCATAAACTTATGCATCAATCATTGCATCAATTGGCTATGACTTTCGGTAAGGAATGCTTTCGCTCTGCTAATAACGGAGCTCTTCCTGACATACCTGTTCTATTCTCTAAAATGCAATGACAGGAAAGGAGGTTTATAAAAAATATAATATTTCCATTTCAAAATTCGTAAACGGCCCTTAACGAACTTCAGAGTTCGCGTTAAAGCTCTTCTTGGCGCCCTGCGAAATCTTAGATTGCCCTGCAAAATCGACTATTTTTAAGATCGAGGGGTTTCACACCCCCCCCCACACCCCCGGTATTTTCGTCCCTGTTTATACATGATATTGTCCCTCAAACCAACCTGCGCTCCGCTTTAGCACTACAAGCAACACTGGGTGTTGTTGTGATCGTATAAATCAGAATGCGTCACTCGCCCCGGGCCTTTTTCGCAAGACCACGGGGGCTTTTTCGCAAAACAGGCATTTCCCTCTAGCAAAATAAAAAATTAATAACGGCAATCGATTCAGCGATGTTCAATCCCTATTATAAAAACCTCAAGTTCAAAAGAGAAATTTTCGGAAAAAATAAGTTGTTTGGCAATTAAAAGGGTAGAAACAAGACACTTATTCAAGCCCGGCCTTTGGTCAATGATAATAATAGAAACCACCATGAATATGCTTTAGATTATTTTTAGGTTGAGTTTCAAAGTTCTTTTTCCTTAACGTTGATTGCATCACTATTTTTGCATAGAGAAATAATACAATGCAAGAAGATTATCTATAATAACGATTCGGAAGTAAAATCGAATTCGCGGGCTGTCCCGTATTACTTGTGTACGAGGGTGTTGGACAATTCCCTAAATCGCAGTTATGAGCCGTAGTAACCACACAGGAAACTCTATCAACCAATTCTATTATAGACATGTGATCTTCATTCTTTTATTCCAATAGGGTTCATTGTTTCACTGCTTGATACTCCAAAAGCCAGGCAAGTGTTCGACGACGAAGCCTTCTGGGATGTACGTATAATCTTTATGAATTATAGCGAGAGTTTATATTTTAAACGTATGTTTAAGAAATTCACTGTTTATGATTAAACGAAAGTCATGGTTGACTCAGTATGTACTTTCATTTAGTATGTAACCAAACAGAGAATTTTGATGAGAAAAATGGCCTGGATTTTCCCATCTAGCCTCTTACAGATCAATGCCTACAATGTCAATATGAACAACCTGGGAGATGTCTGCCATACACTAGTAAGCCCTAGATGCAGTAAGCTAGACATATCTGTTACCAACTTTATGATAATTTCTGTCATAGAATTTACCGATTACAGCCAAGAAGCGGAAGTTTTTTCAAAATATATTTTAAATAATCAAAATGGTTTTTCTTACAAATTAATAACTTCCCACTCCCTCAATGAAAACTGGCATTTTTCTGGATTCATCATGATTCGCTTCAACCTACTATTGACCTCTTTATTGCTTTATATCTATAAATCTACGTCTTACAGCCAGAATTAGTTTTAGGCATTTACAGTTTGAAACTGTTGCTGAGGCCATGTACATAAATCCATACTTTTTGAACACATTGCAAAGCAACAATTGTTTTATTAACATTTACCGCTTCTCTTCTCATCATTTTCCGCTTCTCTTCTCATCATTTTCTCATACATTGCATCATCAAAACACTTGTTTCCAGGTTCCTACTGATGACGCCGGCATCCAGCTTGTAAAGCACACCGCCAGCTTCAACGGAAACCAAATTGAGCTCGCTATTACTAATGGGGACGAAGAAGCCCCAACCAATGCTTGAGACTTTCAGGTTTTTTCACGATTAAAGACTTGCCTTTTGGCTGTTTATGCTATCGATATCGTATAAGAATATTTTAGCACATTCTAAGGAATTTAACCAGTATCTGATTATCTCTGAATGTAAGCAAGTATAATAAATAAAACTCTGTTAAACTTTGTTGTTATGTGGTAGTCCGGAAGAGCACTCCCATCAAGGTCTGACAAAGAGTCTAGTTAGGGCCAAAGAGGGCCAAAGGTAAGATTATTTCGACAACCCTCAAACAAGGTTGTGTGTTTCTTACAATTACCCTCAAATGTTAGCATGTTTGATTAAGAGCCAAAGGTATGCCATTTGCAGGAATACTTGCACAAAGAAACAAATAGAAGCGCCCCCTTAATGGTAGAAACTACTTACACTACCGCCAAAAAGTAGTATAAATACTTTGGTAGCCATTTCATAAAACCCTGAAACCGACCGAACCTCCCTGCTAAGCTATACTTGGAGTGAACCCCCCCGGATCTTGTAGACACTCATTTCTGTTCTTCTTTAGCCCCGTTATTGAGATCTGTTTTCAGCGGATTACCCTTACACTCGCCGTACCCCACTTTCACAATAAATTCTATGTATTTTCTTTCCTAACCCATTGTCCTTTCAGTATGTATCAAAAGACCCTGTTGGTGGAGTAAAGCTGTCTTGCTTTCATAGTGAGTACAAGCTCGTATCATACGTCTGTATAAAACCGTAAAAACGTATCCATATTGTATCATCCTTTTTTTATTGTGGTATTCACCGATATCATTACATGCAGTTAATCTCCTTATCAAGACTCTAGTATTGATTTTGTTACTCTCCAACATACCACTATTACGAATGGTAAAATTGAATTTGAATTTTCTACTACAAAGGTAGTTTTAGACTGAAAAGCCACAGCTACGCTTATCGAGCTGGTCCTTTGTCACGATGTGACCACACCTTGTGCTTCCTACGTGAATGTGGGGTTTCCATCCGTAAAAGCTCAGAAATCTGTAGAGAATTGGCTCACTCTGAAACCTTCTTTAGACCGTCTATTATTTCCTCGTGAAATCTACTCACACCAGATATGGCGCTATGGAGTGTCACGAGGGGAGGGGGGAGGTCCCCTCAAATCCCCAATGACACCATGTCGGTAGCCCAATAAATGAGAAAAAAGCTGCCGGCACTTGGGAACTGTCGACGGAAGAATTTTATTATCATATTTTATAAGAGCCATTAAATTGAAGTATCACAATTTTGTTCAAATGTTTTAAAAATATTTTGGAAAAACAGTGTTGCAGAAAGACAGAGGCTTTATTTCCTTACCACGCCCACTTTTAACCCACCAAAAATGAGGAAGGCTTTACAGGCAGAGGCACAAACGTATGCGCCTTTGTTAAAATCACAAGCATATAGCAGATCAGGGAAAAACCAAGGACAGTTTAGATAATTAAAAGAACAATAAAGTTTCTCAACCCCACACTTGTGCTTTAAATAAGCACTAGGGACAATTGCTTAATGAGATCGCCATGTAGCTTAGCATCTAATCTTGTTGGTATCTTCAAAGACCTAAGAGAAAACGGACTTAAAATGAAAACGGACTTAAAGAGATAACGGACTTAAGTATCCATAATGCTGTTTTCAAATGAAATTATTCAAATAAATGGAGCTATGCTTCTCCAAGCTAAGTGTGGTTTAACTGCAAACATGAAACATCCAATTAAGATTCATTTGTACATGGCAGCATATTAAAAGATTCAAGAAAAAGCCAAAACCACATTTCAATCAAGACTCGCCTCTTTGAATTTTCTAGGGTTAAAATATTTACCAACTAGTTGATTTGCCAGTCATATGCTGACAAACTGCTTCGAAACATCCCTCGGCTCTAGCTGTCGTCCTTAGGCAACATATGTGTGTCGGCTTATAAAATGGGAAAGTTCAGTTTGTCATGTTTGTTTCCTGTCCGTGATTCAAGTTTGAAGTTTAATTACCACAGAAAACTCGGCTTCCAGTGAAGATAAACGCCTCTAAAAACGGATATTCGGAAGGTTATAACTAAGTTTTACGTAATATATTGCCAGTATATATAAATTACGGTTTAGTCCCGTTAAGTTGTACCCCCGGACGGCACTGAATTTTATTAAGTGGAACTGATTTCCAAGTCCCGTTAAGTTGTACCCCCGGACGACAATGAACTTCATTAAGGTAGGGGTATCCCAAAGATTTAGCGAATTTTGACAATTATATTGAAAATTGTATTTTTCCATTATATATGACAGAATTTCATAGAGAATTTAACTGTGACATTGGTTTTGCTATATGGTAAAGAGAAGATAATAAAAAACCCTATTTTCCATGCCCACCCATTTGTTTTATTCTCTTAGCAACAAATTTTGCCCTTCGTTACCAGAATTTTGCCCCAAAACCCCACGTTTTTCTTTTGGGACCCCCCTACCTTAAGTGGAACTGATTTCCAATCCCCTTTGGTTTTGCCAGTCTAATTCAAATTAAGTCCTACCACGGGTTGGTCGGACATTAGTTTTGTCAGACGGTTTTCTTACACCCTTTAAAGGTCCAACATAACGGGATTCAACTATGGTAGCATGAAAGGGATATATGCTTTTCGCCTTTAAAAACAAACTGGGATTTGTCAGGCATGAATGTGAATTAGAACAGTTACTTTCAAACTTTAAAGGGATGAGAGATCTATGACAAGACTATAATAAATCTGTTAAGAGCAAAACCACTGTTGCCACAAATTAGCTTAATAAATTACAATTTTGTTTCAATGGTTAAATTGTAAAGAATTTGAAATGGCAAATTTTATATCTTGGTATCCAGTTTAAAGGATATGAGCAGAATTTAAACAACATTTGAAAACATTCTAAGAGTTTTTCTTCTTTCGTCATGAAGGAGACAGCTTTCTTATTTTCGGCCTAAGAAGTTAAGTCTTCAAGTAATCCCTTTTGCGCCTTATTCAGAGAAGTTGTTAAAATCATTTGTGTTCTCCAGTCGGCTCACGATACTTTATCAACGACCAGGACAAGGTACAGAAAAGGCAAGCTCATTATCAAGCAGCCATTCCATGCCACGGTCTTTCAATAGCTTTTTCTTTTTTTATTTATATTTCTTTTCAATAGATAACTATTTCAATTATGCGTTGAACATCATCTGCTATCAAAATCACTGAAAGGATTCATATCATGTTTGCTCTCAAAAACAGAGCTGGAAGGCTTCAAGCATCAAGCATCAAAATTTATAGCATGTACTCAGTGTGGGTATTTAGAGTCTTCCAAGAAATTCTCAAATGCTTCTTTGCATTTTATTAACCCCAACTGCATTTGAATATAAAGAAAATCCCGTTCAAAGAAAAGATTTATGTCTTTACAGGAACGGTAAAGAGCCGCTGGAAAAAAGTACACCATTACAAAGGCCTTGCTTGGAACCGTTTAAAAAGTTTTTTGGCAAATAAATTTTGTCGTCAAAGGAGTGTTAGAGGTTAGACGAATGTTCAAAGTATGAGTGAATTTTAAACACTGATTTTTGCCGGAAACAGGGAAAGCCCTGAAAGCCTATAACTGCATTTCGTATTAGCACTCTTCAAGCAAAAAGACAATTCAAACACGTGCGTCTTTGTGATGAGCTGTTCAAAGAGCTACTACTCTTAGAAGTGGCGGAAATTGCGGGGATGTGGGAGGGGGAGAGGGGGGGGCAAGTGTCGATTAATCATTTCATTTGTCAGCAAATTTGCTTGTTTTTGTGGGCATTGCCCCCCCCCCCCACCACCTGAAAAATGAATTTCCGCCAGACTCCTAGCTTATGAAAGAAAATAGAATATCTTTTAACTCAAATTTTACAACTTTATCTAGGCCTCAAGACTTTTCAAAACTCAAAGAAATTGGTTTTAGTCAAAGACAACATGTTCAAGCATTCTTTGGTTACATATAATTAGTAAAAGCTATTACACTTTGGCAAATCTTTAAGTTATTAAGGGTTTGAGTATGGTACTTTATCACATCTTTGTACTTTCAGTCTTGAATTCTGTGTTGATATCTGCAAGCTCCATGTCCTCAGTACTGGAAGGTTTAACTTTGGCAGTTTCTTCAGCCTCGCTTTTTTTTGTCAACGGTTCCTCACATTCTGAAATCTTAGATATTAGTTCAAGAATTTACTATAATGATTTGATCCTTACAGATACACTAAACTTTTTGAAGGTAGTGCTATCGGGTAAACATTGCAAGTTAACCGTAGATCCTTTAAATGATTCTGTTAGCATAGCCTTGGGGTTGGACCAAGTGAAAATGTCTAAGAAGAGCCTGTCACCTTTTGAAACATTATCCCATCTTTCAGACCGTAAACTTTGAAAAAAGATAAAACCATCGCATGTTTATATGCCAATTTAATGGGCGTAGCGTAGGGTAAACATTTAGGGGTTAGGTGAGGGGTGGGGGGCTTAGTAAGGGCCTTGCCCGATTATGTTGCTTCATTGAAAAAAATTGCCCGCAGTGCCTAAAAATCGATATATTTTGCCTATGCCAAATTAATCACAATCTCAAACTTATGGCTACTTCCCTTTGACCCTACCTCCTAAAAGGTAAAATTTCATCCAAATGGTTGAGGTCTGCCAAGTTGACTGCAGCATTTCCCCCCTGCCCCGGATAAATTGTTTCAAATAAAAAAACAATAGGTATATGCAAGGTATATATATCAACCAAAAACATCAGGTAATTACAACGCTTTTAAGATTGCCACTAAAGCTACTTTCTGAAGCCTCCCTTTTTCTGATTAAAAAAACATAAGACACACGGAAAGTGTTTCATCAAAAAAAAAGAGAACGATTGATATTCTGTCAGTGCTTTGTTGAAGTCAACAGTGGTTTGGTAGATAGGGTATCCAAGGGCATAAGTTTTTTTGTAGTTAATTTCGCCTATTATTTGATCCGGAATGGGGGTGGCAATAGAAAAAAGGCATGGCAAAATATAAGACATTGCAGTCAGTATAAAGAAAATGTTACTGCAAGATAAAGACTAGCTGGTATAAGAAACGTTGAAACTATAGTGATAGCAGTATTATCTTTACTGAAAAGGCTATCCTGTATAAATATGGTAGATTATAAATATTATTATATTATAGATAAAGGGACAGATTGTATATCAAAAGCAAAGGAGCACGGACAAAGAAGACACAGAATATTACTGCGTTTAAAAGGAACGATTCCTACATAATGGAGTTTATAAAAATACGCTCAAACAAACCTCCCAAGATCCTTTGTCATCAAACAGATGGTCTTTGATGGGAGTGTCGAGTAAAGTAGCGATGTAGCCTAAGATCAACATTAGTCCGCCATTAGAGAAAGCTGCTAGATAGAAACTCTTCTGTGTTTTAACAAAAATGACTTCATATAATGCTGTGGACAAAACGTTTCATTCTGTAGTATGGCAGGGCTGGAATAAGGAAATAGGTTACAAGCCAGTTGTATATTCGCTGCAAATGCGGTTTGTTGGGAGTTCATATTGATGTGTGCCACTTTCTTTTTAACTTTTATAATTTTTAACTTTTAGAATTTTATAAGTAATTATATTGTACAGAAATACCCGGTTGCTAAGAATAGCCCTTCCCTTACCTGTCATAAGGCCACCGAAAATCGCTATAAGGATGGTAACAGCTATTGCAGCCAGCTGCATGCCAGCTTGATCTCCTTTTGACCGACCAACTCCATTAAGAGGCAATGTATAATTCCGACTAAGACGCAGAAATTCTGCCGTTCCAGGTTTTGGAGCTCTTGCGGGCCATATTGCATAGAGACTAAAAAGAGGCAGACATTATTTGATGTGTCATGACCAAAACCTAGGACAAAAAATTCAGGCAAAACAGAATTCATAGTGCAGCCAAAGGTTTAACGTAAAGCTGTCCTTGTAGAGGTAGAAAAAAGAACCGATACGCACTCCTCCCCATACTCGCTGATTTCTGCTGTAGCAGCGAAAATTGCAGCAACGATACCAGAGAAGATGCCAGGAAGGCCATGAAGATTATGCACGCCACATGTGTCATGAATGCCTGCTGATCGGCGTAGATATGGCTGTTTGCGAAAAGTTAAATGATTCATACTAAGCAACATAATATAGGCAGAAAAGAACAATTTCTAAAATATGTAATATATAAATATGATGAGTATATAAGCTATAATGATATAGATAAATTGAGGACCATTCTTTGTCCATATGGAAGAGGGGTGGTTTTTTGGCTGTCATAGCAACTAGATCTTCATTGTCAATAATCCTTGAGTATATGTTACTTTTAATAAAGAATTGCTTCTGTGTCCGCAGATATTTACCGCATCTTCAAAAATGAAAATCTGGGACAGATTTGAACAACATTGATTTTGGTGTTGGTTGTTAGACATCTTTTAATTTTAACGTAAAGAAGATAAGAAGGCTAGCAAAGTAAAATTTTGGCGATATGTTGTTGCTACTGACCACCAAAAAATGATTTGGAAGCAAAATTTACCGAAGGACAAAGAAATATAGGGGAGGTGTCGCATCCCCTGCTAAATCCGTCCCTGATGAAAATGCATTGAAATACTCCCTGTCAAATTGCAGAGCTTCCTTTATAAAGATTCCATAAAGAACGTTGTTTCAAGTGAAATCTTTTTGGAAAAATTTTCTAATCAAGTTGAGCCAAAAAAATCATGTAACGATTTGCACTTTCGGATATGTGCGTAGAGTTACGAAAGGAAAAGGAGTCGCGTGAAGCGTTTCTTGGAAGCGAAGCACGTGCTTTGTGAAAGGAATGCACATGTTTCTAAAAGGAATGCACATGTTTCGTGAAAGGAATGCAAAATGTTTCGTGAAAGGAATGCACATGTTTCATGAAATGAAGGCACATGTTTCGTGAAATGAATGCTCACGTTGAGCCATTTGCATAAATCATCTGCCTTAAGGTTACGGTAAACGTTTTGAACACGAAAATTGGTTTTTCCTTCCTAAAGGCCAAACGGCTCAAGGAATCTGGATAAACTTTATATCATTCGATGCACAAGATTATGGCGTATCTAGCCAGATAAAAATTATTGGCAAATAATGTTAAATGTTATTTTCCATGCGAATTTACTGGTCAAAAAGTGTACCACCTTCAAAAGCTATTATGTACCCTTGCGTTTAAGGTAACAAAATCTGACTTAGACCAGCAGGAAGTGCAGGTCCTAAGCTACCAAAGTGTGTCTCAGATTTTTTAAATTCCTCCTCTTCTTTAAACTATACCCTGTCAAAAATTGGCAAATAATTTGTCCACCCTCCCGCAGCTGTATTTGGGTATTAAAGACGGACCAGAGAAAATAAAAAAATTTTGAGACACACTTTGTTTGCCCAACGTCTGCCCTGGCCTTGTGCAAATTTTCGAGCCATTCGATTGGTTCCTTGGGTACATAATAGCTTTTTCGTACCTGCATGTAGAGGAATTTCGAGTCCGGAGAAAACGGGATTTTACTGATCGCATTTGCAAGATACACTCGTAAACCACAGTGTAATCCGGGTCAAGTCACTTGAAGATTTAAGATCAATAAGCCTGTTTAAATAAACACGGCCGTACATTGGATATATGGATGTGCCATGCGATATTGTAAATGAGACATGCGACCACGACCGCAAAGCAACGATAATCGGCTTAACAGGTCAAGAGATTTTCAGGCCTCAACTAAAAGTTTTGATAAAGAAATTATGGAAACCTTCGTTTACATGGGATTTTTTCCACTTTCAAAATTTCTGTTTGTTTCAAATTTGGTATCATTGTGTGCCTTGAAAGTTCAGCTACTTGAATGTGAAAAAATCGAAAAAATGATGTTTTCATCAAGAAAACGTTTACCGTAACCTTAAGTTGATTCTTAAACTTTTTTTATTCTGTGATACATGAGAAAAGAGAATGACTGCTGATGAGTTGTAACTGCAAAAACTTCTAACTACAGATGCAGTTGAAACGATACTTACGGTTAAATAGTGGAAAGCAATCATACAGATAAACCCACCAACAAATCCAGACAACATTGCAACCCAGGGTTTCAGAAACAAGTTAGAAGCAGTCCCTACTGCCACTCCACCGGCTAGCGTTGCATTCTGGATGTGTACCTGCAGATGTTAAAGTAATCATTGCGTCATCAAATACCTCACCATCTCAGTAATATCAGCTACCTCGCTAGAAAACCTGTAATGTGGCTAGAAAATGCCAAAGAAGTAGGTAACACAATTGACTTTCTGTAAAGTATGTTGTGCAAGTCATGCATGAATATTACGTTCTTCATGCTTGCAAGAGATTTTAAATTAATTTTTAAATCAGACATCTTTTAGATAACCCAGATTGTGCCAAAGTCTATAATGACGACATGTTTTAGATAATTGGCAGCACCAGGTCGTCTTTTCACCTAGCAGTTTTGGAATCGATTTAAATACAAACGAAAAAGCCGCTATTGTGTAAACAGAAGGAGTTCGTTTTCTCTCTTGGACTCCAGTGGTAATTTTCTCTAGGCACGCGGTACTGATTGGATAACTTTACCGGACATGTGCTTGCATTATTCTGATTGGCCTATTTCGATCCACAACTGGGGAAATATTCTCCATCTTGTTTTTCGGACACTTATTCTGACGTCTTATACTCCGAGGAGTGTTAAAGCTTTTAGTATGTTGTGAAATGTTTGCTTTTTTAAAAGCCATTTTCAAATTTTGCACCGCCAAAAATTGTAGGCGTAAACATGCGTGCTTGCAAATGCAGCTACAAAAACTCTAACCTAAAAGAATAGGCATAATAGTAAGATACCATATTTAGCTTTCCATCCTTGCTGAGCATCGGAGAAATGATATACGTCACAACGCATGATGTTGCCAATGACAGATAAGTGTTAATAATGACTCGCGCTTGCTGACCGCTTGGGCCTAAGTAGGAGCTGTTGAAGCTTGGCCAAAGCGCCCACAAGATGCATGTACCTGAAAGAAGATGGTGCATTGAGTCCTTTGAAGGGGCAGTGCTGATAAGCAGAACAACATAGCTAAAGCACATATACTGTTGCATTGCATGCATACTCTTTTTGCTGCAAATTTGCAATTCAGTATACATGAGTAAAAAAGGTTGATATTTAGCAAAATGAATGAATGATTTAATAGAAATTAGAGATAATCTCTTGCAAATAACATTATAATTCTCAAGTTTTGATTTGCTCAAGTTATGATTAAAAGCGATAGAACACAAAGCGACAGTGTTAACTTGCCTAGCATGGCGATAAGATCTGAGTTGTATGTTGATGATTCCTTTGGGCTTTCTTCTTTCGTTGTTTCGTCACGTTCAAATGCTTTTGCAACAGCGAGCCCGAAATAGCAGCCGAACATATGAATAACGACCGAGCCACCAGCATCAGAGATGACCAGAAAATGGGATAAAATCATTTCATTGACATTAAAGAAAACAGTTTCAACAATAGCCACAAAGAGGTACTGTACACGACTTGCTTGGCCCAGTATAGTAGCGAATGTGATTAGTATTGTGCACGTGTTGAATTCAGCAGCCAGCATGCTAAAAAGTATTGAAGAAAGGTATGAGAGATTGTTAAGTAAAGAGATTAATCGGCAAAAAGTTCACGCCAAAAGTGATAACTAATAATGGCTATGTCCTTTTAAAACAGACTTTTGGCGTTGCTTTTTAAAAAAATATCTTTTACAAAACTGCTATCCTTGTCAGGAATCTTTGGATTTTTGCTATTTAAATGATTCATCAAGCCTGGTAATGTAATAGAATCCATAGAAAATGTATTTTAAAATATCTCGAAGAGTGGTAAAAAGATTTTATCAGGTTGCAATTGGGTAATTTTGTATATATTCAAACAGGAATCTTCAACGGAGAACTCAGTTCAATTTTTAATCTTACAAAGCAATGAAGAAATACTTAAGTATAGAAGGGAACTCCCTTAAAATTTTTTCGCTTCTTTCCAATCTACCCATTTCCAGCAAAACAATTCTCTTTGATGTAAGAATTAGAGTATGCAGTCAGAGACTTTTTTTGCTAACCTTTTGATGTTAATCTTTACTTTGATTGGGTGAGGGACCCCTGAGGCAGCATTTGATATCCATCCAGTGACCAACATTCCCCATTGAATTATCATTGCTCCGATTATGAGCGTATACCCAGAAGAACTAAATCCATGGTGCTTGAGAAAGGTCATCAGAAATGGAAAACCAACAAACAGCATGATATGGACGTCCTGAAATACTGAGATACAGAATGGTATTGAAAAACACTAGTAGAAGTAGTAGTATTGATACTGAAACTAACATTAATACTGATTCTAATTCTAATTCTGGTTTCAGAAAATTGCAACTGTCATAACACACGTTCCCTTAGGAATGCTGAAAAATGCTGCCCCAGCCATTAAGTTCCATTATCGTTCACGACAAATCTGCCCTTAAAGACAAACTGGAAGTAGCAAAGGTGCCTTCCTTGCATAAATCTTGTTTCCACTCTGCTATTGACAACTATAGATCAATATTTTTTCTTTCTATATCAATAAAATATCTTAGGAAACATGTCTTGTACACAGCTAATAGCACATTTTAAAAAACGAGATCTTCAATTCGATTATTAGTTTGGATTTCTCCTTAATGAGATGCCCTTGTATGAAATAATGAAGATAGAGTTGCAATGGCTCACTGTTACCGCTATAACAGGAAACAAATTGTTCAGTACAACGGAGAACTCAAATTCCATCCTCAAGTGTTCCGCAAGGAGGTATCATTGGCCCCTTACATTTATTAATTTCAATGACGTTTATAGGTTACTAAAAAACACAAAAATCATAACATACACAACTGCTTTCCTTTATTCTTGTACATTTTTAAACTTGCCTGAATATATTTTTTCGATCAACTTTACAAGACAAAAAGACGTGCGAGGAATCAAAAGCATACATTCTATATTCAGAATGCAAATTTGGCCGGCCCCAACCAAGCTGAAAATGCAGCTCGGTCTGTTGAAAATTCCTACCAAGAACGATTTTGGGCATATGAAAATGACCTTGACTTGTATATAAGTATGTTAATTTGTATGTTAGTCAGTTCAGTTCAGTTCACATCAGAGTTATACAGCAATACACTGTCTCTCTCACTGGCTCCGTGTTCTCTGCACGTTAAATAAGATTTGAAGTAGCATCAACGGTGGAAAGTTACAGCAGACAAAATAGGAACCAAGGCAATTCTTGCCACATAATAACGTTCCTATAGGTGTTCCAAGTACTTTGGCAATGATTCTACAAAAATGAACAACAAAAACTGAATGATGGAATTTTGAGGGTAGAACTCTTACGGGGTAAAGCAGTTTTGATAGAGATTTCTAAGAGAGTTATTTTTATGATTCTTCGTATTCTGCTGGAGATAGGCCTGCTTCTAAGTATTAATCCACCCGCTTCGTAAATAACAATGTGGGTTTCAGTTTTTATAAACATAGACCAACACAAGGCACATTTACCAAGGTGACATCAGCACAGTATAAAACCCTCCTACCCCCCTTTTATAGTGTCACATTTCATCACAAAAACTATAAATCCCCCTACTCCGTTACTCAAGGACGTGATTTTTGAATGACCCCCGAGAGCGATCTTTGGTAGAAACTATTAAGCCTGGTTTTCATATATCGTAAACCGTCGGAGATGATTCCCGATGCACAGCATTCCTGATGGTCGGGGACGATCCCCTTTTCTATAAACAATATTGAAGCGCCAAAACTGTAATTTTGATAAAAGTTTGGGAATATGGCTGCTGATAAAGGCCAATAGTCAACTGGGAGTATGACTGCTGATAAAGGCCAATACTATCATCGATCTATGATCAACACATTGACGTTTATGAGCAACACATTGATAATTTCGGGATATTCTGCAAATGAAAATACATTACAACAAACTAAGAAACTTTCCCCGCGCACCCGTCAGAAAAATATTGCTCCAGAAGAAGTTATTGTTACAATGAAGATAAAAAAGGGGAGGCAAATCCCAGTATGCATTTTTTTGGGAAAATTTTTGTTTAGTGGATTATGTAATGACCATGACATAGCTGAAGATTCACCCTGATTCACCTTAAAAAAATGATGAAACTCAAACTTAAGACTAGGAATCAGACTAGGAATTATGGCCCCCTTAATGTTCCCTGTACTATCGAAAGCATTCTAGTTTTTCCGTGAAACAGTTACCCTCCCTCCAGTTTAAATGAACTCACTTTTTACAGAACATTCCTGATCAATTGTTCGTCGGGAAGCGTCGGGAAAGTCAAATTATTTTGACTTTTGCGATGATCGGGGATGATCGCCGATGGTTCCTGATGACCCGGTTTTCATATGTCATAAACCATCGGGAAGCTGCGTAGGGGATCATCGCCGACGAATTACGATATATGAAAACCAGCCTTTAAGTTACACCGTCAAGTTTTTGTGAAAAGTTTTTATCAGCCCAGCGTTCAGACTTCAGACTTTAAGCTATTTCCTAATTTCAGCACTAAAACTTACTGTACTCTTTCTTAACGGAGAATTTTACGTTACTGAGCATGCGCAGTGATGGAGAGGAGAACCCTCAATGTCATAACACCAACTATTGAAGAATCCCCAACAAACTGAGTGAAATTTCTCATGCAAAGAAAACCCAACAAACAAAGTTGAATTAACTATGCAGTTTTAGCCAGTGTAGTTTTAGCCAGTGAAGAAATTGTGAAGGGCAATCAGACTCGAGCGGTGTAGAAAACGACAAGATTCACTTTTACATTTCCATTAAATCAACAATAATCATGACTCCAGTGAGACACGGAACACAAGTTAATTTCTAATCACAAACTACTGTTTTATTAAAAAGCTACGTGGAAATTCATCTGGTCATCTTCTTCTATTTTTTCGAAATGGTCTCCAGCAGGACCCCTCAAATACGCAGAAACCAATCTGCCAGATTTTTCTGCATCCTATTCATTGGCTCTCGCGATCCTCTCAAACGATGAAAACCCATCGATTACGTTGGTATTGGGATACCCATAAAATTTGTCCGGCTTCACCAAAATTGACTTGTTTGCAAACGAAGAATCGAATCGTTGAGGTGTGCTAGGGCCAGCTGATGCGGTTTCCTCAGTTGCCATCCTTGTAAATCATATCTTTAGAGGCTCAATTTCAGTTGCTGACCAGTCTGTCATGCACGGTGAAGGCTAGGTACCTAAATATTTATTCACTTAGGCCCTATTTAATCGAATATCCCAGCCGACTGTCACCAATTGTTTCCGACTTCTCCATACTCTCCTCTCTTAGAACAATTCTTTTGGCATCATTGAAGGTTTTGGGACCCGCCATTGTGACTCTTTTCAATGATTGTGGTCTGAGACCCAAAGTAAAATGTTCACGGGCTGTCACTTCAAAAATCTCGTTGCTTACATCCGGCGGGAAAGATCGAAAAACCAGTCTTTGAATGGACAGAGCAAATTCTATCACATTTTCCCTCTTTACTTGCTTTCTTCAAGCCAAGTCTATTTGGCACTGTCCCATAGACTTGATCAGGTTCGATACAATCATCGAAGCCATCATCAAATGCAGCCGAAGTTTTCAACTTCGGAACTTTCTCAACTTTTTGACCAACCGAGCATAACTTCTTATAAAATACTTTCTTAGAAGAAACGTGCACTAAAATAGAACATATTTTCTGTTTTCATTGGTACAAGGGACCTTCAAAATTAATCCAAATAAGGACATTTTACAACCAGCTGCTACAAGTATTTTTCTGATTTACCGACAAAGGCCAGTGAAAACAATATAAATCCTTCCTGCTTCCTGTTTTAAGGGGGAAGGATTAGGAACCCAAGCAAAGCAAAGCAGCACAGCTCTTTAAGAATATGTCACAACCCGGCAAAAAATAGGGACAACACGCAGCCAAGTTAGAAAAAATATGGAACTAGTTAAGTGGAATCCTAATGGCTCAATATCTTCAACGAAAGGGGGTTGGTGTTTTTGTTTGATAGGCAGGTGGGGAGAGGGGCACACATTTGCCATGCTGCATGACACAGACTGCCCGACAACAGAAGACAATATAAGATATACCAAGCCTGATATAAAAGACCTTTACATACATTTTATTATTTTAATGGATATCTTAAAGTCTTTCTGTTGTGAATATGATATCATATATCAATGAGTTGCACGTACCTGGGTAGTAGCCAGAAATGATGCCTTGCTTTTTGTCGTAAATGTCATGGTCAACACATGCACCGTACAAGATAATCAACAACAGCTGGAAGGAAAACAAAAAGCCTGAAAACGTAGACTTTGGCAGCTCCATAGCACGGCAAGATTAGGCCTAAGAAATCTGCAAAAGTAATTGCCACACAAAATAGTCAACCTTGCCACAGAGTGACCTTGCTGTGTTCGTTTGAAACGTAAAACCGACAGAGGGTGAGATATTTGCATAACAAAGAGAAGTAATGTTTCTAAGCAACAGTACAGGTATGAGTTTTTAGATGGGGCTAGTTCATGGAGAAGGGCTTCATTGAGAGTGGAGACGCTCAGAGAAATCATCTTCAAGCTGTCATAAAGAAAGGTCGTTTTGTAGATTTTTCTTGAATTTCAGGTTCTATTCATTTACAATTTTATTGAATAATCCTTTCTAAAATATCCAACAAAAGAACAACTTGGCATGTTAATTTGGCAATTTGAGCAACGTGATTCCTCTAAAGAACACCGCGGCGTTTATCAGAGGGCGGCGTTAAATACAAAATGAAAAGTTTGTTAAGTGAAAAATGACAAGAAAAATGCGACGAAGAAAGATAAAAACAGACTTTGAACAATGGTTCCTTTTCCCGAAAACACACAATAAAGGTTGTGTGAAAATTTTTTAGCTCACAGAAGATGTGTTCACGTTATGGAAATGTCAAGGAATGTCAATCCCGGTCTCCTTCAGAGTCTTCGTCTCTATGACATAACAAATTTCATAGCTTTCTTAAAGTAAGCGTATAAACTATTCGTTACTTTTTTTGGTGTGTTTTCTTATTAACGCCGCTTTTGAAGATGCGGCGTTTAAAAGACGGTGGTGTTTATTAAAGGCGATGTTCATTAAAAGAAATTCGGTATTTACGGTACCCATAAAAGAGTTTCGCCAAAGGGAAAGAGTCCATCGTGCTCAAAGCGCAAACTGAAAGATATATTTTAGGAGCGAGAACAGCATCAGCTACTAGTGAATAGGGACTTGGAGTTATCGAGTCAGCGGGAGACGGTAGCTTTTGTCTTTTTGAAAAGAGTCTGAAAATACAGCCTGAATTAACTAGTGTTATTCTCTTGAGATAGGATGAAGAAGTATTTGCATTATTTTGCATTATATAAAGGCCTTCGCACAACCGGCATGCTTTGCATTACGCGACGTCGAGAAATAGACTGTGTTTGGTATTTTCATGTAATACGATATTAGGCCGGCTTCGAAATATATTCACAAAGCATGCCGGTTGCGCAAGGGCCTTTAAAGTTTCGGCGAAGCGACCAAAGACTTGATCATAAATTTGAATTCACATTTGCACATGTTGCCCATGTTTGCTGAGTCGTTGGCCAGCATGCTGGATCATCAAAAATTGTAGAGCAGATCTTGGGAGAGTTTTTTGATCCTTTAGCATCATATCGAAAATATTAGAGAAGATGAAAGTTACAAACATTCATTTATATCAAAATTTTTGTAGCTTACACAACAAACAAAAACGTCACGCAGTATCAACTCATATTCTGCTTCAAACAGATTGTCTAAGTTACAAATAGACAAAACTTTGGTAAGATAAATGAAAAAGTTCCGGTAGACAAAGCTTTTCATGAATATGATATTTTAGGTTTTAAAGGCCCCAAAGAAAGTTTTTTATATTCATTAGAGTACAAAAAATGCAGCTACAAAGCGCTCATGTTTGCTCGATAGGCAAAGCTTCTCAGTGTCTTAAAGACTACTTTAGAAAAATAGTTAATGAAAAATAAATAAAAGTACCTGGTATTCAACATTAGGCATCTAACCTCACTTCCAAACCCAGAGTCTGGAGGCCATAAATGTATACCTAATTCAGTGATTGATTCTTTTACAGCAGAACAATAGTTAGTCCATTGTTTATATTGCAATAATGCCAATACTCATTCACTGAGTTGAGCAACTTTTTATAATATATTTATGCAACCCAGAGAAATATTACAGATATGAAACCAATTAAAAAACATAGCTCACCTAGGTAGGGAAGTAAGGCGTTTCAGTTGCTCTACAGCTTATGCTAGATTTTTAGGCCAATTTCACCTATTCGAGACTGCTTTAAAACCACTGACTAAAACCTCAACTTTTATATTTTTTGTTTTAAAAACTTGCGTCAGTTTATTTTTCAAATGTCAAAAGTAGGCAATTTCTAAATTACAATGAGCGTAAAAACATCTTGAAAACCTATATAAATATATAATGACTATGAGCGGATAATGACTATCAGGGGGGTGGTGGGGTGAGGTGTCCAATCATACCTCGGTTAGATAAAAAAGGTATCACATCTCAGTTAGATAACAAAAGGTAATCGCCCTTCACAGCCCCCCCCCCGATCTTCCGATCTTACCCCTTGGTAAGAAAAAGCTTTTTGCCAGAAATTCTTCATCAATATACTTCATCTACGGTAATTTAAAACAGAACCATTATAAACTACGAATTGTGTCATTCTCGATGTAAAATCAAAGAAGTTTCTTATGACATGATGGAGAAATTTTTTTCTCTCTATGTAAATTGTATTCTTATTATCCAAAGGTTTACGATCCATATAGCTAAATGTTATCTAACAAGTATGAGTAAAAAATTATGATTATATCTACACAAACCGCTTTTGTACGACAAAAGAATATTTTTTTCTTGGAACAAGGTTTTGCAAACAATAATAAAGACCCAACAGATCAATAAACTATTTCAACTTTGGTATTTGCATTGGCCTTCCGATCAATGTCAGTCCCGCTTGCCTGAGGCTCGGTATCGTTCGTCGACTTAACCGGATCAGAGTACGCACTTGTGTTATACACTGGAATAGTTGGACTCAACGTCCCGGAAACAGCAGGCTCCTGAGATTCTGTTTCTCGAGCTTGTTTTCTATCTAGTTTTTCATCTAAATTCACGGAGCCCTTAGACTCTATGTACTGTCCCGACGCTAGTTCATTATTATCATTCCTACTTGAAGTTTCAAAGTCCCGATCACCCATTTTGCTTTGCGATCCAAACCCGTTCTCCATCCCTTCCGCATAATTCATGGTAAATTTTTTCCGTACAATTTCATCAAGCTCTTTTTCATTGCTTTCCGGTTCATCAACAGTGTTTCTCCCACTATCTTTAAGATCCGGATCAAATGAAACCTCACATGACCCTTTTTTCCTAGTCACAGATTCCAACACAATGTCCTGAATCATTTTCTCTCTATCTTCAGGTTCATCAGAAGCATTCCTACTGCCATATCTACCATTCAGGTTCAAATCGCTCTGTATTTCTGACTTTGTCCCAGTTGCTAATTTATCATTTTTCAACACAGGTACGGGCATGAATTCCCGTAAACCCACTTCTTTGCTTTCCGGTTCGCTAAATTGATAACTACAAGTATTCTTTGACTTATTTTTCTGCAGCTCAAATCTGGTATTGCTTCCACCCGTTTCCATCTCGACTTCAATCATTGTAACCTCATTATCTTTCCCTTTGTTCTTAGATTCACCGAAATCATTCACATTGGCTTTTTTGGGATCCGGATAAAACACTCTCCTCTTTGACTTAGGCCCATTACTAGCTTCTGCTACTCTTATTTCAATACCAGCTTCAGGCTCATCCTCCTCCGCATCTTTCCTCGTACTGACGTGCTCACTGACAGTAATTGCATCGGCAACTTTAGTATCCGGATTAAATGTTTCCTTCTCTAAGTGATCTACAGGCTCAGACATCAAACCACCCCTGCTGGAAGAGCCCGGGTCACATGTCTTTATGCAACAGTCCGTATCTCGACACACAGCTACCTCAATGATGTCTGTATTTACCGAACTAACTGAATCTGAATGACAATGATCTTCAGTTTCACTACCTAAAGAGTTAGCAACTTGTTGGTAATAACCTCTTTTTGGTTTTCGCTTTATCTTCACTACCTTGCTACGAACAGAGGTGGACACAGCTTTAGAGGTCAATTTTACTGGTGAACTAGAGCTTAACGTTCTGCTATGATCATTTCCATTATTTATTGTTATGAAGATAGCCTCTGTAGCATTTTTTGCGTGGTTAGCTTCCATTATATTTTTATCATGAAAATCACTGACATCTGAAAATGATGCATTAGAATTCTCAGGTACCCGTGACCCAGATCGAGATTTCCTAGATCTTGATTGCCTACGAGAATCTTTCTGCTGATCTTTATTACCACGTTTTCGTCCTCGTTCTCTAGATCTTGATCGCGACGTTCGCTTTTCCCTACTGTTCTTGGAACCCGATCAGATCTTATTTTGACGAAAGCAGATGAATTCCTTGACCTTGAGCGGTTGCGGAGCCTGTCGTCTCTTCTTTCAACATACTCTCTCTCAGATCGCAACGGTCGTGCAGATCTGTTGCGCTCCTTTGACCGAAAGCAGATGATCCTTGACCTTGAGCGGTTGCGGAGCCTGTCGTCTCTTCTTTCAACATACTCTCTCTCAGATCGCAACGGTCGTGCAGATCTGTTGCGCTCCTTTGACCGGGAACGAGAAGATCTAGAGCTCCTTTTTGTATATTCTCCATCTGTTTTTGAGCTAGATCTTGAATGTTTTCTATGATATTTTCCATCTCTATCCTTCGATTTTTGCAATGAAATGCGTTCATCGTCCCTATGCCTTGACCGAGACCGTGAGCGAGATATGTTCTCTCGAGATCTGTGCCTCCAGTAACGTTTGCTTGCAAATCTTGGCGAGATTTCGTCACCCGAAGACCAAGAATCTGAAATCGAGTGATGCAGGGTAGCTGATCGCTTTTCTTTATACTCCTTTCTTTTACTTGTTTTAATAGTTCTATCGACAGCATTCTGATCTGCACTACACGTAGCATTCGAAACAAAATTATTTGGCATATGTGCAAGCTCTTCTTGGCTTGTAGGACGACAGATGGAATTTGAATTTTCTCTCCGTGATGTTTCAATGTTTGAGGACTGACTTTCTCCCACGCGCTCTTCAAGGGCTGGTAAAAAAAGGCAGAGTCATTAGATGAGAATAAGTTTAAGATCAGAACAATCCCGAGGGCAAACTTTTCCAAATTTAACTCGCTGAACTATTCTCTTTTGCTTTCCTTCTTACGTATGACAGAGAAGAGTGGACGTCCCTTCGGAGGAGTGAGCGTGTGTTGATGGGAAGGAAGTCATCTCACTCTCAATTGGTAACAAGGAAAGCACAAAGAGACTTGTTCAAGAAGTGAGAATTGAACAAGTCTGAGAGCAAACTGGTTCCACGAGCCTAAACAAATTGAGTTCTTGTAAATTTTTATGCACATTTTTCTTACTTTTATATACATTCAACAAACTCGTTATTGATTGTCTTAAGGAACAAGATTGCCCATACGCCAGCTTGGTTACGACCGCCATTTCGAAATATAAAGAATGATCTACATTGCTTTTATTCGCAAATTTGACTGCAACTTAAACTTTCTTTTCAGCAAGTGAGATGAAATTTTTCAATATGAGCATAAGTTGAAAATATCTCGCTGAGAGTATCATCCCAGTAGACGGGACAAAATTCGGACACTTACGGGCGAAAGGGAACAAAAGCAAGGAATTTGAGGTTCTCGGCAAAATTGCTTTTTAATCAGTACAAGAGGTAAGGTAATATTTAGACTTAAATATTTTATTATATTTGTTATGTTTCTTACACGGCCAAGCAGAGGATTCAGTGTTATTTTTGAGAGTTATAATCTCATGGTAGATTTTGGCCGTATGTTATTTTTTTTATGTTCGGTGCTTAAAAATTAGCCTTGTCTATTCATCGCGTCTACGCTATTTCCCTTGACCCCCATGGCGAAATTACCCCCAAATGTTAACAGGAAAGAAAGTATGTTTGCCAGTACCAGAGCTAACTGGAAGATTGATTTGTTTTTTAACATGCTTAGACTGCTCCTGTTAGCAAATTGCTTGTACAGTCAGTCATTAGGGACCTTGGTCTTCAAAAGCAGTCAGTGAGATTGCAATTGAATTCAAACAATGGAGTACTTCCTTTTACGGCCTACAATATATTACTTTGACTAATCTGAAATAACCTTATAAGAGTGGAATGGAATGAGAGTATGATCATGTATCTAAGGTACAACTACGTTGGTAAAATCTTATTCAACAAACCTGTGGTTGGTGTAGGCGCGGGCTGTGCTGTGGAGGAGACATGCACGACCCTCGAGTCGTAAGTGCGCATGTCATAGGGTGAACTGGCAAAACTTATCAGCTCTCGGATAAACTGCCTTGTGTTGTTATGAAGATAAGGAAGAAGTTGGTTGTAAAACTCGTCTGATTCCATTGGATATCTGTAAAAAGAAGAAGTAGAAGGAATAAAGCCAGGAACGTCGTAATGTTAAGATTTTCTAGCGCCAATGCTCGTAACACAAGCCTGTTCCCAGGATAATGGCTGTTTCACTGCTGTTGGGCGCGAAAGAAAAGTCCTAAAGTAACAGCTCAATGTTGTTTGAATATTTTAACAACAACACAACAACATTCAGGCAGTATGTGTTTCATTAATGGTTAGTCACGCTTCGGCAAACATTCTTGATGAAAAATGATTTTAACATCCATAAGAAATCACCCTTTTGATCTTATGCTAGCTATTGCCAGACCTACTGAAAGAGAAGCTTTCAGAATGTAACAGAAGCTTTCAGAAAAGAAGTTTTGGAAAAGGCGAATGAAATGTTCAAGGATAAGGCGACCAGCAACACAAAATGTGGTAGGATTGGTATGGGTCACTACAGGTTTGTGTTCTGTGACCCTTTCTATTTACAGTGGTCCCCCGGTGTATTGAGAGAATTACAGTGGAACCTCCATATAACGGACACCAGTGGGACCAATGTTATTGTCCATTGTATAGAGGTTTTCCGCTGTATGGAGGTGTCATCTTTTTTTAACACTGGACGTACAAGAGCTTTGAAGAAACACGTTAAGAAAATAACAACACTGAGGAAGAAAGGAACAATTCTAGCCCGGGATACTACAGTGGATACTAAAGTGAAATGTTTTGCCGAAAATGTTTTATGCAGACAAAAATTTCAACTCGTTACTACTAAAAACTTTACTTCTATTAACCTGTCCAGTGGTCCCTTGAAAGTGGAATGCAATAATTGAAGTGATCATTTAATTATAAGAAATACAACCTTTCGTAAAAAAATTATAATTGTCTTTTGCCTCAGTTTTGCTAACTTGCGTATTTTTAACTTTGCTGCGACAGCATTAATTGCATCAAGCAAATCAGTGTCATCCCTTAACATCGCGAAATCCTGCAGGTCATCAACTACTTGTATGGCCTGCCCAAAACTTTTTACATTTGGCTCTTTCACAATGGGGTCAAAATCGAGGTTTTCTTCGTCAGAACTTATTTCCTGGATTTCAGCCTGTTCTGCTGTTTCCGTATTTCTCCTTGCTGCTTTTATGACACTGTCTTGGAGTTCTTCTCTCCAATTTCCATTATCAGTGTCAACTCAACAATGGGTGAATGGAACCGTTTCATTTGCATTCAGGGATTCTTTAGCCGTGATTATTTGTCTATTTGCTGTACCATACCATCAAGATCGCTGAACGGATCATGATCTTCAATTTGCTCCTGGAGAGTGCTGACTGAAAACCCGCATAAGCGAAAACAGTTTTTATTGTTTCTTGTTTTACGTGTGCCCATGCATCTACAGCCCATTTTATGGCCTGTAATACATTTATTGATCTCACAACATTTGTAGCAGAGCAATTTTCATTGATGCGAGCCAGAACATGTTGCAACAGAAAATGATGATAATGAAACTTTAAGTTCTTTATTATTCCAGCATCTAGGGGTTGTAAACGCGAAGTCGTACTCTTTGGGAAGAACTTAACAGTTACTTTGAAAACATCCCTTCTAGCTCAGGGGGATGACATGGTACATTGCCAATGAAAAGGAGAATCTTTCTTGGCTCTGTCACAGGTTTTCTGTTGAGTCGATGCAAAATCCTTTCCATGAGCTTCGAATTCATCCATGCTTTTTCGTTGTTGAAATAGTAATGTTTTTTCCATTTATCCAACCATATTGCCCATTGGAGGCCTTAAACGTGTTTGACCCTAAACAGTTTGCAATAGCTTTGGCTTCTTCTTGGATCATTGGTCCGCTAATAGGAATGTTTGATCCCTTTACCCGGCAAAACAAGTCAAAACAGCTTTATTTACATCAGCAAATTCTGCAGGTCCTGATTCTTAGCGTTTGCTGAACTTTCGTTGGACTCCCAAGATTTCATAATCTCACTTTCTATTTTCAATATGCCTGAAACTTTGACGTATACCGATAGATCTGTGTTCCTTTTTGAACGTTATTTGCTGGATTTTTTCTTCAAGAGATAAAAACTTGCGCTACTGACCCAAGCGTGTAGCCATGGCGAAGAAATACTGTAACAGTAAAATTGTTGAATTCAACAGCTTTAGTACTCGAGTTTCTTGTAGAGAATTTCTTATAATAAAGAGTGTAAAGTACTGGTCGTGAGTATTTTGGTTTACAGTCATTGCATCACTGCTGATATCCGGCAAGGTTCTTCCCACATCCCGCCCAGATTAAATTTCGCTTATATTCATTTCAAAATAGTTATCATATTTAGAGCAGCTCTGTTTAGTTTAGTCTTTACTCCTTATTACTGTGTTCCATTAGGCGCTAGGTCACATTAAGAAAACAAACTTCATTTTAGAAAGGTCTTTCGTTTCAAAATGGCATCGCAAGCAGGTGCTGAAAATCTTGCGTATTTTGAGTTCAATGCATTTTTAAGAGGCTACCATGCCTACTCCAATGATTGGACACCTATTATCGTAGACGTTTTGCTTGCTACAGAGAGCCAGCAAATGAAAAGGATGCCAAGGCAGTGGCTTTAACTAAATCAAAAGACAAGGGTGTTCATGGTCATCTGCATATTTACTTTTGCAAACAGAAGCAGAGAAACAGAAGCAGAGAAACAGAAGCAGAGAAACAGAAGCAGAGAAACAGAAGCAGAGAAACAGAAGCAGAGAAACAGAAGCAGAGAAACAGAAGCAGAGAAACAGAAGCAGAGAAACAGAAGCAGAGAAACAGAAGCAGAGAAACAGAAGCAGAGAAACAGAAGCAGAGAAACAGAAGCAGAGAAACAGAAGCAGAGAAACAGAAGCAGAGAAACAGAAGCAGAGAAACAGAAGCAGAGAAACAGAAGCAGAGAAGGAAGAGCAAAGAGGAAGATGAATAGAAACACCTTTTAAATTAGAGTAGGTCTACTTTTGCCATAGTTGAAAAATGGTTTCACTGAGAAAGATTGGTGTCTGTTAGCGTTTGGCCCTGCGAAATCCACTTTTAATAATATGCATTAAAGACAGTGCGTTGCGCCGTTCATTGGTTCATCAAAACAAAGAATAAAATTTATATTTCAGTGAGTTTTCATTTCGTAACAAAGGATGAGTTGTTCTAATTTGTCACGCTTCTCTAATTTCGAGGACCCTCGAAATTCAACAAAATGAACAGCGCGACACACTGCCTTTAACAGAGCCTTAGTTTAAGAGCAATATGTATTAGCAGAAGGTATAACAATGAAAACCACCCCATTGTCTTTATAATGTCTTTATTCAACTATTAGAATAATGCACTTTTAGATGATTTGCAAGGTGCGCTAAAAATACATGGCCCTGTGGCCCAATGGATAAGGCGCCTGACTACGGATCAGGAGATTCCAGGTTCGAGTCCTGGCAGGGTCGTTTTTTATCTTTCCGGTTACCCTGGTTACCCTCGGGTTACTGGATGTTACAATGCATATGAACAACCAAACGGCACAGCAGGTTTGGGTGAAGTGAATACCTTAGGTGTATTAAATTTTGTGGTGTATTGTAATTCGCGCGTACTTGAATTCGCACACAGAGCTTTCATATTTAAATGAGGACCACAAATAGACACGAGCTTGCAAAATGTTTTGAAAATTTTTTCAACCATGCCTCAATATTACAAACGCAATGTGGCAAATTGATCCTTTCAATCAACGGAAGACTACCCCCCCCCCCCTCCTACGAAGCCCGCTACGCGGACACCCAATGGTCCTACTGTGGGATATTAACATTTATAATCACAGTCTACGGGAATATTTATTGGCAAAACGAAGGGCTTGCAAAATGTATATACATTTCGATGAACGGAAGACTAGCCCCCTACGACGCACGCTACACGAGCAGCCGGTGGCCCTACTGTAGAAAATTCAGATTAGCCTTGAAAAAACAGTAGTGCCATTAACCTCGATTCCCAAATTAAAAGAGGTCACGTGATTAAAAATTGCTTGCACTCCTGTGTGAATTAAATTCACACTCCTGTGACTATCGCTAGGAAAGGGGGAGCCTAAAAAAGGAAGAGTTGCGGCTCCCGGCTAGTCAGTCGTAGGGGGGCTAGTTGTCTTTATAATGTCATTATTCAACTATTGGAATAATGCACTTTTAGATGATTTGCAAGGTGCGCTAAGAATATATGGCCCTGTGGCCCAATGGATAAGGCGCCTGACTACGGATCAGGAGATTCCAGGTTCGAGTCCTGGCAGGGTCGTTTTTGGTCTATCCGGTTACACTGGTTACCCTTGGGTTACTGGATGTTACAATGCATATGAACAATCCAACGGCACAGCAGGTTTTGGTGAAGCGAATACCCTAGGTGCATTAAATTTTGTGGTGTATATTATAATTCGCGCGTACTTGAATTCGCGCATTTTAAATTCGCGCACAGATCTTTCATATTTTTGCGCAGTCTTCAATTCGCGCACACGAGAAAGTAGACAGGATGATACAACAATTCAGTGCAAAAGAAATTTCATTTTTAAACGTTTCTCTTGACTAAAAGTATCCGTTTTATCAGAATGGGTCTTCATACTGGCACTCTTTTGCTAAGAAATCTATAATCTCAGCCCTGTTAAACCCTTTAACTGTTATATCTGGTCGGTTTGGCATACGGTCATAAAAATATGTCAACCACTTTGCCTGGATCGGCTTTAAAATACTGATTTTCAAGACTATTTTACCTTGTTCTGTTTTTCAACCATTTTGATTTTGCTGCTGGACTTGTTCTGCAAACCAGTTTTGGGACTCTTTACGGAGAAATGCCTTGCAGCTTCTGTTCACTGTCAGATCAAGGGGCTGGTAAATATGGGTCATGTTTTTTGGCACTGGTGTTAAGAAACCTTCTAAATTTCTTATCTTCTATCTCATAGACATTCGTAGAAGTCGATGAAGAAAAACCTCTGATTTCCGTTAGCTGCTCTTAATTTCATTTATTTTGTTACATCTCTACTTCAAGCTCGTTTCTACTCAATGACCCTACAGTCTGGCATCACATTCCTTTTACATCATACCATGTGCTTTCTAAATAAGGTCAACGAACTACGTATTCTGTGCAACAATAAAAAAGGAACCAATTAAATACTAGAATATTATATACGCTAACCAATGATAAAACTGCAACTATAAATGTATATGAGTCAGCTAATGCGCCTCGCTACCAAAGTGAGGCATTTGCGTCAATACCAAATACCAAAACAGTAACTCATACGTGATTAACATCAGCGCTTAAATCCATAAAATAAACTGTTAGGCATAGCAGGAAATTGGAAATCCCCAACAACTGGAACCAACTTTCCGTTATTTTTAAGCACCAACTGCTTTACATCTTCAGTCCATTGGCCCTTGAAAACATCGGCTAGCAAAGCCACTCTTGATTTTTTCTCAGTTGTAGCTCTTCTCTACTTTTCTACATATGGCATTAAAATTTTCAGCACCATTTCTTTGGATTTTTCTTCATTGGGCCAATGGTTTTCAGTGTGTGTGATGTGAAATTCCCTTGGAAAGGTGTAGTCCGGATGACAACGTTCAGTTTTCCCTTGATAAATCAGCTGCGTCGGCAAGAAGTTTCCACTTAAGCTTATTGCAAACGTGCCCGTTATTCGTCTTCTGTCTGTCGAATTTGTTATGGGAATCGATTTTCCCCCTTACAAAATTGAAGGGTTGTTTTGTCCAAGTTTATAATTAAATAGTCTGGTATTTTATGTGCTTTCGCAATATCAAATAGGGCCTGATGGAACAACAAAAGTCTAAAGTGCTCAGCTTTTGTGGATGAAAGTTACCCTGGCTGGAAACAAGCTGAGAGCGTGGCTCTGAGTGAACATGTGACGGCGAAGAAGTGTACTCCATTGATGACAATGATTATGAGGATGATGTGGAATGAGAAGGAGATAATGGTACTACGGAATTGATAGAAAATAGAGAGCAGTTTGAGGTAAAATGTGGATCTCGTTGTTTCACCAATACAGAAATTTTTAGACGCCCAAACTTAACGGAAAACGTACATGAAAGAGGCAATGTTTACGATCCTTATGCAATGGCTTTGTGCATTAAAAGAAGAAGGACGATCGACGGACATCGCGTAATTGGGCATTTACCAAGGGAGATAAGCCGCTTTTAAAAGTTTTATTACGACTATGGAGGGAAAGGAAGGTTTTGTACCAAGCATAGCCTTTAGAAGGTCTCCAATACCACAGGGTGGCCTGGAAATACCGATTGCCTTGAAGATTTTTAATCTGAGGCACCAGACAGAATTCTTTACATTATGAAAGAGAAAGTGAACTCATACCATACCGAACCGGATCAAATTCAATTTAACGACCAAGATTTTAGCGATAATGACATTTAAAGTAATAACAAAGGTTTGTTATTTTTTCAGAAAACATAGCGTAAAATACTTTCTCGTTGAATTTATGACGATATTTTGCCTTTGCATTATGCGCACGCGTGGCCTCTTTCGCGCAGCTCAATTTTCGAGCAGTACTTAAATTTGGCCCAGTCGGCGGTCCGCGAAAAAAAACCTACAGCGCGAATTTAAACACACCTAAGGTAGAAAAATTATTGTATCTGGTTGTATTGCAATGTCTTCTTGCTCGTATGGGCACATTCGAAGTAAATAAGGTTGATGGCGGTGCAACAGGCCAGACTGGAAACTTTGCTTCTTGCGCGGACAAATTTACTTTGAAAATTTGAAACTGCGCGCCTGAAATCATACGCTCTTAGTTATTTTTAGAGTTAATAATGTTAAATGTTATTATCTTATAGATTTTGAGATTTTTTGCGGCCAGTATACAAAACATGTTAATAAGAAGAATCAATTTTAAGGGTCTCCAAGGAGTTTTTGGGGACAAAGGAACATGGAACATCATGAATAGTTTAGGGAGACAAGGGAAATTTGTTATAAATTGTTCAATGGGAATACGGGAACACTGGTTGTTTTTTCAAAAGGAACACGGTAACAAGCACCCCCCTGGGAGACCCTCAATTTTGTATTTCGCCTAAACTCGACGAGGAAAGGCCAAGGAGGGGTAATATAATGTTTTTGCAACGTACTTTTTGTGATGTTATCCTATGATTGTGAAACTGCCTTTACGTAACCAAATGCTAGTCAGGAGCGTTCCTTTCCGGGAAGATTTGCGTTTATTGTTTATAAAGGGCGCTTTTTAGCGGTAAAAAAGGGCATGGCCTTAAAATTTTGCTTTGTCCCCCCAGAGCCTAGTGGCTGGTGCGACGAGGGAATAAGATAATGACTTCTTTGCAGCAGGAGCTTTTCGTACAAGTTATCGTTAATTGTACGAATTCTGTGTTGGCAACCCTCTGAACAACCACCACTGAATTTATGAGGGTTTAGCAGGCTTTACGGCTATCTGAACATCTAAAATCACGCCCAAACTCTACCGACTGAATTGAACGACAATTTCAACTTAACTGGACTTGCACTGAAAGAACATACGCTTTTAACAAAATGAGTGACACACACAAAACCCTAATGACACAAATTAACGGCAAATGGACTGATAACAACAAAAATGGAGATGGCACGATGACAAACAAAATGACTGACGCAAACACCGAAAGACATTCCCATTAACAATAACGAACCACAAACACGATGCACGACAGACACAACCAGTTAGCAGTTTCTTATTGAATAGTTTGAATGATTCCATATACACAACGGAGAGTCTTGCAACAAAGGCAAATATATTGGGTGTAGTAAGGGTGTTGCCTCTTGACTTTGCCTACAGCACAGCTCCCCTTTCTAACTTTTTAGGACAGACGGCACCCGTGACAGGTAGGCACGGGCTTTTCTTACAGCAGTTTATTAAAGAAAATTGACTGATAAGGGCGATTAAAAAAGGGAGGGGGGGAGGGAGGTGCGCTTTTTCAAAAATTTGAAATAGCAATGCTAACCTTTGAAGTAATGACAAAATCAGATGAAGAACCAGGCTGGAATCGCTTTCTCTTTGCAAAATGACCTTCAAATCACGCAAAATCCACGGAACAAGCCTGTGGGCTATTGCTGGGTTGTTTTGAAAAAACTCGACACCTGCAGAAGAATTAAGAAAAGTTCACAATGGAGTTTTGGTGATCAAGAAACAAAAATGATGAAATAAGACAAAATAACTGTGTAATAAATCGAAAAAATAAGTGAAAAGTCCATAAGTTATTTCAAATTTGCTTAAATGAGAAAGCACACATTTCAATATATATCTTAACTGATGACTTCATAAAAATCAATGCTTAGAATGTTTGTAACCTGAAAGAGCTCTATGAAATATGCAAGGTCAGTTTAATGTGTTATAAATTTAAAAACTTTTCACTGACAATATTCACCAAAATTTTAATATATTTGACTGATTTCGCCAGTTTATTTATTTCCTCACATAATTATATTTTCTAGCGAAATACACCAGAGGTATTTCATACATGGTGTTCTTTAAGGTTACTGGTTATCGCTTATATTCCCGTCCTCGCTAATACTCCCAGCCTCTTTTGTAATTCTGCTTTTGTTCTTTAGGTTGAAAATTTAATCCCGCCTCTCTGATGATGACAATCCCGCGTGCGGGGCTTCATGAAAAAAGAACAAATGCATTGCAAATGTGCTTGGAGTTTTGAATTATTGTCGAGCATTCAGCGTAGTGTCTTGTTGTTTTCATTTGATGGCAGCAAGGGTAAATAATAGGTTTAACCTATATAAGGGATACAATATAACGGAGACTACGGTATTTGTGAAAAAGTGTAGTCCTTCGAAAAATATATTTGTGAGAAGTCACACTTATGGTTCGAAGCGTTAGCGAAATAACAGCTCGATAAAATCAGCAGAAAAGGAGAGATCTTCAAAGACGACTTCAATTTCATTTGAGTTCATAACATTTTTAAATACGTAAGCGCTGCCACTGCATTTATCAAGAAGCTTTAAATTTTTCTTTTGTAAATCTCCCAACACAATCTCCTTCCTTCTTATGTTGTTTCAAGAAACGTATAATTAATATCATTTTATCTTGCGATTATGGGATCTTTCATTTAATCATGTGATGAATTTCTTAAAATAAAGTCAAGATAACTACTTACTAGTATCTCTGTATCTCACACGACCAGGGGGGTGCTTGACTTCCTCAATGACCATTCCGTTTTGGTATATTGCCCTTAAACAGAAAATTCATTGCATAAAATACTGGAGGACTGCAACAAAGACCTATTTTGTCTTTTGCAATCTATTTTAAGAGCACGGATATCTTAACTTCAGTCAGTACCATTGCAACCAAAAACTGAGCAAGGAAGGTCGCGAGCAAGTGGGACAATGGCAAAGAGGGACCTAACAAAGTGCAAAGGGACTTCGAAAAATTCATTGGACCATGTGTGCAAAATTAAATTTAAATCACTTGCACAAGATATTTCTCTAATTATAAGGTCTCGAGAGCATTATATTCTCCAGAAATTGAGACCTAGATTTGCTTGCCCCAAAGCTACCCCCTCTTGGAGGCACTATAATTCTACTCTATAATCCAGACAGAAATATTGATGTAGATATTTTAACATGTGCAACGGTGAAATAAGAATGAATAGCTACCATCGACGTTGTTCACTTGCAGCAATGTGACTCCATGTTGATGATTGTTGACCCCAATGATTTCTTGATCTTCGCCTTGGCTGGTGATTCCTCAAAATATCCTGTCTGTTTTGTCTGTACCAGACATTAGCACGGTTTCCATGCGACATTTGGGTAGAATGATATCGAAACCTACCAAAAATTATTGGCCAGTCAAAGCCATTTTTATTACAAGTTGACCCGCATGCAATGTCTAAGAAGCTGTAGCAAACAGCTTGAAAAAAATTTCAAACTTGATTTTACTTTTGTTTCTAACTTATTGTATTAAAAACAATTATTGAAGCACTATTTACAAATAATGTTCCCAATTTTATCTGTGAACATATTCTTAATCCCTGCAGCAAAGTTCAGAAAATGTTGTGGCGGCATGGCCAACAAAACAAGTTAACATCAGCTTGCAGCCCTTTCTTTTATTTGAGACACCTTTTTTGCTTTGACTTATCGACTTGAAAAAGAATGAACACTTTTCTAGACTCTTCCCTCTAGTTAAAAAATAAATTTCTATGACTGGGGACCATTTCAATTATTTGTACCTAAAACCTGATGTCCCGCTATGATCTGGAAAAATTTGAAAAAAATGCTCTAAAGAAAAAAGTTATCCAAATACCGTACTTACTAAAACATGGAACCACCTAAAACCACCTGAAATCACCTACAACCACCTACAACCATCTAAAACCACCTACAACGATCTGAAACCATCTAAAACCACCTGAAATCGCTTACAACCACCTACAACCATCGAAAACCACCTACAACGATCTGAAACCATCTAAAACCACTTTAAACCATCTACAACCACAACAACCATCACAATGTTTTCAAAATTCGCATTGAAGTTAGCCGTCATGTTTGTGTTCCCGTTGTTGCAGTGAGGCATTATATCACTACATCAGAATTCTGCGAAAGATATTTCATATTTTGGAACATCTAGACTTTATATTTAAAGGCATTGAGTCATGGTAAATAGGCTTTCTCTATAGGGGGTCATTTGGTTTCGGCGTGATCGCTGCTGTTTCATGTGATATTTGCATCCGTTGTTGACAACTTGCTATTGATGGAAACTGTTATGTTAATCAGTACAAGGTGAGTTCATGTGACCAGTTCAAGGTCAACCAATAGCATCGCAGTCATGGAAATCATGACTCAGCGGATTTTGGCACTTAGGGTATACCCAGTCTATTTATCATGACTCAATGCCTTTAATTTTGAGAAAAATATTCTCGACTGTGGAAAAAACACTAGAAACACGCGGAAAAGAGAAAGAATGGACACGTATCAAACAGCCTTTTAAAGCATGAAGTTTCAGCCAGACAGTTATCAAAGAACAAAAACTCAAAGCGAATGCGAAGGAGTATTACCGGCATTTGATGTCGCGATCTTGACGAACCGAGAACAGCGAAGTCGCACAAAGCTTAGGTTCTAATTCAAGACACAGGGATTCGAGAGACCTAATAGGCTTCAAGTAGTTCTAGTGAGTTTGTTGAAGTCTGGAAATCTGGTCATAAATAAAGTGGGATAAAGGCCAAGTGAGGGGGGGAGGTCTGCCCTTAATGGCCCGATTCCGAAATACACGCTTTTTATACGTTAACGAGTAAATTTTTAGGCTGGCTGTTCTTAAATTTTCTTCTATTTATTGACAGAAATGTTCTTAAATTGTTTTACTTTTTCATAATGTATTGGAAGCCCGTTTTTGCTGCCATTTGTGATAAATTTTCGCTAATTTTTACGTTCGTACCCAGTCGGAAACCCCAGTGTGCCCCAAATTTGAATGTTTCATTTGTTTCTCAAGTCTGATAACTGATTGTCATTTTTTCGTGAGCTCAAAAAGGCCAGCCTCAGCATGTTCTTAGCTTATTCTTGAATTTTAGTGAAACTTGAGGCTCTCGTTCTAATAAAATTGTTCTAATAAAAAAAGAGAACAAGGAAATAGTTCTGTGTTCATAGAATTTCTTTTCATTTATGGCGGCTAACTTCACTGCGAATTTTGAAAAGAATGTAATGGTTGTTGTGGTTGTAGGTGGTTGTAGGTAGTTGTAGGTGGTTTAAGGTGGTTCCATGTTTTAGTAGATATTGCATTTGGTCATGTTTAAGGAAAACAAGAAATAACACGTATAAAAAGTAATTTCATATTCATTTAGTTGCATATTTCCAATCAAATAAATCAAAACTGTTTTCCTTGACCCTTAGACATTGAAACATCAAAAGGTTTTTGGAGACTTTCATTACATTTTCATCAGAGAAGTTGTCATCACATCAAGGATACCAGCATTAAAGAGAAAACATGTTTGCTGGGGGCCCTGAAAGGTCAGGGGCCTTTAAAAGTCAGGGCCCCTTAGTTTTTGAACTAAAGATAACTTTGATCTGTTATGCCACTGTCCCAAACTCTGCTAATTACTTTATACCTGGACATTGAAGATCTCAACACAGTCTGTTTTACAAAATACATTCTTCTACATTCAATAAAATTTCTTACCTTGGGCCTACCTCAAACAGGTCTTCTGTGACAAAAGTTGGCAGACTTTGAGAAAGTGTTCGTTTTTCTGCATCTCCAACAAAATACTAAATAAAAAAACACAGTTAATACATATTTCGTACTGAGGCAATGCACTTTACACATACTGCATAATGATTGAGTCTATTTAAAATTATTTCAAAATATAACAACTCAATATGTGTCTTTTTGACAAACAATGACTTTGCAAAGAAAAATGTCTTTTGGCAATTTCAGGCATTAAAATTTTTCCTCTTTTACAAGGAATGACAGCATCTTGATTTATTCAAGCTAAACTTTAAAATATTTCAATAGGCTGAGCAGGGTTTGACTGACTCAAATACTGTTGAAATGGGCCATATCAGACTGCAAGAGCTTTGGTAATACCAGGATTTATCAGCAATTTCTGAAAATGTGAACCTATCATGATATTCTGCGGATCACAGTTTTTAAAGCACATTTAACAGAGTGCACTTATAATCCAGAGTTGTCAATTGTAATACAGACTAGGCCTAATCTGTCTGAACATTTCATGGACAGAACCTCATATTTTCTTATTCATCCCTGCTAAGCTATGCAAATGGTTTACTGAAATTATTTTGCTTGAAGCCAGCCAGATATGAAATATACACTAGAAAGCTATGCAGAACAAATAACAAGAAAATGTGGGATCCAGAGAACTGAAATCAAATCTACAGAACTGATCACTTAATGAAGCAGGCTTTGCCAAAGTCTCGGTAACCTTTTCAAGTAAGAAAATGGAAACTATTAGTCTCTGCCTAACATTTAACAGCCCTTCTGTGTGGCACAAGATTCAAAATTATGTTTGATTTTGACGTACATAGCTATAAGGTCATTCAAAAATGGTGCCACATCAAGGCTTGCTCTTGTCAAAGGTGGTCTTGTTTTAGACAACAGAACCTGTTCCATCAAGAATTGGAATGTGAAAAGGGAGGTAAGTCAAGGGATTTCAGTTAGACTATGTTAGTTATCTTATTTTATCTTGCTTCCATGCAATTATGCTTTTCTTTCAATAAGTAGTGTTCACTGTAGGGGTTTTACAGCTCTTGTCAATTCTATCGTACAACCAATTAAACTGTGCTTGTGATTCACCAGCTTTTAAGAACCACAAAAACATGTTTAAAAAACCACAGCCTAGTGGTAAAATGAGGCAGGTTAGGTTGAAATTTATTCTTGCATTCAGGAAATGTTTTTCTCCTAATGTAGTTCAATTTCAACTTACCTGGTGGTATTGTAAATCAGGTGTGATGTTATGTATGAGTGATTGAAAAGGGGTTTTGCATAATGGACAGGTGTGAACAACTTTTGACCACTGCAGAATGCAGGTAAAACAAAACGAATCTGAGAATATATTAAGGAAATTGATCATTCTCTTTGGAAACAATGTTGATAGCAATATATTAAACATTCTTTGATGTAGTGCAAAGAACCAGGAGAAAGACTCAAATTTTGACATTGGTGTAAATTTACATTTTTGCTTGAAGTTATACACTTTTTGCAATTGCAAGATGTGTGTTTACCAAGTAGATTACTATGTGCATTACTCCTGTTTATCTGCCATGCCACAAAGTTGGCACTGGTCAAAGGGTAATTGCAAAGTTAAAAATGTGTATTTCAAACAACCAAAAACACTCAATATAAATCAAGCATATCATTCAATAAGTATTCAGAAAAACGCTCAAAATTAAATCTAACCAGAGAAGTAAACAAACAACATAATAAAATTGAGCATCTGTTTGCAGCTAACAAAAAAGTGTAAATGCTCTAATGACTTATTATTTTAGTGTGGCCATCTTTCCATTTCATAAATACTTATTATGATATTACCAGTGGCGTAGGGTGAGCATAGAACTTAGGTATGCAACATATCATACAAGTTTATGTTGAATGTAAAAATTGTAATTTCAGCTTTATAAAAACAAGCGGTAATTCAAGGTAATCGTGATTATAAATTTTGATTTTGAAGCTATTCTTGGGTTCATGAACTCTGTGGTACTTCATGTTAATTTTTCTTTTTCTAGAAGGCCACTCTGTCCACTGCATGCTGTTCATGATCAGAAAAAGAGGCCATTTATTGTGGAATATGTTATCCATTGACTTTACTAGCGGTAAACATGTTGCAAGAATTTCTTAATTTCTCTAGAATTTTTACGCTTGTGTTTTAAACGTAGCATACATTGACACCATGCCACTGGATGTTACCTACTCTGAAAAGAGAGAAGACAGTAACTACATCAATGGAAATATTTACTTCAAAAAGGATACGGAAGCATTTTTCAAGAAATGCCCTGTCTTTATATGTGCCAAGGCAGATTGCACATGTTAAGTCATGCTTGTTTGGTGATTTATCCCTGTCCTTTTCTGATTTGGTATCCACTGGAAACAGCTTACTCTTCTGTTCCTCGAGTTTTTCTTTGATACTTTTAAAGGGATTCTTTTTATTTCTTTGTTGTTTCTTTGGTACAGTTGTAATAACGTCAATTTCACTGCCGCTGCTAGAATCAGAAATCAATATCAACGGGACAGATTTCTTTGGAACTTCAATAATCTTCACTGAATCATCAGAATCTTCATCAGTATCATCTTCCACTGTATTCCTAATGCCACTTGGGCCAGGTTGTGGACTTCGTGGCATTTCCTCACTTGATGTTGCAGCATTGATTATAGAGTATTTTGGTTCCCTGCTGTCTTCTATTCTCTCCTCACCATTCAATGGGATGCCACCAATTACATCAATATTTTCGTCCTCATCTTCAATTTCAGACGACTTTTCGTCATTTGTCGGGAGACTTTCATTCTTAACAGCGTTATCTGCGACCGTCACGATATCGACTTCTTCAGTTTCGTCTGCCATTTGTTTAGGTCCCACACTGAAGCAAAAAAATCTGATTCAATATGATGTATCCACGTTTTTCAACTATCACGTGTCATTATTCTAAATTATAGACACAAAGTTAGAAATAGATGCGTCCTGTTTATCTTGTACACTTACATGTTACTGTCCAATCAGTTATTTCACTGTTCACAGGGTTGATGCATTTAATGTGCTTGAAACTTTTCACAGGGCTGACTTATTTAATGTCCTTCAAACTTCTCACAGATGTTTTTTTGTCTTTCTCTAAATGAGATTGACTGGCAAAGAACATTAATTGCCATTACATTAGTCCATCGAAGTTTCCGCTGTTTCCAAGTACATTGAATTCTCCTTTCCAATACGAGTCAGTATTCCTCCTCCATTGCGTCGCATTAAGAAAAATTGAATTCCTGATACCAATACCAATGAGGTAGAAATAATTTAATTTCTACCTCATTCACCAATACCAACAACTAGAATTATGAAAATTCCATGGTAAAATTTCCATTTATTCATTAGGATTCCAACAAGACTTTGTATTTCTATATAAAAAAGTAAAATTGTCTGGAATAAGACAGTATAAAGAAATAAGCAAAAATAGTAATTCCCCCAGCGAGCCTCTATTTCATTTTATGCTGAATCAGGACTGCATCAGCATATTGCATCATTAAAAGTATCAACAAAAAGTTAAGGACACAATTTGCAATAAAAGATGAGTTTTATTTCTATTTGAAGTTCAGTTGCGCAAAGAGCTGGTAAAAATTCGCTTCGAGAGCGATACAGCAAGAACACTTCTCAATCTTTACGCCAAAAAAAGAGATCAATACCATCGGAAGAAACGCCCAGGCCAAAATGAATTACATTAGAAGAACGATTGGCAAAGAGAAGCCCCTAGTCAGGGTACTTCCACTTATAGGGACGATAAGAGCTGGCCGTGGGGGAAAGAACGTGAGCATAACAAATATTGAGAAACAAATAGAACAGTCATTTGAATGTAAGAGGGCTCAGCCTAAAGCAGTCGTCCTAGAAATCAACTCAAATGGTGGATCTGCTGTGCAGTCTAATTTGATTTATCAAAGAATAAGAAATTTATCAGACAAAACAAAGGTTCCTGTCATTTCCTATGTACAGGATGCTGCTGTTTCTGGTGGTTACTGGCTCGCTCTGGCGGGAGATGAAATTTATGCAGACCCAAACTCTGCAGTTGGGTCAGTTGGTGTGATTTCCTTGCTGTTTGGGTTAGAGGGAGTCATTAAAAAGCTAGGTAAAATATGTATTATGCAGAAAAAATATTGACATAAAAACATTGCCATGTTTTGATAGTTTTGTTTCTATGACTATGAACGAATAATGTTATTCTATTCTTCATTGGTAGAAGCTTATTCCTAAATGAAAAGTTGTTATTTCGTTGTTTATCTGCAGCCCAGGGTGGAATCATGTAAAGCTTGTGATGTATGCGCCAATAAATAATCTACAATGGGAATGGTCTGCAGCACAAATGAATTTTTGAAAAAGAGAGATTTTGAAGTGTGTTCATTCAAATCATTAGAGCCATAACACAAATGGTCATGGAATTTCTTTGTTTTGTTGTAACAAATTTTGTGCTTTATCTCAAACTGTTTTCCTGTATGTCTCAAAACTGAAACTTTAACAAAGTATAAAGTGAAAACCCACACAGAAGAAACTCACTTATAAGAAACTGCAGACTGACATTTGAAGGTTGTGTACCAATAAAAAAGAAACTGTGAAGCCTATTGTATCCAGTTTCCTTTAACTGCACATTTGGCATAAGTTTCTGAAATAAAATAATTGCTAAAACTGCACTATAAAAACTATTTACTTTCTTCCAAAATGTATAATCATCACTTCATTTTCAGGATGATCCTGGTATTTTCTTACAGTTTTTAACAAACTCATTTTTGTAAGAAACTCTTCAGGCTGTTTTTCAATTTTGTTTCCCTTTTATTAGTAACTTCACATTATGACCATGTTTCTTATATAAAATGTGTTTCTCCCACATAGGTTTTTACCACATCCACTTTACAATACAATTAATGGGACTTTAAATCTACAGTAGTGACTTCTGTATATTTTGGCATATTTGGTTCATTAATGGCAAAAAAATTTGATATAATTGCAAAATTTATCAATCACCTTATTGATTAATACTACAGCTAAAAAATGTGGTATCAAATTAAGTAAAAACAGATGTATGCTTTATAAGAACAATTTCATAAGAACACAAGCCTAAAAAATGGTAGAAAAATTAAGAACAAGCTGGAACTGAGCTACTGAAAATGTCATTTTGAATAATGCTTCATCTAAAAAATGAGAAGATTTTTGCCATCTAGGGATGCTTTTTTTCAAAGAAATAATATCTCACACACTTTGTTGGCAAACGAGGCCTGAATGCTTCCCTAGAGCGCATTAGGTGGCAACTGCATTGCTTACACCTCAATAATTAAACCAGGCCTGTATACTTTCCTTAAGAAAAATCCAGTCTCAAATTTTCCTGAGTCAGCCAGCCTGAACTTCATTATATTGCTTCTTGTGAAAAAGGGTGTAAACAAGATACAAGTCAATTTGGAAGAAAAATTAAGGGCTGCTTATGTTAGCAGCAAAAAGGACTGCCTGTCTGTTGCAAAGACTATAATCAAATGACTGAGTTCAACAAACCTTGAAATTTCTTACAGAATCAATCAGTGTTAATAAAGCTATGTAGGGAATTTACAAATACAAATAAATGAAGCTGGAAAGTAAAGTATAACCGCCTCAAATGGTGCAAACAACATTGGATATTTTTTCCTGACTCAGTTACTATCTTTTACTAGGAATTGAGCCAAGAATACTTACTGCTGGCAAACACAAGATGCGTATAAACCCTTTTGAAGCACAAAATCCTGAAGACACAGAATGGATGAAAAGTTTCATTGATGAAGTTCATGAAAATTTCAAGACGCTGGTCAAGGAAAGAAGAAAATCTTTGGATAAGGAGCACAAAACAGTATTTGAGGCTGATGTATTCACTGGAGAGAAGGCAGCAAAACTTGGATTGATTGATGGTACAACCTCGGATATCCATGCTCTTTTGAAAACCAGATTTGGAGAAGATGTTGTAATCAAAAGAGTTGAGGGAAAGTCAATGTTTCCTTTTGGTTTTGGAAAGTATGGAACAGAAGTGAAGTTGAATACAGACAATGTTTTTGATAATCTAGCTGATGCACAGTCAAGATACAAAATATTTTAATAATGTTTGGAAGACCCTTTGAAGGAGTTTTTTTAATTCACATATTCTCATCTACCAAGGATGTAAAATAGCTTTCAACTCAAGTGGCAGTTTTTAATCAAATTTAATAAGGAATCACTTATTGGCCTTAGTTAAAGATGCCTTTGCCTAAAAATGGTTGTTTCTGTGTAAATAGAGTAAAAATATTTCTAAAAGTGATTATAGTGACAAATCAAAATTTGAATCTTTAAACCAATTATTTGGCTGATAAAATAGGAAGGTTAAATTAAGGATCAGACAGATTAATTTACATAGGAAACTTTCTGTTCCTAACCTCAGAGTATATGGTACAGGATATTCATCAAACAATATTTATTTTCGATCTCAACAAAACACACACACTGCTAGATGGTGTTGTCTCCTTTGCGCTAGTTGCATTTAAACCATGCCAGGTCCACATGTATCATTATCTGGTTTGGTGATAAAAAAAGTCTAAGATCCAGTGGCAGAGCCAACTTTTCAGAAAGTTGGTCCTTGAGATTCATGCAAACCTGATGAGAAAAATTGGAGGGGGGGGGATATGTAAGTTATCTAGATTATCACATTTAAATGACATTTCTTGGGAGACAAAAGGTGTTTCCTCTGGAAGGAAATGTTTCAAACAGGGGGAAAGGACGTGGTCCCTAACACACCATTTGTCTTCCCCACTTATCTCAGGCTTGAGCCGCCACTGCTAAGTTCTTGTCAAGTTTTAATGAACATTAATAGAAAAGATACTGTGGGCATTCAATGATGGTCAATGCATTCCATTGCTGATCTGCCTCTTGTTGAGAGGGGGCCAAAAGCAGTTAAAAGTGAAAACAACTTATCTATAAAAGTATTCAATTTACTGTAGTCATCCAGGTAATTCTATATTTGATAATAGCAAATAATTATGAAAAAGGTTGACACTTTTTTGGAAATTTTTAGCAATAGGACAGGAGCTGTAATACTTCTGTGTGGAAAATGCTCAGTGGAATCGTGGGTGTATCTAAATGACATGTGGTAAATAGTAATAAGCTTAAATATAAACTTAACATTGCTTAAATCTTGATCTGTTGATGAAAGGAGACACAAGTCATTATATGGTGAGTACAAGTATCTATATAAATAGAGGAAAATCTAGAAAAGTCCATAAATAATTGTACAATCAAAAAGCAAACACAACAAAGGTTGAAAAATTATCTTTAAATTTATCTTATCTCTAACATAATTTGACAGCTATAAAACCCCAACTGAAAATTATCATGAAATTCGAATCACATAATGTTCAATTATCTGTAAAAGGTGCTGTGGAAAAGGAAATTTGAAAAAGCAATCAAATATGTGACAGCATAAGTGCTGATAAATAAAGTTGAGTTTGCTTGAGATGAAATGTATACAAAGGTCAGCCAATAAGAGAATCTAGGCTAAAAGTGATGTCAGATTCCTCCCTTGGGACTTCTTATTGCTCCCTGTTGGCATCACACTGCTTTTTCGGCAACAATTCCAACTGATGCAAATCCCAAGGTAAAGAAGATCAGAATGGCGATCAGCAACATCCACTGGCGAAATGAAACAGCCTTCGGATGAAAATTTTGTTTCTTAAAAATTTTTGTAGAATAAGAATGCTACACAAGGGACATTATGAAAGACCATTTTTCAAAAGGGAATAGAAGGCAAATTCAGTGAAATTTCATTTGCTAAAATAACCTTGTTAGTTTGACTGTCAGATGATACAGCGTGCAGTGCTGTTATTTGTGTACTTAGGGACATTATGAAAGACTATTTTTCAAAAGGGAATAGAAGGCAAATTCAGTGGAATTTCACTTGCTAAAATAACCTTGTTAGTTCGACTGGCAGATGATACAGCGTCCATTGCTGTTATTTGTGTGCTTTGGGCTGGAATTTTAGAAATGGGTATGGATAATCAAAATGAACACAGCCAGGTCCAGAAATAAACATACCCACTGTAAATCAGGGTCATCAGAATTTGTGGAACAAAGGAATTCAAAGAAAAGTCGGTGCATATTACGGAAATCTGTTGAATTCTCGGCGAACAATGGAATTGTCCACACTTGACGGATGCGGATTTTTCGAAAATTATACATGGAATACAAAATTTATGCGAAGTTAAACAGATTTGCAGAATTCTTCACCTGCTGTTTTATAAAAAGGAACTAGTCAAATTTTGGTTTTTCTGGTCAGAATTTTTGCTAACATGACCGGAACGCCGGAATGCAACAATACGATGCACGGCACAGCGGATTTCTACCCCCTGGATGATCCATACTTTCGAAATCCTTGGAAGATAAATTTTCATACCTCAATGCTTTTCACATTGTACTAGCAAATGAAATGAAAAGTACAAGAACTGTCTGAAAAAATTTCACTGGAAGTAGCTCTAATGCTTAAGGCAGATTGTCTTTTCCTGATGGGGCGCTCAATAAATCTAGTGATCAAGGTAAGAGGAATGCCAACAAAAAAGTAAATGTTACCCCCTGATTCAAACATATATAAAGAATATATATCAAAAAATTCACCTTTGTGTCAGCAGTTATCTGAACATTGTCATTTGCCCTTGCTGGATTGTACTCAGCTAGAAGAGAAATGCTTTGTAAAGGCGTGGAAGTGTAGTTGTTATTTTGGAAATGGCTTAAGGATCTTCTTCATTCAATGCACGTCAAAGAACGAAGTGACGAATGATGGAAGACTTTACAACCAGTAGCAGATCTTGTTAACTAGCCTTTAAAGCAATTCTTTTTGGTCATATGATATTTTGGAACGGGATATTAGACTTGACCAGCCCTTAACTAGAAAAGTCTGCTTTCTCGACAGAACCCTAAGGAGAACACTGATTGGTCAAAAGGAAGCCAATCAGCTCGTAGCTATTGGTTTATTTCAATCCAAATTTGGGTAAGCGACCTAACCAACTTGTTTGTCACCAACTAACATCTTCATGCTACTCTTGTACTACGCAGGGCGACATTATCTAGAATTCATCAGAAAGGAAGTTTATAAAGCAAATTGTTTTCTTTTCTTTCACTATCGCAAGTTCTTTTTTTACAGACAGAATAATGCTATCATTTTGGCAAAATATTGCAAAACTTTTAGAAGAAAATTTAGCGCTAATAAAATGAATGTCCACTTAAAAATGAAAGTATGAAATATGTTTAATGTTGAGATTTTGCGGCAAAGGCTGTACAAAATTTGCCTGATAATTTTGTTGTGTCTTGAAAATGTTTATGCCTCGCAATGCCTCGCAGAATTATGGATATAGCTTTCATCATGTTGGCAGAATTATGGGTCACATTTTTTCAGACATGTGCGAAATTATGGAACCATATTTTGAACCAAATTGGCACGTCCCTGTCCAAAAATAAGCATATTTATCCCCATGAGGGCGCACCAGGCCACCGCTGCAAGCGCACTTTATCAAGTCAAACTTTCTTAGAATTGTGGTAGTCGTTTGAATCATTTTCAGCGTAACAAAAGTATTTTAAAAGCTAAAAACACGTGGTTGTTTCGGACGTAACATTCAAGCCCTTGAAGGTTCAAAATAATTTCCGACCTGGCAACCAATTCACGGCGAACCAGGGCCGAATATTGTCTCGTAGCTGCGTCACCGCATCGATTCGTATTTGTTCGGGGTTTTCTCGGAAGGGGCAGATTTAGGCGTTATAACATTATGAATACAAAAACATTCTTAATAAACAAGACGCAGCCGAAACTACCTTTTCAGTCAATTGTTTGATTAAAAAGTTACTGCTGGCGAAGCCTCGTCAAGACCATTTCATTTGCGTCAATCTGTAAAATTTTAGAGTCAGAGGTCGAATGAACATAAAAAACAGCTTTCTTCAAACAAACCTGTGGATTTTTCAAAGACTTTCAATCCAATCTCCATGATTATGATCAAAACAACACACACCACAATCCAAATGATAATCACCACAAAACTAACTCCAAACAGCTTGAGGCCAAGAATAACTGTCACAGCTAAAAGAAAATGTTCAGTTAGGACTTTTAGGCCAACAATGCCTGCCAAAAGTCTTAGCACACTAACCTCAGTTCTCAAGGGCAAATTCAGCATTTCTCCTCCCCTTTGAACATCGCTTGTTTACCAAAAAACTTGTTTACATATTTTTATCTTTAGGCTTTAAACTACAAGCTTCATTAGAGCTTTTTTAATAAAGCATGGATCTTAACCCTATCTGACCTGGGGGGGGGGGCGAATCCGCCCCCTTTACTAGATGTTTGTCTCCACACTGTTCTACGTGTAAAAAAGGCATCTAAGACTAAGTGAGTTTTACTTTGTAGCATAGAGCAATGAAATTATACAAATTTCAACTTTCTATATTTAGAACTGTCTCCATGGTTACCAATTTCTCACAGCTATGTCTGTGAAGTTGAACTTCGTGCTTCTCTTATTCCTTTGTTATTGGCCCATTTCCTTGCAAAAATATAAGTTTAATGAACTTTTAACATGCTTTCATAACTATGACGTTACACAAAATGTTTACAATTGTATGACGTCATTGTTTACACAACACAGCTAATTGAATTATTATCTTTTGAATTAATTGCTTATATGATGAGTAACCTTCGTTGCAAATTTGGTCCTCATATCATATATAACAGCAGAGAAAAACAAGGGGGGGGGGCGGGATCCGCCCTTCCCAAGGCATTGAGTGTATCAAAACGTCCAGGTCAGATAGGGTCAACACATCCTGAAAAAAAACTTTTCATCGTCATTAATCACCAAAATCCACAGAAGGGGTATAAATCAACAGCAATCGCGAAAAAAATTTAAAGCAACATTTTGATCATTTTTGTATTTCAGAATCATTATATTCGACAAAATGTTACAAGAGAGGAAAGTTCTTTCTAGTTAACAGTTATTTAAGAATAGATGGGAGCTTGTTTGGAAATGGGAGAAATGCCACCATTCCAAGAGGAAGTGCCTGGTTATTGCATTAGGTCTTATTGAGGTAGAAGATCTAACATTTCACGAATTTAACAATTCCTTGGTACGACTTCGATTGGATTGTAAATGGCTTAAAAACATACTTCAAATTTGGGTTTTGTTTTAGTTCTGAAAATACACAGCTACCCTCGAACCGCTAAGAGAAAATCCAGGGCATAGAGAAGCACCAGGTCACAGAGAAGCAACGTACCTGCTATTGTGAGGGCTGTTGAACCAACAAAACGGTGGGCCCAGTTGAAAATCCATCGCCTAGGTGGAATTTCCATCAAACTATTATTATAAGTACCATGTCAGGGGCATTGGTAAAAGGGGAGTGCGAAAGAGTGTAGAGGTATGTGAAGGAGTGCCTTACACGCAAAACTATGGGTTTACTGGCAAATGCAAGAAAATTATATCTATTGCTCAAATGTTTTAACTTTCGAAGGTATATGTATAGCAATAAGGAAAATCGCCCATATTATATACTCCATTCCTACCTACAAAATTATCTGTGTATTCTCACATGGCTCAAGAATTAAGTAAAGCAGTTTTTGCATTGTGCCAACAGTCACACCTTAGCAACGGTATTTTTGTCGGCAGATCTGGGGACCTGCACTATTTAACAATTCTCTTTAGCTGTGCAATGTAACTGAAAAACTTTCCATCGACTATGTTTACAAAGCCCATTCATCGCTCCGCTAAACCTGCTTTTATACATTATTTAAAATGTAAAAAACAATCCCAAGAAGTAGAATGAATACCTGTCTTCGCCTGGGTGTGGTCGAAATGCGGCCATTATTGGCTGTAGGACAGAGAGACATCATTGAACGTATGAAATGGAAAAGACTGAGATTAGATAAAGGAGAGGGATTTTGACAGAAGGTCGAGCACTCATTACAAGATTATAATTTTTGAATATTCATAGATTAATGATTTTAACGATATTGATGACACTCAACTATGTTTGCCAGGGTGACAAACAGCTAGATCAAACCAAATCATTCGACTTTTTTGAGTTCATAGTTTATCATCAAAATTCATGAACGTTGGCTCATATCTAAGTATCAAAGTTGTTTTTCATATTCAATGTTTCCACTTTCCAGGTGCATTACCTGTTCGTTAAACATTTCATTTCATTTTTCGTTATCTTTTATAACTTAAGGTTACCTGTCTTTCAGTACTATTATTCTCAAACAGAACAAATGTAGTGTAACCGGCAAGACAGGTCGAGGCAAGTTAAATAAGATTACTTTGCTTATAAATAATATTTAGCTATGTAACAGACAGGGTGCTATTTTCCCCATGACTTTGTGACCGTAAGTCATAAGAAAATCACAATAAAAAAATATTTGTCACAGGAAATTTTCAACCATGGATAAATAATTTAACAGTTTTATACACTTCTCAAGATGTTGAGCAGTTTTGTAGGAAATAAAATGCTCGAAAGAAATTGCTTCAATACATTAAAAAAGATCAAAACTATGTTTAGTACAGTGATATTTTTTCTAGGGGAGCTCAAGGATATTAGCTTCCTTTGCAAAAGAAACAAATTACTACTTAATGTTATGAGTGCTTGAGATATTTTTTTAATGCAGGATATTCAGAATGTGCTATATAGAAGGAACCGAACTCCTATGTCACCTGCATTTTTGCACAAATTTCTTGCTTGTACCTAACTCAAAATACTATAGGTTCAATTCTTTGTACATAATTGAAGTTTTGGAATCAATCTTTCCAACATAATCGCTTCATTTATTAAAACGCAAGAACTGCTAATTTAATGATCACTCATAAATGCACGAATGATAATATTTCCCAATTGCTTTCCTACCCTTTAAAAGAGTTTTGTTAATAGTGTTCTTTAAAAGAAGGGACACCGAGGGGGGAAAAGAGGGCAAATTGCTCCAGGGCCTGTAGGTCTAAAGAGCCTATAAAGTATTGAATTCCATTTTATAAATTGAATCAATCAAACGTAGAAAAATTATGCCTTAGAAAGTAAAATGTTTAAAACGATTGCAAGAAATATTCTAAAATGCATTTTTAGCTAATCTTAAGGTCGTGGTCGCGAAAATGTGCTGCTCGCTTCACCCGCATTGGGCCTCGCCCGCATCTTTACTTTTGCCCCAGGACTACCAAAATCTGTCCCCAGCCTTGATTATAAGCATGAAAAAAGTAACTTATTATTTTCTTTAGTTTTCTTCTTTAGGTGACCCCTGCTTGTCTTCAACAACATAATCTTATCCCATAATTGAGATTTTTGAATCATAAATTCCAAACTAATATCACAGTAAAGTTTACAGTCACAAAAGGTCTTTAAGAAAACAACAGCCTGGTAACGGACTCAGCATATATCTCGCGATACCTCTTCAAGATATTAATGCGATAGATACCTGCAGAAGTGCGAGAAAAGTGACGATACAGCCAAGGATAGGATGAGCTCCAGCGCCCTATACAAGAAGACAATTGAATTGCTGTAAGGTTAAGTTAATTTTGAACAAAAATAAAGAAAGAGCATGTGCACGGGGTCGTGGCTAGAATGTAATCGAGGCAAGCTATCAAATTTACTACAGACATCTTCGCTCAAGTGTAATCAGCTGGAAATAGCAATTTTAACTTGGGTGATATTCCAATAATGCATATGTCGATCTTTGACATAACTAATGGGCCTTTTGGTTAGTAAATATTTAGTGCTATTTTATGAAGTTAAGCAAACACTTCAGTAACAATAGAGAAGAGAGTGCATTAATATTTCAACAAGTTTGTAGAAATTCAACTTTGGCAGTGAAATTCTCCTTAGACGATAGTAAAAACGAAAGAAGGAAATCAGGATCTGCATTTTCCTACGGAATATGCGAGTCCTGCTTTCTCGAGATTCTCGATAGCTCTACAGTGTTTCAGTAAGGTTCAGATAGGCAGATTACAGGGAGAAAAAACTAGTTAATTACTGCGTAAAACTGGTTTGACGGGAAGGTTTTGTCATGCAAGAACCAGTTCAATATACATACGGTGAACACAGCTCTTATCTTTTTTACATCATAATTTCAGAATAGAGGACTCTGCAGCAAAGGCAAAAACAAAGGCAAAAACAAAGGCAAAAACAAAGGCAAAAACAAAGGCAAAAACAAAGGCAAAAACAAAGGCAAAGACAAACGCACATCGCTCCATCCTTCTTTGTGCACAAAAATGATAATGAAACTTATGATAGTGAGGACCAGCGCCGTCGTCATGAATATTCTGTGACTCTGTGTATCAAGATAAGAGTTCACATTATAACAAAGAAGAAAATCTCAAATTGTAACTTCATAATTAATGAATCGAATACTGAAAATAAGGTAAAGGATGATAGGACTCCACAGATGAAATAGAACGACAGACTAAATAGCATGAAAAAGAATCATATGAGAAAGTGCTTAAACTCAAGTTACATTGTCACATTATATTATACGAATTGCAAGCTAGCATCAACTCTTTTTTGTAAGATTAATTAAGTGAAGTTCAGTCTGGTTGTTTCTACAGTGCAGTCCCTAGCTATTGCTCTCTAGGGAGGTGTTTGGGCCTCGTTTTCCAAAAAATTGAGCCAGACAATACATTTTTTTCTTAACTTGTTCTTAACATTTGACCAATTTTGTGGCTCATGTTCTTATAAAATTGTTCTTACAAAAAAAGAGCAAATAAGAATGCGTAAAATTCAATAAAATCTAATTAGAGATTGCGTTGATATTTGAAAGTTCTAGCAAAGGGTTTGTTGCCGAGAATTAAGTTCTACTGACTGGGCTAGTAAGGAAGCGGTTTCAGAAAACCGCTTCTGCAAGTAGCGACCGTCAAAACTAAAACAATAACGGGTGTTATTCGAGCATCTCTCCTTTAGCTTTAAAGAATTCTGAAAAAATCTTAAGTTGCTGACCTGGAACCAGACTTTCTCGCCAAAACAAGATTTCTCGCTAGCAAGAGGCTTTGTGTAACGAGCGATGAACATCCCTGACGCAGCAAAACACACCCAGGCAATTATCATCAAACAGCCTTTAAAATAAATCATGTACTGATTATTTAACTTCGCTCGAATTACCTGTTGATCTTCAAGTAATTATGTTACAAAATAAATGTTGTGAGTTTATCGAATAATTCTCAAGTTCAGTAGCTGTCCAATTAGCTTCTAAAAAAACAAATGGAATGGCAAGCATCATCAATTCTTTTATATTTTCCAGAGCATATGTTAAACAGGCTACTTGAGAGAAAAATGAGGAAATACCTGATATCAAGTTAAAAGACCTTTCAGATCTTAACATATGAAATTATTCAAGACAAAAGTCACAAAACTGACTTTTTATTGAGAGAAAAGGTTTGAGAGAACAATTTTGAGAGAAAAGGAAAAGGTTTCATCGTTCAACCGCCCCTTTCCGACGAAGAAATGTGTAGGGCTACCCCCAGGTGTATGGGCTACCTCTAGGTGTATGGGCCACCCCCAGGTGTATGGGCTACCTCTAGGTGTATGGGCCACCCCCATGTGTATGGGCTACCCCCAGGTGTATGGGCTACTCCCAGGTGTATGGGCTACCCCCAGGTGTATGGGCTACCTCTAGGTGTATGGGCCACCCCCAGGTGTATGGGCTACCTCTAGGTGTATGGGCCACCCCCATGTGTATGGGCTACCCCCATGTGTATGGGCTACCCCCATGTGTATGGGCTACCCCCAGGTGTATGGGCTACTCCCAGGTGTATGGGCTACCCCCAGGTGTATGGGCTACCCCCAGGTGTATCATGTTTAGGAGCTTTATTCCGGCAAAGGTAACATGTTTTCAAATTTTTATTACAGGTCAAGGTTATGAAATGTTTTCCAGCAGGTCCAGCCTCGTTGCTTTTCTCCGAAGTAGACCACCAAGAGGGGTACTTACCATGGGCGATAACTTTGTCTACTGACTTGGATGCTGACTTTATTAAGCAAGGTTTCTTTAGATCTATCTTTGTCGATGAAAACCCAGTTTTCAATGCAGACTGTCCGTGGTAGCCCGGATTTGTGCCTGGAGATTAAGGCCGTTTCAAAATTGTCACAAACGTGTATTACACAATATATATTTCATGTTTGGTCATTAAGAATTAGTATGTTCTCGAATCTCTCGTCTAATACCATATATAACCTATTAATCTGGCTCTAAAGATACTGGTTTGATGAACACATCTAGTGTTCTAAATAGGGATACTTAATCTATCACATAATATCATGCTTGTGACAAACAATAGAACTGTTGCAATTTGCAATATAGTAAAATAAACTGAACTTTTATTTTACTAATAATTATTTTTTATTAACTAATTAGAAATATTCGCCAGATTTTAAAGCATTAAGCCCTGGTCAAACGATCCAGCACTTCAGCCAACATTTCGCCCAACATTTTTCTTTTATGTTGGAATGTGACCCAACGATGGTGGTCAAACGATCCAAGATTTCACCCAACATTTTCACGCGCAGATCGAAAAAGGACTGGGTAGAAGTTCGCGCTGAAGGCTGCACAGTTTCGCCACATTTTGATCCAAAAAAACGAAAGGCAATCACTGCCTTCCCTTTTTTGTCTTGAGATATTTTCACTGTCATCGTGGTCTTTCAGGACGAGTATCGCATCCCCTAACAAGGCCGTGGCCTAAATTCGCGCCCCGCCCCCTCCGCTTTCTTGTAGCTCCTCCCCGCCACAGTTTCTTCATTGATGCTTGATGCCTCTTCTTTTGCACAGAATACTTATATTTCGTTTTCTTGTGCTGGTTTCGTTCGTTTCAACAATCGCGTTTGCTTACAATCAGTTACACTTTAATTATGTGCGATGATTGAATTGTGGCGCTATTTAACCAACTGCGCTTGCGCAGAGCGAACTAGGTTGGCTGAATTGGTCAAACGGTCCAACATTTCACTTAACACTTCAAAACAATAGAATTGCTGGACGTGGGCAGCCAACATGATGTGGGTGAAATGTTGGATCGTTTGACCAGGGCCTTATGTCCAGACGCATTTCGCCGGCTATTTAAATTTCCCATTGGGTTGGACTATACAATAGACCTATTGTTACGGATCCAATCGGCTAGTTTTCAATGAATTCTCGATCATATACGCGCTGCCAAGCCTATTGTTAACACTGAGCGGTTGACTGATGAGACATATTGCCTTTAAGCTGAAGTAAGCGCATTTGCCAAGATCTCAGAAAGGTGCCGTTCTCGAGCCTAGCTTAGCATAAGAGGGACTCGGGGCGCTCAATTGAGCAAAAAAGGTATGAATGAAACAAGAAAGCACCCCCCTGTTCAATTGTGTGCTTCCTTTGGTTGGCAGACAGATAAATCTAAGGACTGTCTTGAGTTGACAAAAGACATTAGAAGATTGCAGCATGAACACTTTAACATACCCGATAGACTGTCACCGAACGCTGCTACAATGTGCCAATTCGTGTTTAGGTCGACCATATAGCTTCCACTTGGCGGTGATATTGGCCTTGAATATCTAGAATAAATAGAAAAAATAACCTACAACTTAATCAATAACATCGAGCTTATTTTTTATTATCAAATTCAACGAAGAAAATAAAGAATAGAATCAGCATATACGAACTTGCAAGTTACAAAATTATTATTTATTCCATTTCCAGTGATTGTTAAGCCAGCTGTCTGCAAAATAAAAATATCATTTAAGAGGTTGAAGAACATCACAACTACTCTGTCTGGTAACTAACTGCATCCAATTCTTATAAAACAGAGAATGATAGAGATTTATTCACAGAACTGGACATAAAAAAGCCGCGTTTTTTGGACAGGTTGCGACAGGATCAAGTGCTACAGTTTACTATAATATTTTAAGGTTTCATTTCAGGTAGGAGATTATGTGGAAAGCAAAGGAGAACCTGGAAACATAATTTTAAAGAGTAGGCAAAGATCAAGAGCTTTGGTATCCTAAAAAGGAGGTCCTATGACAGGTTTTGGTTAAAAACTATGGTTAGTGACCAACGGATCACGTTACTTAGAACGCATGAATTGGACATAATAGCTAAGTATAGCCAAATAACATAAAGACAATATGTGAAATATTGGATTATATCATAAAAACATTACTGACTGTAATGATGCCTACCGATTGACTAAAATCTGGAGAATAGCCATTATTAACGAAGGCTTTCAATCGTGGGGTGGACGAGTCCTTAAAGCAAACTTCCCCTTTCGCGTTGTCCTAAAATGCACAAGAAACCTCACTGCATGCGTAAATAAAGCTTGATCTTCAAAACATGTAACAAATGGAGTTACAATAAATAAACAATGAATTAGAAATAGATTTTACAAACAAATCACAGGTGTACGCGCTAGTGAGTTGGCCAGAAGATCATCAGTTTTTTATCTTTGACAAAAGGACAGGGCAGTAGGCCGATGCGAAGCAACCAGATACTTTTAGATGAGAGAAAAGTCAAGTACAAAGGCTTTACAAGTATCTCTCGTACTATTGCAAGATTAGATCAATTTTGCCAAGCATGAAATACTTCTCTTAATGTATAGTTCGATTGTGAACCGTCCCTTTAAACCAGTGTCGATGTAAGACTATCCTCTCTAAACTGTTTTTATTTGCCTGGCATGAGAGTTAATCAAGCCAATGTTTTATGGATTAGGGATTATAAATGTTTGTATAACAGAAAATAAATGCATAACATAGACATTTGGTTACGTAATAAACAGGAGGTCAATCCGACTCAGTAGAATCAACAGCTATTTGGCCCTTGTGACGAATAGCTGGGGCTTCACATGTGTTTTCCCTGTGTGTTGGTAGTGTAAGCCTGCATTCAGTTCTCTAAGGAGATATCACTTACGCAAAAAACCATTACAAGGAACGGGGAAAGTGATTTGTTTCTATGATAAGCGCATATATGAGCAAGACATAACATGGATATGCGTTCGCTTTGAAGATATTCGAATGAAGCTAGGCCTAGCCTATGAACAAACCATTTTCCCACCAACGCTGTTAAGACCAAAAGCCACCCATACATTTCTGGTACCAACTTCAGAATCAAGAAGGCCTGAGGTTTTGTTGTATTGAAATGAGATTGCTACATCGCATGTGCTTCCAACGCAGCCATTTGGAAGGAGAAAACAACAAGAGGTCTTCCCACATTGAGATGTGTCAATCTAAAGAGAAAATGGCTGGTATTAATTGTGCTGCAGACACTAAAGAAAAGTACATTCAGACACTTTAGTAAAATACCTTCTAACCCCAAGCAAAACGAAGACGGTTTCAAAATTCTGGATTTATTGCAATTTCATTTCAATTCATTTTAATTCATTTAAACACGAAAAGACCCTTAAGCAGTGAAATACAAACTTTACTTATTAATATACACTCTAAAATTCAACCAAAATATTTAAAACTATACATATGTAAAAAGGCTAAAACCCTAGTTCCTAGAACTGCTGTTATTCCAGGGGGTCGTGTTTCAACATGAGTCAAGCCCCTTAAATGCGTTTTAGGTGTTGTTTAAAACGATTTAAAGTCGGTTTCTCACGAATTCTGGAAGGTGTATCATTCCAGGCTTTCAAAGGTGCATAATAAAACTCTTTTTGAAAAATTCTGTCCTGCATCTAGGAATCTGCAGATTCTGAGAATTTCTCGTATCGTACGTAGAAAAACATGTATTTATCTAAAAGGTTTTCAGGACATAATCTGTTTATGATCTTATCACGTTCCTGTCATAACGGATAATGTTTTTTCTACATTCAGCCAAGAACAAGACCAACGATCTTTTATTTTTGCACTTTCTAATATTGAGCATGCTCGGGTTTGAAGGCGTTGAAGAGTAACTAATTTTGTTTTATATAAGCTACCCCAAATAACCTCCCCATACCGCAAGTGACTCTCGACGAGAGCATATATGTACATTACAAAAAAGCTCCCTTCAATCTGAATGCGTAGTTTTATAAAAGATCAAGACTCCACTTTGTGCTTTGCCACCACAACATACACCTAAAGGCTGTCAGCATTGCTTTTCTTGAAGTTCTTCGTTAGTCGCTCACTAAAATACAAAGCTTTTCTTTGGTTCTCTCTCTCGATGTGAAAAAACCATGAGAATCACACAACATAAACGATAGTGAGAAGGGTGTAGCTCTGCCAATTTTAAGGTGGAGGAAGAAAAGAATTGCTCATCACAAAAATTTGAGGAAATTTTCTTGAAAAAGATAAAAAAACAACAAAAAGTAATAAAAAAACAGGCAAACAGTCAAAGAAAAATTTTCAAAATGGAAGTTATAGTACTCTACGAGAAAAGTATTCCATTAAAATCAATCTATTTATCGCAAACTGTATGAGACGTACAGACAAGCTCTGTTTCTTTCGAAACAAAGAAATGCCTCGTAAAGATAATAGAACAAAAACCCCAATGAAGACCCGACGGGAACATAAGTTTGAGAAAATCAATCCAAAAAGACAAAAAAATGGAAAAACGAATGTCGATCGAGGTAAAAACATCCGGGCTCGTGTGCAAAATTTTGTTATCGCACATTAAACTTAAAATTCACCAATATAATCGATCTAAAAACTTAACGTCGCTCGCCTTCCTTCACATAAAAACTACCCTTTTACGATTTTTTTAAAACTACCAGTCCCAGTCTCTCAATGTGGTCCAACAACAACAGCAACAACAAAAATAGAAGAAACTGTAAATGTGAACTCGGTTTACCCATTTCTAGCTTTTCCTCGGGACCTAACAGGAGATAAACGATATTTCTGGCTTTTTAAACAAATATTTTGAAACTTTCTGTCTGACAATCTTTACGCTAGAACATTAATAACAAATTCTAAGCTAGGAACTATATAAACCCAGTTGTGGGTCGTAATAGTCCTCGAGAAACACAAGCACAAGACTGTAAAGCACAAGCCAGTCGGGGTACCGGGCTGCAGCCCAAAGGACCCCCATGCAAACCAAGAAACCTGCTCTAAATTCTTGCTTACCTTCCAATAAAATCAAACACAGATACAACTGTTAAAAACAAATATATTGCAAAGTTATGAATTATAACCAGAGAAAGTGTACCTGTCCAATAACATCCTTTTGTATAAGAAACAAGATCAGGAGCGACAATCCAAAAGAAACTGAGTTCATCATTTTTTCAATTGATCACAAACAGAATGGCTCAGCAACCGGACAAGGTCACAAACACGACAGCCACTTGCTTCCCTGAAGAAATAAACACCTTATGATAAATATTCAGAAAAAGAAATAGAGCAACAGTATAATAGTGCGCAGCTGGCTCGTGCAGCTGGTTTAAAAACTCAGGGCTTAAGAGTTTACTCTGGTTTGAAAAGGAGACTCTATTTATTATTTATCGGGAAAATCTCTTTCAGTGACAATGATGCTGTTGATGTTTAAAAAAGGATTTTCGGATTTTTTTCAGGTTTTCAGAGATATTTTGTACGGGATTTTTTGAAGTGAAATGCCCCTCGGTATTGTTATACTACACTTTAACAACAGTGCAACTAAGTATATATAAAATAACTCACGGCCCTTTTCAACTCGACTTGTGGCAGAGAGGAACAGAGAGACAACGACTTCCTTCGTCAGCACTTTGAACCAACAACAGGATGCTTCTCCCAAAAAGCCTCCCTCTTAAAACTACTACAGCGTATTTATAGATACAAGCATTTTACAAGTATTAATAACACGTAAGACCTATAACCAAAATAAACATAGATAATTAAGAGCGAAGTTATCCGGAAATAAAGTGTTTGCCAAATACTTAAATTATAGCCTACAATGGTTCCTTCGATTTGGTGCACAACAGTATACAGCACCCTCAACGAATAAAACCGGCTTGTGCTGTGCTGTTGTCAATATAGAAGTAACTGTAGGGCATCGAAAGAGCAAAAAACTCCTTGAAAATTTCAGATTGCAGACTAAAACTGGTATCAATTTTGAGCGCGAAATTTGTAGAGAAAATTGTTGCCATTGCGTCGCATCGCATCGTTCGGAAATAGGACCTTGCCCTGCCCCCAGAAGACAGTCATGTGCATGTCAACGGTGATGTCCCGATAGCCGGACAAAAGCATTTCCCTCTTACTTAAAATAAGAATAAAATATGCAAGTCTTTTTCATGTTAAAACGCTAGTAGATCATCGCCTAATCTTACGAAAAAGTTTCCCGCAACTTGGCTAGGTAATCTATTCAATGTAATTAAATCTGATCTTAAACACTCACTATCATCAAATGCAATCCTCATGGTGACATGCGAAAACGCGGCAAGTGTAAAGCGCAGGTCATGCATGTTGGTAAAACGCAGGTCAAATCATGCGGGTCCAAATTAGTGGCCATGGGCAAAAGCTTTCAGGTTTACGGCCTATTGACGTCGCGAGGCAAGCCTTGCTTGGGGGGGGGTGTGGACTACACATTTACCTGATTAAAAAATTTTGTCTGAAATTCTTTAGTTGCTGTCACAAACCTCTGCAATGCATTTTGTCAATCTAACACTGTATATAATTCGCAACTTTTATAAGACAGTAGCAGCATGTTGTACTTTTATTAAAGTTGTTGTGCTAGGTGTTATTAAAATGTCCCTGTCTTGTGCTGTTTAGGGCCTTTCCATTGTCCGCAAAAGTCGCTCTTTCGATTTTGCTGACCGTCTCTTTCAAGTCCAAATTTTTCCACTTGCCTCATGTCCTTGCTTTGGCCATGACACATATTTTTCTGACTCTTGCGTACGAGGAAACCGCCCTCATCAGTGCGATGCCTGTTTTGGCTTTACTGATTATATGCATAGATGTAGATGTGGATGAAGAAGATAGAAACGAGCTTGTCTTATTCTACAATAGCCATTGAGTCATCGATATAGTTACTACCCCAGGCGGCACCACGGTAGCCGCCGAAGGAGGAGGGAATTTTCGAATTTTGATGCTTCTAGTTCCCTAGAAAATGCACTCTTCTAAGCACATTTCACTAAAGTGATCCTCCTAGTCCTATTGAAAATTATTTTTTGCAAACAAATAGAACAGCAGATAAAAACAACTGGTAAGATTTCGCCGTGGTCTTTAAAAATACTATGTTGTCAGTTACTTCTAAAGCTAGGTAACAAGCAGCACTGGTTGTCAATCTAGATCCCTCTTTCAATCTTAGCATGCCTTTTGAATGTTAAAAAAAATCTGGAGCTCATAGTGGATTGCAGTTGACGCTTCTACCGAGAAACTTTAGGGGAAATGGACACAAGACACAACTTTACCTAAAGAGGGCCTGGATTCAGTGCCAACAAGGAATCTTCAAATCTTCAAATCATTAGTTTGTTTACCTTCATTCATATCAAGGAATATCATATTTAACCAACAGAGCAACTACCTTTGCTTGATCCTTTATTGATTTTATGACATGAAGGTCTCTGAAATACCTAAAGTGTTTCTTCCACCAAGCGGATTTTACTTGAAATTTCCCATTGAGACACTATTGGGGGGTGTGACAGCCCCACATCCCCCGGTCGCGACGCCCCTGTTGACGTGGCTGTTTTGACTTTGGTGCAACTTAATAAGGTGTTCGATAAAAGTTGACACCCATTGATGTGTTGAGCATCGAGAAATCCATTCAAACACCAAGAACTATCGGCAAATCATCCAGGCACAGCGGAGTATGGAGGGGGGGCAAGGGGGACTCCCCACTTTTTGCGAAAAATGCAATATATTGAGAAGTAAACCACCAGTAAAGGCTATTTTCATTCGGTTTTAGCCCCCGCACTTTTTTTAGACCCCCCACTTTTCTCAATGCTCCGCGGTGCCTGTCATCGTATGCTTCCCGATTCGGGAAGTGTGCGAAATTCCCGACATGTAGTTATGGGGTGGCCTGTGGGTGTTGTAAAGGCTGCACTGATAGTTACAAAATGCTCTTTAAAATACACTTTCTATTGACTTTGCTTACATATCCCATAAGAATTGATCTATAGGAATCACACATCGTCACAGCAAATCGTCCGAACCAAAGACTCTTTGTAGAAGGAAAAACTTCCTGTCTGGATTTAACAAGACGCTACATTAACTTATTTTGAAAGGCCTGCCTTGTTTCGGTAACCGCAATCCTGGAGGACTGGACTCGAAACTTTGCCGTTCGAAGAAGAAATAAATTGTACTAGCAAACAAGACTCGATCAAAATGATTCATATAATCATATAGGCCTAACGATTCGGACCATTCGCTCTGACGATTCGCTCTGACGATTCGCACGCAAACTACCCTCCAGTTTTCCTTTAATAACTTTAAACTAACTAAATCTGTAGGACTGATTTAATTTTTAAAATCACAAATACTTTAGTTTTACTGTTTATTTTCATAGTTAAATAAAAATTCCAGTTAATATGAAAGTCTCCGAAACTTAGACAAAAATGTGCAATTTGTGAAAACAGCCCTCTGGTTTACCTTTAATAACTTTTCGCAGAAAAATGCTACAAATACCATTTAAAGTCGTATCGATTGAAAATGGTCAGATACACTGTTTCTTAATAGTTTGTGAGAGGTTGAAAGTGTTTCAAGAACATGTTTAGCCCCCTACATGTAGGCAAAATCTCGATTATCCGAAAACCGATCATCAGTTTTCCTTTAATAACTTTTTTAAATCTCGGATTTTTTGCCCAAACGGACGTTTATTCACTTTGTCGATACCTGCTTCACTGTTTTTTCATAGTCTGCAGTCGGTTTTTGCATTTTGTTGTCTTTTTATTTTGTGAAGAAAGAAGGGAAATTTTTCGAAAGTGCAACACCTCCTCAAACCAATACGAAGCCGCTACCCCCTGAGCCGGATTTTGAAGAATCCAACCAAATTTCCAGGTGAATGAAAAACAATAGGAAATCGACGACGAAGCAGGGGTGGCACTTGGCACGACTTTAGAATCAAATGATAATCTTCATTATCGTTTGAGGCGGTGTCGAATAAACTTTCTGCGAAAAGTTATTAAAGAAAAACCAGAATCGTCAGAGCGCATTCTGTGTCATGGCCCTCCCCTCAATCAAAAAATCGTCTCGCGTAGTGGGCTTTTGAGCAGGGTAGTGAGATTCTCGCCCTTTTCAAGCCACTGTTTTCGAATCGCTCACAAGCCACTGTTCTGATCATAATCATCATAATCAACATCATCATCATCATCATCAATTAAATTAACTAAAGTACAATTTAATACTTAAATAAGCTCTTTACATCTAAATGACAAATTAGAGCTTTTTACGGAGAAAAAATTAATTTATTTACAGCAACACCAAGTAACAGTACGAACATGATTAAGCGACAACTATTAAATTTTATGCGCAAATTTAGCCAAAACAAACAAGGAATCGTTTCAGATTGGAATGCACGTTGACATTCATTCGTTTCCGCCAACATTCGGGAGGCTGAAAATCAGTCCTACAGATTTAGTTAGTCAAAAGTTATTAAAGGAAAACTAGAGGGTAGTTTGCGTGCGAATCGTCCGAATCGGCAGGCCTATATAAATCAATACAATGATGACGCTACATAGACTATGGCTATACATCAAGCATGAATCATGACAAAGGCAGTTTTCCAAAATAGCTAGCAACTGCTTTAAAAATTTATCGTTCACTCACTTGACAGTCCTTGACGTCCTGAAAACAAACCAGTGCCAACAACTTCAATACAAATTGGTGTGCGGATGCAATTGTTCTGATTGTTTGATAACCGGAAGTGTGTTTTGTTGGTTTGTTGACCCCCGGCAAAATTGCAAAAAAGCTGGCCTAAAGCCCTGTCCACACTACACAAACTAACCCAGGTTCGTCCCAGGTTAAATTTAACCTAGGGCGAACCCTGCTTTGTCCACACTTGATTTCCATGTTTTGTAATGTGGACACAAAGTCGGGGCGAACCTAGACTTATCCTATGAGCCTCTGTTTCGCTAGACCCTTTTCACAATCTATTTGACAACGAGGACGAAGAACGGAAACGAGACAGTTGTTGTTCCAACATCACTCTCTCATCAGAAATTTACTGTGAGACGCGATCGTAAAAAGTTTTCTTTCGGATTTCGTAAATTTTCAGAATATATTAAGATTTATATCATGGAGCAGTTCGTTGCGATCCTTCCAGAAGGCAAGGCAGTCACTTGTTTGGAAGATCTTGGCACCTTTTCCTTAAAACAGCTCAAGCAAGTATTGCGGCGCTACAACGAGAAGACTTCCGGGGTAAAAGCCGATTTGGTTCTTCGGGTTTATGCCATCTTTTGCCGCTTGAAAGAGAATATTTCTTCATCATCCAACGCCACTGAATCCTCGGCAAGTAACTCATCAGGGGCTTGGACATATGATGCCATTTTCAGTAGAAATTGCAAGCATTTGCCTTGGACATCCGACCTTCGTGGAACGCCACCATTTAGTTTTATTCAGCTGTACGATTACCTTGTTATTCGTACACTGAAATTCAAACATATTTTGTTAAAGAGCACATCCTATAAGAAGCTTAAAGCCTTCCAATTTTTTTATGAAGGCTCTATAAAAAAATTGAAATTGCCAAGGATGAGAAGTTCACTTTTTTTGATGTGCGTGTAAAGGCTTCAATGAAAAGAACTCTGTATAAGACCATTGTTCAAGTTTCAAATTCTTCTGGTGATGTTTGTTCCGCAGCTTGCACATGTCCTGCTGGTATTGGGTTGGGGGGTTTTGGTAATTGTAATCACATTGGTGGGGAACCGCAAGGGCCTACAACAGTCTCCAGATCCTGTCTCTTGCACTTCGAAATTGTCTGCCTGGAATGTTCCAAGTGCTTCAACACAAAATCTTAACCCAGAGCCTATTGACAAGGTTGTGATTCAAAAGATCAAGTTTGGGAAAGACAATGCTAAATCTGATGCGCCTAGATATAATCTCTATGACCCAAGATCATCTTCTGATAGGCAACTAGACGAAAGTAATCTTGAAATTTTGAAATCAAAACTCTCTTCTTTGATTCCTAACAGTTGTTTTTTTGGTTTCCATGACAAAGCTACACATGAACAAGCTGGACAAAATGAACTATCTTCACCGAATGAGCAATTATCTCTTGAAATTGTGAGCTCTTTGGATGCGCCATATGAATCTGCAGATGTTGAATTACTTGAACTTTCTGACTCTTCCCCTTTTAGTGATATATATGATATATCATGTAATCCTTTCAAAGAAATGATGGATATTTTTTGTGATAATTTCAATTTAACCAAAGATGAAGTTGATGCTATTGAGAAATCTACTGGTGGTCAAAGTTCTAATGAAGAATGGAAACAGCAAAGAAAGTACAGAATTACTGCATCCAATTTTTATTCTGCTGCTGTGAACACTGTGGAGCCATCTTCTAAATTGAAATCTATGTTTTATGCCACATTTACTTCTGCAAGTACTAATCATGGAAACAGATTTGAAAGCCATGTGAGAGATCTTTATAAAAAGACCATGATTGATCAAGGTTTTCCAATTAATGTTGCTGAAGTTGGTTTAAAAGTCTCACACACAGAACCTTATCTTGCTGCTTCCTTGGATGGTATTATATCTTGTAGAAGTGAAAAATGGGGCTTAGAAATAAAATGCCCATTTTCTAAATATAATTCTTCTTTGGATGATGCAATCAAGGACAGAAATTTCTTTTTAAAACAAACTTCAGAAGGAGTGAAATTAAAGAGGAGACATAAATATTATTTTCAAGTTCAAGGAGAGATGTTTTGTGCTAACCTGAGAAGAGTTGATTTTGTGGTATGGTTTGGTGACAACAAACCACTATTTATTGAAAGTATCTTCTATGATGAAGACTTTGTTTTAAATTTTATTTTACCCAGGCTGAAGTTCTTTTACTGTAGAGCTGTTCTCCCAGAGTTCTTTACAAGGAGAGTTCAGCGTGGAATGAAGCTTTACTTGCAAGATGGCTGGGAAAGTTATGAGAAGAAAAAGGCAAAGAAATAAACATTTATTTTGAAGTTTGAAATTTAATATTCTAGGCTTACAGAGTCCTTTAACAAAGTTATTTTGCATCAAGAGCACATGGAGCTCCAAACACTTTCAACATTACAGATATATGCTAACAAAGTTTGTTCAAGTGCAAAAACAATATTTACTTGGAAGAGAGTATAACATTGAACATTTCCTGATGAAGGGACATACATAAAATGTTGAGTTGCAACTTATAACTGTCCTGTTCTATACACCTTGAATATGGCTCTGCGGTTAAGGTTAGACCTTTAGATACAAGGATCAGTGGTTTGGGTCACTGATATACTGAACTATCACTTGAAGCAAGGACAGTCGCAAACTCTCTGTATTACCAAGCATAGGAATCACAAGATGTGGTCACATCAAGAGGAAGAATCTGGCACTGCTTGATAAGCACAGCTGCTCAATCTCTTTAAATCTACCTTTGAACAATTTTTTGGGGGTACAGAACTTGAAAATGGCTTTGAAAAAAGCAAACATTTCTCAACATACTACTACTTAAAGCTTTTTCGTCTGACATTCCTCAGAGCATAAAATGTTAGAATAAGGGGCTGAAAGAACAAGATGGAAAATATATACCCAGTTGTGGATCGAAATATGCCAATCAGAAAATGTCTATATGGCATCATGCACTATATTACAGACAGGTGAACATTAAATTTCATTGACTTGTCATATCTTACTAACTTGCATTTAGCAAGGTGTGCTAAATCCGGCAACAATGAGCAGCTGGTAACTGTGAAACCCCCGTTTCTTACGGCTAATACAGGAATTTTCCTGGGGGACCGGAAGACCAAGCTACTTATGAAATACTTATGAAATTGGTCGTATCTAAAATATGTTGTTCCAGTATGTGTAAAAATATTGTATGTAAAAGAGTGACTTATACAAAAAAATTGCATAAATACTAAAAAGTATAAAATGCAAAGTGAAAGCAAAGATCAAGATTTTTGTCAACAATATTAAAGCTTACAAAGTATTAAATCTAATAATCAGAGCAATAGTAAAATTTATTAATCTCTATTCAGATCTATTGTTAGAATTTTGAACTAGAAATGGCTGAAAATTAGTTAGAAGGCAACATACTGAAAAAATTTGGTTTAAAATAGGTTGTAAACTTAAAGATATGACTCCATCCAGGATATGAAAATTCTTTACACGACCAATAGCTCTTTCAACATGAATGCGTACTGCTGCAATTCGGGCTGTTTCTTCTGTTTCTTCTGCTGTTAGCTGGCTTCTAGTGCCTTTGAAAGGAGGAATATTAAGAGATACACCAGGAGGAAGAATATTAGAGATGTCAAATCCTCTATCGGCCATGATATTGTCTCCATTCTCTAAAAGTTGCAAAACACCACACTTCTGAGTAATTTCTTTATCTGACACTCTGCCAGACCAAAGCTTTGAAACAAAAGTAATACAGCCTGTTGGTGAGATTCCAACAAGGGCTTTCCAGGTGTTATGATGTTTGTATTGGGACCAAGTTTGAGACTGAGACTTAAGTGAGGATGGTATTTCAGTAAAAATTTCGGTACAGTCAATAATGATTCTCGTAGTAGGATAATCTTTGAATTGCTGTGGCATATCTTTTCGTATTCTTTCTTGAGATGGAAACGGAAACAAAAGAGGAAGTTCATGAAATAAAAAGTTAATCCAACTTGTAAAAATTTTTGAAGCATGTCCAGTAGAGATTCCAAATCTGTCTGATACATCATTCATAAATAAACCAACTTTGAGTCTCATTAATACAAAAATAAATTCTTCTAATTGCGAAAGGCTGCGTTTTGGACCAGGTTTCTGAGATTGAGAGGACTGTTGATAGGAAAGATCTGAAACCTTGGAAGATGTAGGCCCACGCCAATAATGAATACGATCAAGCTTTGGCTGGAAATACTCAAACAAGGCACGAAGAGAAGAAAAATTTTGAAAGCCAGTATAAAATCTGACAGCAGCATCATCTTTTTCCAGTTTATCGATTGAGAAGAGAGAGCTTTTCAGCTGAGAAATTTGTTGTTCCAAGTCACCAATTTGTTTGGATAGTTTGTCAACTTGCAAAGAGAGTTCCTTGGTCTTTGTTGAAAGATGGTCATGCTGGTTACAAATATTAAAAAGATCGTTCTCGTGAGGTGTATAAGAGGAGTATTCATGGTCGCACTCCTTGTTTTGGTCAAAGGAAGAAGGAATGTAAATTGGAGAACTGACAAAAGAAAATTCAGTTTGCGTAGAAACTGAAGTTGTTGGTGAATCATCAGTTGATAATTGTAGCGAGGATTCCATTACATTAGAAGCCAAGGGAGAAACATCATCATCGAAGATTGCAGTCGCTGATGCAGAGGAAGAAAACGTACGTTCAGCTGGCGCTTTGCGGGATACTCTTGGCAACCGATCTACGCTACTGAACAGATTCAAAGAAGGGACAGCTCCAGTTTTCAGACGCCACTGATTTGGATACCTGCTGATGTACGCATCAGTAAAATGGTCTTCACAAAGGAATGTAGACAGTGTAACATTAAAACCGTCACGTCCATCTGCACGTTTGATGAGGTTACACCAACGAAGCTTCTCGGGGTTCTTTTGTGGGAATCTGAAGAAATGTAGGCCGGATGGCGATCCATCAGTTTTGTAAAAGGTGTTATAACACCCATAAGCCGCGCATTGCCTACCGAGTGATCTTTTCTTCGTCTTTGAAACACCTTCTACCATTTCAATGTCTTTATTCTCCATTTCCAAAAACTTGTCTTGGTTTAAACGCAAAATAATAGTAGATATTTTACGTAGAAGCGCCGTACAAGATTTATGCCAAACAACAACTGTCTCGATTTCATTAAACACCCTCGTTGTCAAACGGCCAAAAAAGGGATTGTGAAGATACTCATAATCCTGCTCATAATAGAGTACCGAAGTGTGACGTCAGGTTACCATGGAGTCACTTTTTACTGGTTCTAAACAAACGTCCGCTTGAACCAACATGGCGGCCATTACGATAAGTGCTCTCACGGCTTTCTTCTCGGACGAGCCGAAATCAATCCAACGAGGTGAAAATCACTTCAGATCCGACCATGTTGAATCTTTTTATTATTCTGATGGAGTAATTCGAGGATCAGTGCACGCTAGTATGAAGAACAAGTCCTATAAAGTTACGGTAAGCGAATATAATGTATCTTATTACCCTAGCTCCTAACATTATATTTTGTAGTAGGCCTAACGATTATTCATGATTATTCTTTAAGTTTATCATTCTTCTTCCCTTTTCATCTTAGAATTCCAAGTTAAATTCTGGTCTCTTCTTTAAATTTAGGTATTCCTCCGTAATGATGAAATAATATCATCTGAGTGTGAATGTCCTCGTGGAAGTTACAAGTGTGCTCATGCCGCTGCAATTATAATCCATGGGATCCACAACCTTAGTCGAACAGATGTCGAGTGCGAATGGAAGAAGCAGAAGGCTCCGCTAGATGTAAAATCTGTAGAAGAACTCTATCCATGCCCAAAAGAATACAACTGTCTTAAACGAGAGGTTAATGATGATGATAGGTCCTGGTTCTACCAAGAACTCAAAAAGTATGGCAGCTTTACTGGTACTTTGTGGCTTCTCTCTCCCGAACCAGCAAAAGCTCTACTCCCAATTACCCCCGTTGAAGACATCATTGTATCATCAGAATTCATTAATCATAATAACCAGCGTGAATATCTTGTTAAAAGATTAGAAATCACTGCAGAACAGCGGTTGAAAGTGAATCAAGTCACCATAAAACAACGAGAAAACCCCTCTTGGCATATTTTACGAAAGGGAAGACTGACTGCAAGCAATTTTGGGAGTGTGCTAAAGGCTAAAAAAGCAACTCCATCGTTCATCAAGCGAGTCCTTGGCCAGTATGATTTGTCTGGAGTAAAGGCCATTCACTGGGGGATCGTTAATGAAAATGAGGCAAGGAAAGTATTTGAGCAGAAAACAAATTTAAAGGTAGAGGATTCCGGGCTATGGCTTGAATTGTCTGGCATCTTGGGTGCCTCCCCTGATGGCTTAATTGATGAAAATGCATTGCTCGAAATAAAATGCCCTTACAGCCAGAGAGAGTGCACCATTGAGGAAGCAATCAGATCAGAAAACTTTTATATAAAAAAATATGATGATGGTGTGTATCAACTGAAACAAACACATGATTACTGGCATCAAATTCAAGGCCAGCTTCACTTGACTGACAGGGAAGTTTGCTTTTTTGTTGTTTGGACAACAAAACAATCCCTTATTATTCAAATCAAGAAAGATCCTGCATGGGCTGAGAATCTGCTCATTTTGAAGGACTTTTACATAAAAAATATGATTCCTGCATTTGCAAAAGATCTTTTGTAATTGTATTTTACAAGTATTTGTCTAAATATTATAATTGCTTGTCTTTCAAATGGTGTATACATCAAAGTTAATAAAACAAGAAAATTTCACAGTACAATCCAACACAATTTTTGAGTATGATGTATTGATCAGTATGATTAAGTTTTTAATTAGTATGATTGATTTTATGGAAATAAACAGCATCCAGTTTTGAATATAAGACAATCTTTATTGCAAACTGTAAAGGGCAACCAAACATTTGAAAGAATGTTAAGTCCTGGGCAAATGAGCTGAACATTACATTCAACAACATTCAAGTTTGAGGTAAAGAAAAAATCCAACTAACTTGGCAACCTTACTCATTCAATGAACATTTTAGTAAAGTATTTCAGTAAAGTTTTAGTAAACAAAATGTGGTTAGTGGCATGTTCATTTGATTTTGCCTCTCACCTGAAGAAATACTGAATATTTATCCACAATCTGCCTGTATAAATTTTGAACTGACCACAGTTGCTCACTTGGCAATGGGTATGTAATGTTCAGTTCACTTGTCCAGGGCTTTTTTAAGTCTGTAATTTATATGCTATTCAAAAATAGGGTTGAGGCTCAAAATTAATTCTAGTCAAGTTGATTTCAAATTTTTGTTTATGTTCTATTCATTTTGACATTAAAAGAAAATTATGTTAAATCTACAGTGTCTCTGATTTCTCTGATGAGTGAGTTTTGCAAGTTGACCAGCCCAGCACACAGTTTTAAAAGTGTTTCAGAGTAGCATCGAAGGTATGGTGGAATAAAGCTTAAGATCTTAAAATCTTTAAGCCTTGCGTTTGCTCGTTCCACGTGAATTCTGCATCGTGCAATTGTTTTTGTGAGCTTTATTTCACTTGAATTGAACTTTCCATTATATAAGAATGGGGGAATGTTCACGGAAACACCTGGGGGAAGAATATCTGTTATTAAAAACCCCTTGTCTGCCAGTATCAAATCTCCTGCTTCAAAATGATGTAACACTCCAGATTTTTCAACAATGGCTTTATCAGATGTTGAGCCAGGAAACAATTTGCTTACATAGGTAATGACAGCATTTGGTGCAACCCCAATCAGTGTCTTGAATGAGTTCATTCCTCGGTATGTTGAATAGATCAGTTTCTGTTCACTCATCAAGCCAGGGGCAGCAACCTCAATATCAGTGCAGTCAATGATCATTTTACAATGACCAAACAATGAAAATGATTCAGGCATAGAGGTTCTGTTCTTTTCCCTTGAAGGCACAGTTTTTAAACAGTCCTCATAAAGCAGCTTGCAAAGTACATGAACAAATGTTAATATTATATTACTGATCGTTGAAGTGCTACAGTGAAAAAGCTCAGCCAAGTGCAGGTTTGTATAGTTCTGTCGTACTTTCATTAGGGTTATAAAAACTTGATCTTCCAACAAAATCTTGTCAACTTTCCAGCCATAATAGTAGTCAATATCATTTGGGAACCGTCTTACAAAATTTACAACGATAAGGAATATATCCTTATTTGTTAGGCCAGTCTCCATGCAAATTACCTCATCTTTCAGTGATAATACGGAGTAAACTTCCCTCTGGTACGTCCCTTTAATTTTCAAATCCTTTACTTCCTTTCTTAGATTTTCTACTTCAATTTGAAGCAGAACTTCTTGAGTTGGCGTTTCTGTGTTGTTTTCTCTTGAAGTGGAGGCAGCAGAGGCGTAATACTGTTCAACGATGTCTGAAACTAACATTAGGCCACTTGGATTTTCGGGAGCTGGCTTTACCTTTTTAGCAATTTTCGGCTTTCGTACTTCGGTGGTTGGAAAGAATTTATCTGCATTTCTTTTGAAGATTTCGGGGCCATTTACTTTTAATTCGTCGCGGAAATGGCAGCTACAAACACGCGAATTACTTCCCGGAGCTCGGTCTTGTCGTCTAAAAAGATAAATTTAATACGTATCTATTTAATCAAGCATCTAACCATAATATTAGCTATGGTTTAGAATGCTTTTGACAATATAAAAGCCATTAAATCAAGACTACCATAAGACAAAGATAATTGCCATGAGGCAACACGAAGATAACACGAAGATAACACGAAGTGAACCAACTAAAACATTCTTACCTCAACAGCTTTTTCCACCGTTCAAACTCACTAGGGCTCTTAGGAAATCTATAAAATTTGCATGTCTCCCTTTCTGACTGATGATTGCAGTCCGGGGCAAAACACTGTACCATTTTTCTTCGCCTATGTTTTGCTACTCGAAACCAGACGCCATGATGAAAACTTTGTTTAGAACCAGTTGAAACGCTTCCATGGCAACCTGACGTCACGACTTCGGTACTCTATAGCAAGGGCAGATTTTGTAACAATAGGTTCTTTGGTTTGTTTACATTTTGTCGACTAGCCAATCAGAGAGCTCTATTTCTATGGCGTCATCTTATGGTAATGGCGGATGGAGGGGTTTGCTGTGGAGAGAACCACACCCTCGTGTTTTCCTCGCGACGAAAATATACTTTGAGAAAAACTCGAGATTTTTTGCATCCGTATAGAACGATAAATTTTACATGTAATTTTATTGGCACTAAGCTCTGCGTTTTCTGCTCTTTGCGTGATCGCTCGCTATTGACATCCCTTTTTGCACGTCCTTGCTGCTCATAATCCAAAGTATTCAAAAACTGGCAACTTCAAATTTGTCTCGTTCTCGACTTTTTTCAAAAATTTTCAAATCCACCCCCCTGATTTGCACATTTGCACAGCTTTTTTATTCACGTGAAAAGATTTTAGTTTGTTCGTACGTATGGATGGTTTTTTCTTCTTCTTCTCTGGGAATTGCATTTTCTGTGGTCTGGCAATTACAGTGAAGACTTTGCAACAGTAAGTTATCATTTTTGCAGTTTTTTCCTGTAATTTTTTCAAAGAAGTCATGTAGAAAGATTTTTTTTAATTTATTTCACTTCTTTGCGTGAATTATTGTGCCTTGTGGGGGTGTGCGGAGGGGGGTGCGGGGGTGCGGCACCCCCCCTAGAAAATTCTTGTCGGCAAATTTTCTAAAAGTGGAGTTTTGTCGGGTTTTACTTTCGAAGTTCTCAATGCGATAGCTTTAGCAAAAATTTTGGGTAAGATGAGGATAGGACCAAAAAAGTATCACTAAAAAACCCTCAGCAATTCAAAATAGGTACAGATGGCGCTATGGGTGTCACTGAGGGGCAAATATCCACCAAAAATTTCAAATGACTTCCTGTCGGCAGCCGGAGTCTAGAATCTAATGTCCAATATCCAGGGTGACCTAATTTCTACCTAAAGTTTGGGGACAAAGTTTATTGAAAAACTCTGAACGTTGATCCTGGAGGTACTGGAAGCCACTGTATGCAGGGCTGCTGAGGGGAGCAAGAAGGCAAAGTGCCTCAGGGCCTTGAGGTTGATGGGGCCTCAAGGAGTAATGAACTCCATTTTAAGAATGAAACAATGAAACGTAGAAGAAGTATGCCTAAAAATACTTAAAAGTTTTGAACGATTGCTAGAAATGACTGCAAGAAATATTCTGAAAAGCATTTTAAGACAATCTAAAGGGCGTGGTCGCAAAAAATTTTTGCTCGCTCCGCTCCCAGGGGCCTCGTCTTTCGGGTTTCTTTCAAGGCCTTCGAAACCTCTTGGCGGTCCTATTAGTAAGATCTACTCATGCAAACTAAGTAGATCTTACTAATTGTTATCCCCTGTGGACAATAGTATTAAAATATGTGCATAAATCATATCTAGCCTCTATTCCAGTTAGCACGTGTTGTAAGTCAGTTTTTTTGTATGTACGATTATGATGAAGATAAATATATTTTGAAGTCATTTTACGTCTCAATATTTGGTTTATTACACTGGTGACAGGAGCGTTTTGACCCACATCATTTTACAATGTCATCCTTTAACATAATTTTTTCAAAACTTGAGAAGTTCACCGGCGACGGGGACATAAATTTGCACCAATGGCTTCGTAACTTCGACAGATGTTGTGTTATTGCCGAGAAATCTGACGACCTCGTGGTTGGCCAAATTCTAATGCTTTGTGTTGATGGCCGTGCTAAAGCCATCTTGGATCAATTTTGTAGTAACCTAATTGACTATGCGCAGGAGCATTACTTTATGTGACCCATGTTTATATAGTTTGAGATTACAGTTGACAGTATTACAGTTATGTGTGTAGGCCGTTTGAAGTTAATATAAAGTTATCGTTTTGTTTCTGTTCAACCCATGCGTTGTTCTATCTCCTTCACATCTTAACATTGGCGACGAGAATGTCTGTACAACTCAATCCATTACCACCGTTCGACCCGAATGCAGAACTTGGAGCGAGTGTTGCTGCCAGATGGAAACTTTGGCTACGTGATTTTGATACTTTTCTTGTGGCTAGCGGAATTCGAGACGCTAAGCGCCAGAAAGCTTTGTTACTTTACCAAGCTGGACCCAAAGTTCGAGAAATTTTTAACCAGTTGAGTGATGTCAACGGAGAAGGGGATGAAGACAACTTTGCGACAACAAAAGCCAAGCTCATTGAGTACTTCGAGCCTCAGAAAAATCGACGGTATGAAGTTTATCGTTTTCGTGAAACTCGTCAGGGAGATCAAGAATCGCTCGATACTTTTCATACACGACTCAGGCAGATATCCAGTACATGCGAATTCGAAGATGTAGACTTTGAAATCGAGGAACAAATAATTATAGGGGGTCGATCTTCCCGTATAAGACGCCGAGCTTTGCGTGACCCTACGTATACCCTTAAAGACATGCTAATCGATGGAAGACGGGATGAAACCAGTTCGTATCAAGCCCGAGATATAGAAACCACCCACGTACACACAGAAACAACGAACCGTTTGCAATCGAAGTCTGATAACAAGACTTGCAACAATTGTGGAGGAGAATGGCCGCACAAAAATCAATGCCCCGCACAAGGGAAAACATGTCGCAAGTGCAACAAACCGAACCACTTTCAATCAGTTTGTAGGAGCTCAAAATTCTCGAAGCAGAAACAAAGACGTCCTGCACATTCTCGCAAATCACATGCAGCGGTGAGACCTTTGCAGCATGAGGATAATTCTAGTGACGAGGAATACCTGTATACGGTCTCGAATGGCAACGACAAATTATCAAAACGCAGCCCTGTGGTTAATGTTGTGGTCGAGGGTCACAAGTTCAACATGATATTGGACACCGGATCCACAATCAACGTTATCGATAGAAATACTTTCGAAAAGATGCACGGAGTCAAGTTACAACAAACCAAAATAAAAGCTTTTCCATTCAACTCTTCGAAACCAGTTTGTTTTATAGGAAAATTTGAATCGATGATCACAACAAAATCTCGCTATGGAGTTGCAACATTTTATGTCCTAAAAGATCGTAATGCTGGTTGTTTACTTTCAGCCAATACAGCACAAGAACTTGGAGTCATAACGCTGAAATTGAAAAAACTTTCAGTTTCAGCAACCCCTACAAAACATATTGATCCGCAAATTGATGCCATTATTCAACGTTTCAACAAAGTCTTTGAAGGAACTGGTAGACTGAAGGGGTACTCGGTGAAGCTAAACATCGACGAAAAGGCAATACCACGTGCACAACCGCAAAGGAGAATTCCTTTTCATTTGAGAAAGAAAGTTAAAGAAGCTGTCACCCAGCTGGAAAAAGAGGGGATCATTGAAGCTGTACCAGAAAACGCGCCTTCGCAGTGGGTATCTCCAATCGTCGTAGTACCGAAAAAGGATGGATCTGTTCGTCTTTGCGTAGATATGCGTGTGCCAAATACTGCAATAAAACGTGTACGTTATCCGATCCCTACATTGAATGATATCAGCATTCAACTCAATGGTGCCAAATATTTCAGTAAATTGGATCTAAACCAAGCTTACCACCAGCTACCATTACACATAGACAGTCGTTTTATCACTACCTTCAGCACACACGTAGGACTTTATCGATACACTTGTCTCAATTATGGGACAAATGCTGCTATGGAAATTTTCCAGCATGTTTTACAAGAAACTTTACAAGGTATAAATGGAGTGCTGAACATCGCAGATGACATCGTAGTTTTTGGCAAAACTCGCAAGGAACACGATTTAGCGTTGCAAAATTGTTTGCAACGTCTGCATTCAAAATGCCTTACGCTAAATCTCAAGAAATGTAACTTTCTACAGAAATCAATTCAGTTTTATGGGCAAATTTTCACAGAACATGGTACGCAGCCAGATCCAGCACGCATAAGCGATCTTCAGAATGCACCAATACCTACCAGCATCAAAGAGGTACGAAGCCTGCTCGGAATGGCAAACTATAGTGCTAAGTACATCCAAGATTTTGCGACGCTCACTGCACCACTTCGAGAGTTGACAAAAAAGAATACACCATTCGTATGGCAAGCAGTTCAACAGAAAGCATTTGAAAACATAAAATTGGCTCTGTCTGAAGCTCCCGTTATGTCGTATTTCGATACCAATAAAGAAACTTTCGTTACGGTGGACGCAAGTCCCGTAGGTGTATCTGCAATTTTGAGTCAAGCAACCAAGAACAGTGATGATTACAAGGTTGTTGCTTACGCCAGTCGTGGACTGTCCAATACTGAGAAACGATACTCGCAAACGGAAAAAGAGGCTCTAGCCATCGTTTGGGCCGTAGAACATTTTCATTTGTTCCTATATGGCAACGAATTTACTTTGATTACAGATCACAAACCTTTGGAAACCATTTACGGCAGTTCAACCTCTAAGCCGTCCGCGAGGATTGAGCGATGGGTTTTGCGACTACAACCTTATTCGTTTAAAGTGCAGTACAAGGCAGGAAGCGAGAACTCTGCTGATTATCTATCCAGACACCCCTCCAGTCAACAATCGCGAAAACAAGAAAGAATTGCGGAGGAGTACGTAAACATGATTACGAGTCACTCTGTGCCTAAAGCTATGTCGCTAGACGAAATAGCGAGTGCTACCAACACTGACAAGACATTGCAAGCATTGCGAGCCGCTATACGAACAAATAGATGGCAAGCATCTGATCGTTTAAAGCCTTATTGTGCAATCAACGATGAGCTCACTGTTGGTGCGAAGGGAATTGTTTTGAGAGGAACACGTTTAGTTATACCAGAGTCACTTCAGCAACGAGCTATAGATATTGCCCATGAAGCTCACCAAGGTCTTTCCAAAACAAAAAGTCTATTACGAGAAAAAGTATGGTTCCCAGGTATGGACAACCTAGTTCAGCATACCCTAGATTCGTGCCTGACTTGTCAAATTGTCGGCAAACCATCGCCACCAGAACCTCTGCAACAAACTGATTTTCCTAAAGGACCATGGGAAACTGTTCATATCGATTTCTGTGGACCGCTTCCTTCAGGAGATCATCTTTTAGTCGTCATTGATCGTTATTCGCGATTTCCGGAAACCGAAATTGTGCGATCCACGAAAGCATCAACTGTCATTCCGAAGCTGGACAAAATATTTTCGGTACACGGCATACCACGTGAATTAAAGACAGATAACGGTCCACCATTCTCGAGTGAAGAGTTTGCACGATATGTAAATATCCTCGGTATAAACCATAAACCTGTCACACCTTACTGGCCGCAGGCAAATGGAGAAGTCGAACGCTTTAATCAGCCTCTCATCAAAGCCGTACAAAGCGCAGTGGCAGATGGTAAGGTATGGCAACAAGAACTGAACCGTTTCTTGTTCCAGTATCGTAATACACCTCACAGCACAACGAAAATTGCGCCATCAGAGTTGTTATTCAACAGGAAAGTACAAGGAAAATTCCCTACTTTAGAGAAGCATCGCGTAATAAATCGACACAAAGAAGCTAGAATAAACGAGGAACGCAGTCGATCATACCAAGAAACATATGCAAACAAACGCAGAAAAGCAAGGAAGAGCAACCTTCAAGTTGGAGATACTGTTCTTGTCCGCCAACAAAAAAGGGACAAACTAACGACACGATTCAGCAAAACGCAATACAAAGTCGTAAACCGTAAAGGTACGCAGATAACTGCAGAAGACAGTAATCATCGTCGTGTAACTCGCAACGTATCATTTTTTAAAAAATTACGCGCTCAGATGTCGGATTCCGAAGATGCCAATCAATCAAATCGAGCCACATACGCTTGTGAACAAGAGGTTCCTAGACCTGCTGAAAGACTAGTTAGAAAACGTTATGCACCAGTACGATATGGTGAACCAATACCATTGGACACTTTGTAAACAGTATACGAGAAAAAACTTCTTTAAAAGGAGGAGTGATGTAGTAACCTAATTGACTATGCGCAGGAGCATTACTTTATGTGACCCATGTTTATATAGTTTGAGATTACAGTTGACAGTATTACAGTTATGTGTGTAGGCCGTTTGAAGTTAATATAAAGTTATCGTTTTGTTTCTGTTCAACCCATGCGTTGTTCTATCTCCTTCACATCTTAACAAATTTGAAGATGAGAAAGGCAGTCCCCAGAAATACAGCGAGCTTAAGGAACAACTAACCGCGGTTTTCGATTCAGAAACCGATCGCGAAGCTCACATGACTGCATTCGAACGCTGCATTCAAAAGATCGATGAAAGTGAAGAAGAATTCATGACCCACCTTTTACAGTTATTCAGAGCCGCCAATCCAAAAGCCAAAACTGACATTATAAACCATGCGGTGAAACGCAAGTTTTTACAAGGGATTTCTGATACACTTCGCAGAAATATATTCATCTTTTGCACCAACCCGTATGATGACAAAATTACCCACCAAGATTTGCTCAAGGCTTGCCGCGATGCATCAGTTCATCTTTCCTTACCATCTGCGACAATCAACGGTGCTATTGTCACTGGACCTTCTGATGCTGTTTTAACTGCTGCAAATCCATCTGATACAACACTGGACGCCATTCTTGCCTTGTCCACCAAATTTGAGCAACAAAGTCAACTCACAATGCGGAAGCTTGATGAACAACAAGACCAAATCAATGCACTCAACCGTCAACTTCCGTTTAGGCCCTCACAGCAACTTCAACATCAGCATGGTGCCCCTGTTTTTTCTGCCCCGCAGAGCAACCGTCGGCAATCACGCAATGGTTTTCAACGCAATTTTGGCAGGGATTTTCAGCCTCGAAACGCAAGGCCAGACGGACGGCAACCTATTCAGTGCTATTTTTGCCACGGCTTAAATCATATCCAACGTGATTGCCTAGCTTACAAGCAGCGAGCTAATCTTCCTCAACAGTCGGGAAACTTTTGGGGCCCCCAGTAAAGGGTCATACTGGGAAAGCCGACAATGCTTCATTGACCCCCCAAAAAGAAGAATCACAATCTTTTCTGCAGAGAGAACCTAATTTGCTTTGGCTAACAGGAACATTACATGGACAGCAAATTCCAATGATGCTTGATTCTGGTGCCACCGTATGCTGTCTTGCCAAAAGATGTTTCACTGGCAGTCCTTACTTGCAAAACCTACCATTACAGGGTTATACTGGCCCAGGTTTGCTTGATGCAAATGGACAAATAATGAAACCCTTTGGTGTGATTAAAGCCCCTCTTGTAGTAGGGCATCCTGCTGTATCTCACATTGTTGAATTTATGATTATTGATGCATTGCCTTATTCTTGCATTCTCGGTTTGAGTTTTCTAAATAAATTTACCAAATGGGGCATTGACAACTCCAAGAAACTCCTTCATCTAGATCAATCCATGGTAATGGTATCTTCTCAGCCTTCTCTTCAAGATAACATTGCTTTCATAACACCGAACAAGTACACAATACCACCCGGACAATCATTGACTATTAAGACAGTTGCTAATGGGCCCTCCCTTCATGCATTCCGCCCAGTTTCAGAACCGACTGCACTGATTGATGGACATGCACCCTTTGAAGAACGTCTGCATGTAAAGGTTGTTCCGTACTTACACAAGGTTTCTCATCAACACTCATGTGTTCCCACCGTCCTTGTTAATACTTCTGCCGTCGCAAAGACCATCAAAAAGGGCACCAAGGTTGCTCTAGGGACGTATGACTTTGAAGAATTCTCTGTTCTTCCTAAAGACACAATTAATCTTCTCTCTACTCAGGACACAGATAATTCTACTCAAAACTCCGATCCTATTACGATTCTCACTTCACAGTTGACTCACTTGTCTCCCTCGCAGTTTCAACAAGCCAAGAATTTACTGATGGAATTTTCTGATGTCTTCTCTTTATCAAACACCAAAATTGGCAAAACCAACGTGACAGAATTTGACTTTGATTTGGCTCATTCGACACCCATTTCAATGCCTTTACGCAGAGTGCCACTTCATCAACAATCCATTGTCAAGGAACTTTTACAACACTATAAAGCTCATGGCCTAATTGAACATATTGATTCACCTTATCGTGCTGCTACAGTCCTTGTTGCCAAGAAGAATGTTTCAAATAGCTGTGATGTTACCGATCGTTTTCGACTTGTAGTTGACTATCGTTTTCTCAACCCTGCCATCAAAGATTCAGGTTGGCCTTCTCCATCCCTTCAACAATGTCTTGACTCTGTTCGCGGCTCTCAATATGTCAGCTCAATCGACTTCAACAGTGGCTACCACCAAATTCCGTGTGCTGATAGAATCAAACCGATCATTGCCTTTTCTCCTGGTTACGGTTTTGGTCAATGGACCTGGAACGTTATGCCTCAAGGTATCAAACCGGCCTCTTCTTTGTTCCAACGAACCATGGAACAAACATTTTCTGATTTAAGCGACTGTATTCTACCACCCTTCTACGATGATGTGGTTATTAAAGGATTAGATTTCACAGATCATCTCTCCAATGTTCGCAGAGTTTTAGCAAGAATTCGACAGTCTGGTCTCACTTTGAATGCCTTGAAATGCAAATTTTTCCAGACAAGTTTGCCGTATTTAGGCCATTTCATTGACAAGGGACACATTCGCCTTGACCCAGCTCGCATTCAGTCCATCACCGATTTTCCAGTGCCATCCAATGCTAAATCCTTGAAGGAATTTTTAGGCATGGCACAATTATGTGATCGATTTGTTCCCCACTTCTCTGTTGTTGCTGCTCCTCTACACGAACTTGCAAAACCGACTTCAACGTTTGTCTGGACACCTGAAGCTCAAGCAGCCTTTGAAGCACTAAAGCAGCTTCTCTCTTCCGCACCAGTTTTACGAGCTCCTACAAGTACAGACTCTTTCATCCTAGAAGTCGATGCATCAGACAGAGGTGAAGGTGCATGTCTTAAAGCCCATAACACAAGTGATGGCAAAACATACATCGTCGCCTACGCCAGCAGAAAGTTCAATGAAACTGAATCAAGGTGGAACATTGTAGAGAAAGAGGCGCATGCTATAATTTTTGCTACCGAAAAATTTCGTCACTACCTTCTTGGTAAACCCTTTCTCTTGCGTACTGATAATCGCGTAACTTCATTCCTGCAATCCAAACGCAACCCTAAGAGTAGAAAATTGCTGAATTGGGCTTTGCAACTTTCAGAGTTCAATTATAAAATAGAACACATTCCATCCAAGAACAACGCCATAAGCGACTGTCTCAGTCGCATGCACAGTGTCAACTCACTGGAAGAATTACAACCTAATATTACAGTGGCTGCAATCAGAGATTTCCAAACAAAAGATCAACACATCCAAGCAGCAATCGAGTACATGTCTTCTAATAAACGAAACTTTGATGTCTGCCGTCTAGGTTCCTTAAAACCACATCGCAATAAACTTTCTGTATCTGAGGATGGCATTTTGCAGTGGCACAACTGCACTGTAGTACCTGACGATTTACGTGGAACCGTCCTGAAACTTTGCCATGACCACCCATCCTCTGGTCATTTTGCTGTTGACAGAACTTGGTCTCGCCTTTGTGAACACTTTTTCTGGCCCAATGCCAAACAGGATGTGATCAACTGGGTGAAAAGTTGCAAGATTTGTGCTTCTTTTAATTCACCCCCTCAAGGATACCACAAAGATCAGTTACAGCCAATACAGTCTACTGAACGATTCGAACTTGTTTGCTACGATCTAGCCGGACCTTTTCTGCCTGCATCTCAAGATGGTTTCAAGTATGCTCTTATCCTGGTCGACCACTTTACAAAATGGCCTGAAGTTGTTCCCCTCAAAGAGATATCGGCACCTACTATTGCTAGAGCGATTCACGACCAATGGATCTGTCGGTATGGGATTATGCAACGTTTGCACAGTGATGGTGCCTCAAATGTTCATGGCAATGTTATGCGGGAAGTCGCCAAAATCTTGGGTATAGGTAAATCCAAGTCTTCGCGTCTCCACCCACAAGGTGATGGCCTTTCTGAGGCAATGGTAAAACTAGTTAAGTCCTGTGTGCAGAAACAAATTGATCAACATGGCCGTAACTGGGACACGTTCTTGCAATCAGCTGTCTACGCCATTCGTTCAAGTGTTAATAATAGCACTAAAGTTACACCTGCTGAACTTATTCTTGGTGCTAAACTTTCTTTACCAATTACGTTGCTGTTTAATAAATCACCACAGCAACAGATTCAACAGTCTGCTCCACACCATGTGAAACAGGCTCAAGCTTTTGCCAATGACATCGGTACGTGCCTTAAAAACTCCTTTACAAATGTTCGCAGTATCCTCAACCAGAGCAGAGAAAGAATGAAACAACAGTACGATAAGAAAACTACCCAACATCATTATAAGATCAATGATACTGTCATGTTATGGAACCCACCTCAGAAAAGGGGTATTTCACGTTGTTTTCAACCAAAGTGGTCGGGGCCTTGGACAATCACCCACTTGATAGGAGATCTGAATTGTAAGCTTGTTGACGCCAGTGGCAAAGCCAGTCCTACTATTCATGTCAATCAACTGAAGTATATACCTCCAAGATCAATCCACTTACTCAAAAAAGCAACTGACCCCCTACCTGCAAAGGAACCTCCTAAGAAAAAAGTCTGTGATATTTTTGCTGACCTAACCAATACCAAGACAACAAATCCCATTGATGATAGAGTACACGTTGAGGGTGCAAGAGGAGGAGGGAATACAGGGGACTTGAACCACGGAGAACAACCAGAAGATAATAACAACATGATCAACAGAAATTGGTGCAGAGTAGACATTGCAAACATACTACCAAACAGAACTCGTTCACATTCACTAACATAGGAAGAGAGATGGGGAGGGGGATAGTGTTATCCCCTGTGGACAATAGTATTAAAATATGTGCATAAATCATATCTAGCCTCTATTCCAGTTAGCACGTGTTGTAAGTCAGTTTTTTTGTATGTACGATTATGATGAAGATAAATATATTTTGAAGTCATTTTACGTCTCAATATTTGGTTTATTACATAATAGACGGTGTCGTGTAAACTGTGCAGCTTTTGTTGACGTTTTTATCGCTAAAAACCGATGGCAAATTTATCATTTCGTTGATGTGTGTACTCTTCTAAAAAACTTCGTAGGTATTTAAATTTGTCTATATTTGCCATATTTCCATCATCGTGTATGGCACTCCTGAACGAATCCCAGAATTCCTGCCAGTCTGTCACTCTACCTCCAACTTTAGCTCTAGTTTTGGAAGCCTTACTTTCACTCTCTTGGAATTTTTAGCAGATTGGCCAGAACGCTCGGAATCCACGGTTTTCTCTGAACACAATCTGTTCTGCGACCTAAAACGCGAGGCTGATTTCAAAATTCCTTCGCCTGACTCTTTATCTTTCTTTCTAAAGTATTTGTCTACTTTTAGAAGTGCTAAGGTGGCCTTTTCGTTAATTTCACTGGCGTCTACAGCTTCTCTTTCGCATTTATCGTCGGGGGCATCAGTTTCGATCATCAAATCTCGAATCTCACGATCCAGATGTTTTACTTCTACGTAGCTTTCATTTATTCCCTTGGAAATCAGGATGCTATATCATCCAAACGTTCAAAGCGAGTGGAGATTGACTCGTTGTTTCACGTGCCTTCCACAGTATTTTCTGAGGCATCTGTCCCAGTTCTTAATATGGATGAAGAAGTCTTGGACTTTGTTGATAATGAGTTGTCTGAGGCAGTTTTAGACAAGAAAGGCAAGGGTCTTGCCTCTGATAAGCTGGCCTTAAAAATTGAGGAACAATGGAAAACTGATTATTCGCTTTTTGCAGAAAAGAATCATAGCCTTATTGACACAAAAGCTATTGTTTTGAAAGCCTTTGATGCACTATCTGTTCTCTCTAATGCCAGTGTCAATATCTCAAAGTTACAAAGATTTAATAAAAGACCTATTCTTAACAAGGC